CTAGAAATTTAAGAATAAAGAAATGAACACCCCCTCCCCCCAAAACAATTCAGACCCTCAATCATATGACAACTTTTTATAGTATATGATAGTATAAGGGTCTGCAAAGGGTGGATTCTTTACTTTTGTATTCATTAATATTTTAGGCCATTTCTCGTATCTTTTTTGTACATTGTTCTCCTTTGGTTTTATTTTAACACTCCATTGTTCTCTTCTTTTTCGTCCATTATTCTCTTTATTTTTGATTCAGCACCCGTCATTCTCTATTGTTTATGTTAAGTTAGTTATGTAACCCCAGTAAGACCCTCCTGTATTGGTAAAAACCAGATGATATAATTCTCTTTTTATTCAAAAGCATGTGCAGTATTTTGAAAATGTAAACACTAAACTTCTTTAGATTCGTAATCCGTCTATAATAGCATTTTATCCCAAACACTTATATTTAAAATGGCCACTAAACCGAATTAAGTCTTCAGTTTTTACTGATTTCAGTTTCTTCGCTACGTTCCAGTTTTAATCACAGTCACTATCACTATCAGAAAAGTCACTATCGTCCTCGTCACTTGAACTGTACTCGTTGACCCTTCTGTGGCCTTCTAGCGCTCGGTTCATTATCGTGTTAACATCAGGTTGGTTTGTCTGTGTTTTTATTGTCTGTGCTGGTGTCTTTCTCTCTTTCGCCTGTTTTAGGTTCTTTTTAACTGAAATTGTTTTATTTTGGCAGCTCAAATATGAATTTCAGCACATGTACTTTTTTGTTTGATATTACACCTGGGTGAATTGTTTCCATGGAAACGATGGCTGTTTTATAGTGCATTATTCTGTGATTGGATATGGAACCTTTAGGAAAGCCTTATTTCATAGAAACTAGTGTCTTTTTAATTTTATCCCGAAATTTGAATCGGAAAGACTTTCTGTTTGAATCCTCTCCTGTTGACGGAATAAAAATAGATATATATCTGCGCGTGGTAAGGCACACTCATAACAGAAAAAAAAAAAAAAAAAAAAAAAAAACATTGTCAAAGAGGAAATTTGATATCAAGGTGAATTTGGAGGGACCAATAACTTGGCATAAGAAATATCTATAAAAAGACAACTTCAGACATCCTGATTCAGTAATGATAAACACATTTTTTATAACCTTTGCAAATGAAATTGCGGATACCATTAAAAACTTGCGAGTAGAGAATTTTCTGTAAACACTCCTGCTGCAGTTAGAGATTCATTAGTAATAGGCGTATTATTCGTAACCGATCCATTTGGTTGAGGTAATCCTGGTACCGGAGGTGGCAGTGGTGGTGGCGGTGCATTAGAAGCTCCCGGATAATCTATGAGTTTGGTACATTGCCGCCCATCTATATTGTCGCACTTTTCCATTCCGGATGTCATGACAAATGTACTTATCCTCTTTACTTTGAGCTTATTTAATATTCTAATCATGTTTGAAATTATTTCAAGTGGTGGAGGTGGCTCCATTAAACTGACAATTTCTTCATCATTATCCAATTCTAAAGATCTGGTGGCGGCGGTAAAGGGAACATAGAGTCTCGATCTTAAATAACAGAGTTTTCTTTGTCATTTTGATAAAAATCGTGAGAATCGGGCGGCAAAGCCACGCTTTTTCTGAGATAAGTTTGTTGGTCATTGTCTGTGAGAATAGGTGGCGGTGGTGGTGGTGGTAGTTGAAGTGGCAATTGGCTATATCTGTCGTCTGGCGGCGGTGGTGGTAATTGTCTATATCTATCATAAGGTGGTGCCGGTAAGACAGACTGTGTATTATGGCATATTTCATTGTCATGACGCAAAGGAACCGGCGACATTGTAACATCTTCATTTTTGTAAATGTCACGTGGTTCTGATATTGAGGTTTCATTTTGCATCTAAAATAATAAATTATGTGCCACGAATGATGTTCAATTAAATGGTTTATTTTTGGGGTGGACATCATGTTTTTGTTTAATCATTTTTTTTTATTCTAAATGTTCTTGGAAAAAAATATTTCAGAAGGAAATTGAATGAAAAAAGTTTGTTTCCATTGGAAAATCAGTAAAAAAAATATACCAACATTGATTACAAAAAATTCTTGTTCCTGTGTATGATATCGAAAAAAAAAAGTTTTGTTTTTCATTTCTTAATTAGTTTTTTTGTCATGAGAATAATTTCAAACATTTTGATGACACCTATACGGAAATTCTATGACATTTTTGGAGAAATTGTGTGTTTAGAAAGCATTTTCATTTTGAAATAGTACGTAAAAAAGATACCACGAAAAGCAAAACAAAAAATATTAGACAGTACAACAGACGACATCAACCACTAACAACCGGCTCCTCCGACAAAATGTACAAACAACACTTTGTGCAGATAGCTTGAACGGTAAAATGTACTTAGGTTAAACCAGTTTTATATCACGGCGCACACCCCCTCCCCATTTGCCTGTCTAGATCACGATGCAAACTAAAAATAAAAAATACGAATCTACGAAAGAAAAATAACCAATTGAAATCTTATTCTATTTTCAGTGATCAAAAATTATGTCGGAAATAATCAACATTTCTCTACAAAACTCGGAAAGAATAAATTTGCAGTGGCGTAGGAGTAGACTGAAAAGTGGGAGAGGGTAAATTTTTGAAAATGACAGACCAAAAAAGTAACAACTTATAGTCTAGAAGTTAGTCACTGTTTCTCTCATTTTTCAATATTTTGTTTGCCACAGAGTTGTTTCTTTTTGGGGGGAAGAGGGGGGGGGGGGTGGGGGGTCTCCTTCGCCCCTGATTTGCCTTTTATTGGGGCTTGGACATATTAAATCTATATTGTTGTTCATTTTTTTTAATTTGATAAATAACTAGAGAATAAAGAACCAATTCAGTGGATAGGTAAAAAAATAAGATAAAAAATTCAGAGGACGAGAGGGACAAATCTAAAGTAACAAGATGGGTATTCAGAAAAACGGAAAAAGACGTGTTTGAACAGAGAAAAAATTTCCTAAGAAAGCAATTTCGTGAACTTAACTTCCATAGAAACAAATGCAAACTCCGGGTTGTGAACATTATTTCCCTATGGAACAATGCAAACTTAGATATCTATCATATCTCGGGGAAGTAAAACAAACATACGGACCTACACAGCGGAAACTGATATATCTTTCAATTATTTCCTAAGATAACAAGAACAGAAACACGCTGGTATATACATGTACCACATTCCTTTATAAAACCAAAAAACTAGGAAGACAAATGAAAACCGTATTAACTTCGCCCGGTAAACAACAAAAACATCAGGAAACAATGGAAACTCATATGAAATGTACAATATATGCTTGTTGTTTCATAAGACTATAAAGGTGTGTTGTTCTCAATAAAAAATTTCTATAAATGCATCTACATGATGTTTGTTAATGCGTTTGTGCAGTTTCCTCAGAAAATAATCCATGGTTTTAGGTTCATAGGCTCAGGTATACCGGTATGTAATAAGAACCGGAACATTATCTATAAACATCGCACAGGTGTAGCTCCCTGAGCTTGTTATTTGTCTTGCTCACTGAGGAAATACGCTATTGTAGGTCCTTGGGATTAGAAGTTCGTAAGGAAATAGTCGATAGATATTTTGTGCCTGTAGTGTCCTTGTTATTAAAAGCATGTTACAAACGGAACACAGCTATAGATAAAGAGTTATTGAATCTATAAGTTCTCTGATGTTATACCTTTGTGTTGTTCCCCGAGGAAATAATCTATAAATATACCAAACATGGTTCTTTTAGTGCCGGATTGCTCTGACGTCCCACGACCTATATCAAACAAGTCAGAAAAGGACACCAGACGTCAAATCAATCTCGAACTAAGGTTTTATTTTATGGGGAAATAACCTAAAAATAGGTAACTCTGGTAGTTATGTTTGTACTGTGGGCCTGGTGACATAAATATAGATATAATGTGTTTGTAGATTTCCTGACGGATTTCAGTTATTTTTGTCCCCGAGTAATACTGTATAACTATAGTATGCATGTGATTTTCTGTGTTTATATTCTTTACGTGTATCATGTTTGTGCTGTTGTTTATCATGGTGAAATAAGCTATATTGTATAGCTTGCTATGCTGTATGGATTTTCCTCATTGTTGAAGGTTGTTCGTCGATCTGTACTTGCTAATATCAAAGTCACTTATTCTCTGTTTGAAAATTGTCTCATTGGCACATCTCCTTTCTTTATATATAATAATAATAGTTTTGCCCCTATGAACTTGAATTTGTGTTCACATCTGAGAAAATAGCATACTGCACTTGCACACCCTAATGATATTAGTTTGTGCTGTTCCCTGTAATCTATAATAATCTATACAACGAGGAAATAAGTATTAACCTTAATTTATTTGTACTTCCATGATGTTATAAATTTGAACTTGAAACTTGAAAGATAGAGGCCGAAGTTACCAAAGGAACATTCAAAACGCGAATTCGAGAGCACCTGACAACGGCATGATAAAACAAGAATGTGTCCATAGTACATGGATGCCCCAAGCACACTATCATTTTCTATGTTCAGTGGACCGTGAAATTGGGGTTAAAACTCTAATTTGGCATTAAAATTAGAAAGATAATATCATAGGGAACATGTGTACTAAGTTTCAAGTTGATTGGATTTCAACTTCATCCAAAAATACTTTGACCAAAAACTTTAACCTGAAGCGGGACAGACGGACGGACGGACGCACAGACCGAAAACCATAATGCCCCTAGGTGGGGCACAAAAAAGAACTCTGAAAGACAAAAACATTCATAAAACACCACATAGAAAACTTGACTGAGCAACTCGAACGCCACCAAAAACCGGGCGAGGGGGTCTCATGTGCTTCGGAGGGGGTACCAGATTCTGCTCCACTAGTGGCACCTAGTTAAATCAATGGTATATAAAATACACGTATATTCCATATCTACATCAACTCTGACAAATTGACATTATAATTTCTTATATTTCAATTTTTAGTAAATAAATATAACAATCCTTATAATATACACTGTATGTAATTAACTAAGTTATAAGAACTCTCCGCATAATAGACACTGTAGACATCATAAAGAACTATATAATCTAATTAAGTTATATGGGAAATGAACACTTGAAACATGTTTGATTAACATGTAATGAATATACACAAAACCCTTATCATATTATCATAACCGGAACAACCATTTGGCCTTCTCGGCGGTCAAGGAAGAATTTAAATATGAAATAAAGATCGTAAAAAAATGTCATAATATACATCAATATATACCCCAAAATAAAAGAAATTAATTCAACGACCAAGGTAATTTGGTTGACCCCGAAATAACAAATGTAAGACAATTCAAACGAGAAAACGAACGGCATGATTTATGTACAATACAACGATCGAAAAACAAATATGATACAACAACAAACGGCAACCACCGAATTACAGGCTCCTGACTTGGGACAGGCACATACAGAATGTTGCGGGGTTAAACATGTTTGCGGGCTCCCAACCCTCTCCCTAAACTGGGACAGTGGTATAACAGCACAAAAAATGAACAAACTATAAAAATCAGTTAAAAAGGGCTTTACTCATCAGAGTGATACAAAGCAGAAAAACAAGTAATAGTAACAAAACCAGTCCGGACGTGGTTTTTTCTCTAATGTTTACCAGTTGAGGAGACTTACAAAAAATAATTTAATTCGTGAAGACAATGTAATGCAAGTACATTTTGCCTTGGTTTTTGTTTTTTATTCAAGGGATTGTAGAGGGCAACATTCAGTCTCCATCATTAGACCGATGTCTATGACCTTGGGATGATTTAAATGTTGATGTAGTGTATATGTTCCCGACCATATGAGTATTTGGAACATACGCGTATGGTCCGGGTAATTAACTGATGATGAACATTGAAAAGGTGTCGCATAGTTAAGAGTTTCTATATACGAAACACAATATGTCGACTTGGGAAAATGACTTCAAAGAAATATCTAAAGAAACTTTTAAACAAAGAGTCAATTGTTTGACTCACAGGTACTCTGGGCATTTAACCGTCTTTCTTTTCTTTTTTGGAAATTATTTTGGTGTTTAAATTTGTTTTCATTAAATTAAGATTTCTTATTTTTTTTTAATTGTTTTATATATCTAATGAGTTCTTGCTCCTACTCATACGATCTTACAATAATTAAATGAATATAAGTAGAAATAAGAAGACATTTTTTCCCTGATATAATAATTTAAACACTACTAAAAAAGAAAACAAGGTCAAAATCTCAAACGCCTGTAATTTCATTACAGACGAAATATCCCACAAGAAAAAGTCGCACACAAATGACTCTAGCGAAGGCCAGATAACAGTATATTCATAGTTTCAAACAATATGTAAAAGATAAAGGAATTCAGTTAGTAACTTGTGTTGTTTTAAGTTCGGAGAATGAGTTGTGTGTTTCTCCGAATGAAGCTACAATTTATTCGAAAAATACCATTCATGGTCTAAATACTCATATGGTCCGGTCCGTTAATAACCATACGAGTATATTACTCATATGGTCCAACTATAAGCGTATGGTCGGACCATATGAGTATACGCACATGGTCATGATACTCATATGGTCCGGAACATATATATATACAGTTGCACATATCTATTGTTGAATACTGCATGCACATGTTGCCCTCCAGATTTATTTATTGTTTTTGTCGTTTTTTTTTCTTGCTCATCGGGGTTTTACCCGATTCTCCTTTTATGCATACATATTACGTACAGGTCTATGTTTTCTTTCCATGTCCCGACTAAATAATTCACTGTAACTGAAAATTAATGACCATTCAAAATGAAGTGGAATAAAGGTTCTTATATAGAATCAGCAATATTATAACGAGTCAAATAAAAAGATAATAGTTTAAGATTTGTATTTTATAAGATTAAAGTACAGTTTCGAAATAAAACGTTTTACACGCATATACTTTTTAATTTGATATACATATTTATCGGTGTTCCCACTGTCTATATAACTCTACCACTGGACGTTAAGCAACCAACAATCAATCAATCTATAGCATTCTGATCAGCTCTTCATAATATTGCATAGCACGGCTGACGTTGACCCGGACCTTAATTGACCCGTTTCTTCGTATTGATAGTGTAAAATATCAGCTGCTCGACACAATATGAAGACTTTTTGAACTTTTGAACTCATTCACTGCGCTCACTCTACAAAAAGCTCCATATTGTGACTTGCAGCTAATATTTTACAATAGCAGTATGCAGACAACCTGATAATCGGAACATAGTACCTGTATTTTTATTTTTTTATTTTTAAGTTTATTGAAAAGACTGATATAATACGTTTCATTAATCATGTATTTGAATAAAAAAAAATGTATGTTTAGATTATTTAGATACTTTGATTCAATAATTCATCTTTTTCCGCCTGAAATTTCGAAATCTTGATTTACTTGTAATATAGGGTTTAATTTTGCCTATATGAAAGAATATTTAGTACTTTTTTTTTGTTCGATCTTAACAACAAACAAAAATCAAAAACATATAAAGGTCAACATGCAGTCTTCAACAATAAACACGAGCAGTATGTCAAGTTTTATATTCCCCGAATCTAGGAAATATTTCTTTTTCCATGCAGGAATAATCCTATTAATTCCCTAAAAATTTTCAAAACTATAACATCATAAAATTATAAATTCTAGATGAAAAACAAACAAAAAAGCTGATATACACAGTTCAATTATATAAATCATTTAAACATTGAAAAAATCGAATCTTATATTGAAATTTCAAACAAATTGGCCCGCACCTGGTATTTCGACGGCATGCTGATTATCTACGGGTGCAACAAAGTCACTTATTTCTATTTATGAGGAATTAGTTCCCCCTTCCCACTGGACCAATACAAAGTTGTAACTACACTAAATTTTGGGAGGGCTTCTTGAGTTTTAAAGAAAAATGTCCATCTTCCCTTTTTGAAAAGACTATATCAACCCATGTTTCAAACTCTATAGCAGGGTCGAAGCATTTACACTAGTTTCAATTATAATTGTTTTTATCAATCCCATTCACAATCGCTGTCAGAATATTCGGAATCATCGTCATCACTGGAACTGTCTTCTGTGAACTTTCGGCGACTCTCTAATGCTCTGTTCATTATGGTTGTAACATCCATATGATTCGAATTAGATTTGACTGGCTGTGTTGGTGTTTTTCTGTCTTTTGACTGTTTTAAATTCTTTTTCACTGAAATTGTGAAATGCAATTGATATTTGGTATATTGAATAATTGACTGATTAAGTACAAAGTACAAAGTCTCTACTAAAAAAAGTTGTAGACTTCAAACAGCTTTACATTTAAAAGTACACGAAATTTCTTTTCAAGGACTAGCAAATTGTATGATTGGCATTATTTGCCAATTTCACTTTCCCACCCCTTAAAAAGATTAAAGTTATTTTGTCTAAGGTTATGGTTGTCTTTCTGATATTGTTTTACATCTAACCCCCTTGTTTTATTAATTTTGTATTTACATTGTGTCATAGATCAAATTTATTCGTTCGGTGTATACTCACTTGTTTTTGTTAATATGTCTTTTGATTGAGTTAAACCATTTCAATTGATATTTTATAGTGTGTCTTTCTATGTTGGGATGATACACTATTGTTTCAGGTAGGGTGAAGGTTGGTGCCTATTAAAACGTTTAAACACGCTGCATTTGTTTTCACCTGTCCTATTTAGGAACCTGGTGTTCAGTGGTTGTCGTTTGCTGATGTGGTTCATAACTGTTTCTCGTTTTTCGTTTTTTATATAGATTAGACCGTAGGTTTTCCTGTTTGAATGGTTTTACACTAGTCATTTTGGGGCCCTTTATAGCTTGCTGTTCTGTGTGAGCCAACGCTCAGTGTTGAAGGTCGTAATTTGACCTATAATGGTTTACTTTTACAAATTGTGACTTGGATGTAGAGTTGTCTCATTGGCACTTATACCACATCTTCTTATATCTATTTACTGAAACTGTGTAAAATACTTACTTGCAAGTAATGAATTTTCTGAAAACATCCCTGTTGCAGATGGAGTTTCAACACTAACAGATGCAGACGCTGTCGTCAACGTATTTGGTGCAGGAGCTATTCCCGGAGGTGGTGGAGGCGGTGGTGGTGGCGGTGCATTTGGAGCGGAAGCTTTTTCAGTGTTTGGGAAAACAGGAGGAGGTGGAATATGTTTTCTGCTGTTAATATTGTCGCCATTTTCCATGGCTGATGGAAAGACAAATGTACTAATTCTATTGGCTTTGAGCTTTTGAGAGGTTCTCAGCAGATTTGGATTTATTTCAAGTGGAGGAGGAGGTTCGATTATGCTGTCCCTTCCTTCGTTATTGTCTGGATCATCGGGTGGTGGAGGCAATGGGAAAAAAGAATCACGCTCGTCCATTGCCGAGTTTTCTATTTCATAATGATAAAAATCGTGAGGAGCAGGCGGCAATGCAACACTTTGGCTAGGTCCATTCGTCATGGCAACAGGCGGATCGGGAGGTGGTGGCGGTAAATTACTGTATCGATCGTCAGGCGGTGGTGGTAATGCCGAATTAGTGTGATTTGAAATGAAGCTGTGTTTACGCATAGGTACAGGTGGCGGCGCATCATTTTCTTCAGGCAATCCTGCATGTATACTGCAAGCTGGGTCAACCTTTTCATTTTCGTCCTACAAGTTACAGAATTTTATACCAGAAGATAAAGTTACGTCATATTTTGTCTTAGATTGATGGATTTTTTTTTAAATTACCAACGTTATACGAAAATCCGGTAATAATAATATGTAATTTAATGTATAAATTGTCAAAACCGTTCTCTTTTCCTCCTCAGGACGTCACTGTAATCAGATTTATTCTTGACATGAGCAACTGATGCAGCAAGTAACTGCCTACCTTTACTAAACACATGAAATCACCATCGGTTTCGGTGGAATTCGTGTTGCTCACCCAATCTTATGTTTTCTGTGTAGTGTTTTATGGACTGTTGTTTTTCTGCTTTTTTTCTCATTTTTGTCCATGTTGTGGGTCTTACTTGATCTTATGATTTGTTCATCCCCCCCCCCCTCCCTTCCCCCTCCGATTGGGTTAAAGAATCAACATTTGCCTCGAACCAATGTAAAGAATGTGTTATTGCGTACGCCAAAAACCATCAATAAAAAAATACCTTATCATGTATTTTTTCTGATTCTTCCATTTCGTCTTTTTCTTCTACGTTTTCAAGTTTCTCGTTAGGATGCTGTTTTGCCCATTGTTTACTAGAAATTCCTTCCATTTTTTTCTTTTTCTCCTTCTTACTTTTCCCGTGACTCTGTTGAACAAACTGTGTGCTAAATTCTGCACCTTTTGCTTTGTCTCTCATTTTATCTTGTATTCTCCTAACTTGTCTCGGACCTTCTCCTTTATCCTGTCGCCGAGTTTTTCTTTCTGCTCTCTATAATAAAATGTCAACATCTTAGTGACAGCCAAGATTGGTATGCATATAATATAGAGAGCATAACCTATTCTTATTGGAGGGCCTTGTTTCACTTGTGCGCTTGAATTTTTCATTTTGAGGTGATACCCATTTTTTCGTTAAGATGTATTATAGTTCAGTACACAGCTACTTTTTTAAAACTATAACAGTAATATATTATATATAATACAAACAAAATTTTACAGTACTAGCATTGCACAGAAATGCAAAAGAATCAGTTTCCTGCCTTCATTGTGTTGTGCAATATATAAAAAAAAATCTTCTTGTTAAATATCTTAAAATCATAAATTAACTTAAATGTTAAGTTTAAAAAAAGATTCTAGCACTGAGAGAAAGTACACACCCAGTCCCTTTTAGCTTTTGTATACATAATACAGTAAAAACAAAAGCGTATTTTCAGTTCTTAAAAAAAGAAAGTACAAAAAAGTACAATATGAAAAGAGAGTAACATAAGCCTTATGCATCTATCAAATTGCGAATGAGTACATTTAATTATAACCAATACTATTCTATTGATAATCATATAAATATTTATATTTGTATGTGTACTGTATATTGTTTTTCTCTGGAAAGACAAATGCAATCGTCTTGATCCTTCCTCATTTTAATGTACTTTAGAAGGACATCTTTCACGTACTAGTATTCATACCCCGTAGAGGAAGAGTACGTTCGAATTTATGCATCAATTCTAAAATTATGTTCATTTCCATGCAAACACATCATCGCGTTAAGAACTGTACGAAAAAATAGTTGACTATACAAATTATAGTTTGGTATTATTCATCTTAAAACTGTATAGACTTAGATGTAAACAAATAGTTATATATTCATTTCAGAAGAGAGGCGAAAGATACCAAAGGGACATTCAAACTCATAAGTCGAAAATTAACTGACAACGCCATGGTTAAAAAAAACCAACAGACAAACAATAGTACACACAACACAGCATATAAAACTAAATACTAAGCAGGACGAACCCCACCAAACATTGACAGAGATCTCAGGTGCTCCGGAATGGTAACCAGGTCCTGCTCCACATGTGACACCCGTCGTGTTACTTATGTTAGTATAAATAGACAATAATAGTGCATTGACTTGACATATCTTATTTATCTTATAATAATCATAATTTATTTATGATTATTTGGTTAAATAATTATGTGTACCGGTGAATTGGCGCAAATTAATTCCGTATATTGGTGCAATTGATACCTTTGAAAAATAATATTTGATGCAAAATCATATATCTCAAAAATAACAATTGGCGCAAAAGGACTGCTGCAAAATTACTGAAACAAAATCATATGTATACCTTTGTCTTCCGGTGGGAATAATCTGTTTCCTTTTTCTCCATCTGTGAAGACCAATGCGCAAAGAAAAAGTCTGGGTTGGTATACAGTTTTAATCCACTTTTCCCATCTTCTCTACAGTTCAAATTATGAAAAATGAATTAAAGCAATACATGTAACAAGTGATTCAGAAGTTATTTAAATTTGTAGAGAAAAAAAAAACAGTTTATAAAGTGCTAGACACCAACTTTTGAAAGATTGTTTGGTGTATGAAAAAGTAACTTTTGTTTTATTTATTCAATGATTTGTCCTGTAAAAATAGTGACATTTTACGAGAGTCTGGATGGTGGTTCCTTCATTTCTTTAATCTTTATTTTTTACGCCATTTTCCCCAATTCTTTATGTTTTGCCCATTATTTTCTATTCTTTATATTCTAGCACCTCATTATTCTTTATTCTTTATGTTTATATATTCTCTATTCTGTTAACCCCATCAAGACCCTCTTTCATTACTCTATCTTCTGTCTATGTTGAATTGTGCCTTCTTAAAATTGCTGCAGTGGAAGTTCCCGATCCATCTTATGAACATTATAACTAAGCATATTCCTTCAATTCTAATATACCTGAATTGATCAGTCTTTGATATAGCCGGAGGAAAGTTAGCAGCCTTGTACATGTACACTATGGCATTGGGTCTGCTTTTCACACTGAAGATTTGCTGATCAAAATGCTGCGAAAGCGCTTTTTCATTTTCAATGTCATTCAAAGAACCTGTAGTCAAGAAAAATTATACAAAAGTAATATATAAATATACAAAAGTAATATATAATAAAAGTAATATATAATTGAGAGATATTTTTTATAGTGTGTTAAAGTTTACAAATTAGATCTTTAAATGAAATGTACATATTAAAAAAACGAGACAAGGACGTAAAAATGTTTAAACTAAAATGAAAACGATAAAATCAATTAATAGATAAAACATGGTACGTGATTCTTAGAAAAATAAACTAATAAAACAATTGAATTTATTTCCAATTTATTTTGTCTAACTATTTTTCATGTGAAAACAGGTCCTAAATTTTAAAGAATAATCATGCAAATAGTAAATAAGATATATACATAAATAAAAACACTATATTTGAAATGAAACAGGAATGTCCTAGCAATTCAATATGCAATCGATATTTTTGTATCTACTTTTTCTTACCTCCAATCTTTTTCTTGTTCCATTTCTTATATTTTTCTCTCATTTCGTTGAGTTTGTCTTTAAGTTTGTTTGATCTATTGACAACATTTAAAGTCTCTGTAAACAGGTCGTCGAACATGTCCGAGGCATGATGGTTAAGGTTACTAAGCTGTTGTATTATTCCACAGAGGGTGTGGTTAGATATGCATTCGAGTTCATCCCGGATGTTGTTATCTTTATGAAGCTCCACCTGGCTTATTCGGACCGGATCCGACTTCCGTTTGACAAAAGGCATAGACTGAAAATAAGTTATTTTCTTATTAATTATATTGAATTGCTGTATTATTTAGCTTTTTATTACCTAATCAACTTAAATGCTCTGGAGATGACATTTATACGCCTAAGGAACTACACATGAACGACACAAACGGACTGTAGCAAATTTATTTGGACGCACAAAGTAACAGAAACCCAAGGAACCAATAAAAAAAAAACAATCATAAAAAAATGTAATATAATAAAACGAGAAGTAACACAAACAAATATATTTTTAAATATGAAGTCCACACATCGGTAAGTGTAGACAACATGCTTGGCGGCAAAGAACTTAGATGTCTTTTTGTGTCGTTAGTATGCTGTCTAGATGAGTAATACCTCACATATCCGTTTTCATATGCTTGCTTTGTAATAGAAACACAGCATTGCACAGCATCGTTACATTGTATTTTAGGAAGATAAAGAATCATTTCAAATACCATAACAATTATTAATATATACACAAATAAAAAAGTTAATTGAAAATCATTCAGGTTCGGATGCGAAGGAATGGTATGAATGTTTCTTACTCCAGGGGCGGATCCAGCCATTTTTAAAAAGGGGGGAGGGGGGTTCCAACCATATGTCCCCATTCAAAAGCATTGATCGTCAAAAAAGGGGGGGTTCCAACCCCCGGAACCCCCCTCCCTCCTGGTTCCGCCACTGTACTCTATCGTGCATAGAGGTCGAATTTAATCAAACCGTTTTAAAAGTTTTTATTTTCTTTGCTTTGAAAATGTTTTGATAAACTTATTAGAAGAATCCAATAAACTTAAGAAAATCGTACACTCGCCACCCATTAGTGTCATCAGATATAGATTTGAAATGTTTATTAGTATGACTTTTTGCCAGTTATAACATGAATTTTCTTCAAATTTGTGAAAATATGGAAAACGAAAAATAAATTAAGTATTATTTACTATCGTTTGTGAAGTTTTTAACAAATTAGTAGGTAACTTACTCAGTGTAATTTAATCACCAATACATATACAAATTTCAATGAATACGACAACTAAAGTAGGTTAGTTAGTGTGTATATTTCTTCCTCGTTTACATCTACCTTGGCTATTGAATATATACCACACTATATTCAATTATCGATGAACTATTTGAATTAAAGGGAAGTATTTGTAAACACAAAAAAGTTATTTAAAAAATTTCGACTTGTATGTATAGGTTAATACTTACATGACAATAACTTGTGAAAAAGTCCGTTGAGCTAATATCACGAAATCTCCTTTTATTTATATTATTTGAGAACAGGACACGTTGCATACATGTACTATTTTGCTCGGGTTTTAAATTAATTTCATGTTAAATTTTTCTTAATTCCGGACATCATCGAACTGGTGCGTTCACAATCCGAATGAAACGAAGTGTCAAAAGTTATGTACAGTTTATGAATTAAATATGGCATCATAAGCAAGGTCCGATTTTGATCAGTTAAGATACATTAGACAATCCTCGGAAGATTTCGTTACCCTTCTGCATAATCTACTGAGGTATGCCAAAAGTAGTGAAGATCAAGTACAATTGTAATGTCATGTTATTGATATCATTAAAATGAAGGAATACCGCCGATACCGCCGAGCCTAGCGAGGCGATAATCATTTAGACGATTTTATGCTAAAAAATAGATTTTTTTCCAATCAAAGGAGACGTACGCCCTCACCAGCCTCCTCTGAATCTGCCACTGTCTAGCGAACACCCAAGCTAGCGACCAATTCTAGAGACCAACACGGATCACGATAAGGACCAGAAAGCTAGCGATCAATTAGGCCTGATGGTGTGTGTGAAAATATTTATTGGCTTGATGATTTTTTCATCGTACATGTATGATATAATAAATATTAAAACAGTAACAGTATTTGATATGTATACACGATTAACATGCAGAGTGTTGAAATCAGTTTATTCAGTGAAAAATCAGATGAGATATAACAAGGATAAATGCTCAAATTTTTCACACGCAGCATTTGTCTAATGTATGCAAAGCTGGGAAACCTAAATATCAAACAGATTAAGAATGTCGTGGTCAGTTGAAATACGTAAAGTAAATTGATTTTCGGATTTTTAATTTAAAAATATCAGTTTTGAAAGATATTAAGCAAAATTAATGGGTGGTGATTAAACGTAATATTACATTTAAACGGAATCCCTTTATGATGTTAGGTAGGGCTTCGGTGGCCGAGTGGTCTAAGTAGTAGAACTACTGTATCACTGGCCTGTCAACACTGAGGTTAAGTGAGTTTGACCCCAATCTTAAATGACTAGGATTGTCAGTTTGCCTACCGAAGGTCGATGGTTCTCTTTGTCTTCCTCTACAAATAAAAACTGACCGCCACGAAAAAGCGCAATAGTGCTGAAAGTGGCGTTAAACATCAATCAATCAATCAATATGATGTTAGGTGAATTTTACTTGATATAGAAAAGAAGAGATGAGATATTTGTTTTTTTTTATAAATGTTATTCAGTTTGTTGCTTCCTCTTGAAATATGATCACTATATGGACATTTGTGGTAAAAATATCAAATCTGGTTTATCAAAACTATAAGGAAACTTAAGATTAAAATCCGTGAGATTTTACAGTTTCAGTTATTAAGTCTAAATCAATTGTGCATTTCCATATTTTTACCAACTATTAAGTAGTTATGTAATGTAGATTTCTACTGGTGGTACATAACACTACAGGGAGATAACTCTAAAAATCAACTGAACGTTTTAATCACGTTCTATTGTTAAGGAGATATTATTAATAAGCTTCTCAATGATCAAAATTATCGTTTATCAAACTGCTATATAGCCAATGAAATTTTTCCGATAAAATGTGTGGTTCAAGTGTTTTTTTATATTTTTGTCAAAGGGTCAAAGTAAATATTTTGTCAACATTTTATGAAAATTAAAGGAGCCAAATTATTTTTAGTCAAGGGGTTTGGTACACCTTAACTTATACCAATTTACCCGTTTCTCCTAGCATATTGAATAACGATCGTCAACGATTAAAAAGGGCGTATCGATATTAAGTATTTTATGCAACAGTTAAGTCATAAAATTTTTTTTTTCAACAATTTTCAAAATGAATAAAGTTAAATAATTTCATGATTGATTTTCATGAAATATATAAATATGTTAATCCTAACCGTGTACTTGTCACCTGATCATTTTTGGCATTTAAAGTTTCTCTCTATATATTATTGTTTTCAAGATTATAGACAAATTAAAAACCCACAAAACAGTTGTACAAAATTGTCATTTAAGGGCAATAAATCCTTTAAGGAGTCTACTGACAATTTTGGTCTTGTTGGCCTATTTATAGATCGTCCTTAAACATCGTCATTTAAGGACAATAACTCCTATAAGGAGTTCACTGAAGAATTCTTCCACCATGCGATATTTGTAGATCTTGTCTTGCTGATATTTAGTGTATTATAATTTTAAAGGATTATAAGAACGAACGAAAAAAAAAAGAGAAAAATCCTCATTTTAGGGCAATAACTTCTATAAAGTTTTGGTTTAAATGGACGTTTGGTCCTGTCAGATTTTTAACCGAATTTCCAAATGAAAATATCGGTTATTAATTTGGTGATGTACGGCGGGCAGCTGCCTAACTGTGTCCGTGTAATTACTTGAAAACGCTTTGCGGAAATCTTTTCAAATTTAAATACGTTGTTTCCTGTCACTAAATGAAGGTCAAATTCAATTTTCAAGATTTTAGCTTTAATTGTTATTGGGTTGTAGACTTTTAAGTAGCAAAAAGTGATACTTAGAGCGTTGTCCGTGCAATACGTAATAAAAAAAAACTCTTTAAAAAAGTCTTTTCAAATTTAAATATGTTGTTTCCTGTGACAAGATAAAGATCAAGTTCGATTTTCACGATTTTAGCTTCCATCGTTGTTGAGTTGTAGACCTTTAAGTAGAGAACAGTGATGCTTAGAGCGTTGTCCGTGCAATAACTTGAAAACGCTTTGACGAAACCTTTTCAAAGTTAGATATGTTGTTTCCTGTGACGTTATGAAGGTCAAGTTTGATTGTCATGATATTGGCTTTTATCGTTGTTGAGTTGTAGACCTTTAAGTAGCGAAAAGTGAAAAAACAAAAATACCGAACTTCAAGGAAAATTCAAAACGGAAAGTCCCTTATCAAATGGCAAAATCAAAAGCTCAAACACATCAAACGAATGGAAAACAACTGTCATATTCCTGACTTGGTACAGGCATTTCCTTATGTAGGAAAATGGTTGACTAAACCTGGTTTTATAGCTAGCTAAACCTCTCACTTGTATGACAGTCGCATAAAATTCCATTATATTGGAAACAATGTGTGATACTTAAGATTGATTTTGGCCTTACCATTTCCAAAACCTACAACAATTCATTTATTTTTTTTTACTTGATCCTGTTTTGGGGTCCAGATTTGCAAATATCATTTTCATGCAGGAAAATCCGGTTTGCTGTCAATCTGACAGCCTCTTGTCTCTATGTATAACGGTTTACATAATATTTATAACATACAGTAACTGATTAAAATGATAAAACTGAATTATAAATACTTACATCCATTTCCAACCCCTGGTTTACCAATATGACAAGGAAAATGAATTTTCTGTGAAATGTTAGTTTCGAGTAACAATTTCCACGTCTTTGTTAAACATCTTAAACAGTAACCGGATATATATATCACATTTTATGCATCTCATTTGTTTTGTAAATAACCTGTTTAACGGTCAGGATCAATGATCCATTAATACCTGTGTAAATTTTTTTTTAAACATTTGTACGTCAATTATTCGTCAAACTATGTCTTTATTTAAGACTGCAATTCAATACCGATCAACACTGTTTTAGTATTTACCACATTTTACATCTTGTCAGCTGACCTGGTCCAAAGTCGGTAATGTTGGCCTCACGTACGTTATTTTTTAAAGTCATTCATCAAAATTTTTCTTTGAAAATCTAACTTAAAATAATATTCGATACATATTATACGGAAAAAGTTAAGATAAAATAAGGCACTTCAAAAGAAAGATGGGACATGTTATATTTAGATATAGAGTAATTATGTGTAAATACTGAATAAAGTTTAATATTTTGTATTATTGGTTACATGAGGGTCTGGGTGGGGGTCCTTCATTTCTGTATTTAAAAAAAGGGTATTTTTCTCAATTTGTTATATTTTTCGTCCATTATTTTCTATTCCTTATTTTAAAGCCCTGTCTTTCTCTATTCATTGTTTTTTGGGTCCATTTTCTGTAGATTTGGCCGATTATTCTCTGTTCTAAAATACGATCCAGACCCTCTTACATATAAAATAATGTCGAATAACACATGCACTTAACGTTTAAGTTGTTACAAAATATACACCTGGTCTTTCGGGTAGAGGATTGACAGGGTCTCTTCAATAATTATCATGGGAACACTTTGATATCCTCTGTCTTAGTTATGGTTAAAAAGGGCTGACATAAGCATATATAAACATTTCTGGTAACTGTTTAATATCACATTATCGTGGATTTACAAACAATAACATAAATAAAACATTAACAAGGTATGACAAGAATCGACAATAATACAGCACAGTATGACATACCACATCATGCAACCACCAACATCCGACTCTTACAAAAAACAGGCATGCAAAACAAATTATTATGTCATTTGGTCTCTGGTGGAGAGTTGTCTCATTTGCAATCATACCGAATGTTCTCATTTTTATAAGACAAATGACAAATGACAACGTTCAACACAATGCCTATAGATAGCCTAACTTTGGTACAGACACAAAATAAAGTGGAGTGAAACCACTGTTACGTGTGCAACCCCCCCTTTTTGCTCATCTATACTATTTGTTGTAACACACACACACACAACAGTCTAAACAGTGCAGTTATCGACATGGGGACCGCTAACTTTCATGAACAGAAAAATAAATTCCGGTACATAAGTTGGAAAGCAGGGGCCGGTATCATGAAGCAATCTTAGTGCTTAAGATCATCTTAAGATCATCTTATCTGCTAAGAGTGTATCTTGAAGTAATCTTAGAATGATTGACAGCCCTTAAAATTCATGTTGCACTCGCAACCCTAAGAATACTCTTTATCCTTCTCGGAACGCACTCTTAGTTTCAATCTTATCGACTGGGTATCTCGAACGTCGATAATCCACTTAAGATCGTCATTGATTACTCTTAGCAAATTTTAAGTGTATCAGCATTCTTTTTTTACTGAAAACTTAACAGAAAATTCTAAGAGTGGTCAGGGGCACCCCTATCTCTCTCTTAGTTGACAAAATGGCGCTTGCAATGTTCTTGCATGTGCGTTCAAAAGAACAAAATAGGATATCGAAAAGGATCTTCAGAGATCGAACAAAGCCATTGGATTTCCTGGACGATCGTGGGATTTTCCATGATTATAGAAGCGGAAATGTCCCGAGTAGCAGCATTTCTTTCTGCTGAATAGCTGTCAGCATTGTTTCCAATTCGTTTTTGTTAAAGTTGGCTTTTCGTATAAAAATAAAGAGATTTTGAATGATTCCTAATAAGATAACTATCTACCAAAGTTCAAATGAAGTTGATGTAAGCAATTATAGGCAACCGTAAGGCCTTCAACAATGAGAAAAACCCATACCGTATAGTCGGCTATAAAATGCCCCGACATGAAAAATATGAAACAATTCAATTGAGAAAATTAACGGCCTAATTTATAACAAAACATTTTACGAAAAACAATTATGACAGACATAAACCAACAGCAACCACTAAACTACAGGCTCCTGACGTAAGACAGGCACATACAGAAAGTGGCGGAGTTAATCATGTTTGTGAGCGCTCAACCATCCCCAAACCTGGGACAGTGGAGTTACAGCACAACATAAGAATAAACCATAAAAATCAGTTGAAAAGGGCTTAACTCATCAGATCGATACAAAGCAGAACAACATCTAACGAAAATACAAACCGGACGTGGCAGGGTATTTATACATCCCTAACAACAAAAAAGAAATAAAGTACAGATCTGAGTGTACTCGCAGTTACTGAGAGCTAGTTCAAAGCCAATAACAACTAAAGAAATAAAATCATGTATATAAGACTAAAAAATCAATCAGTACACACCCAACATCCAATGGATTTACTGTAAAGACGTCATTAACAGTCAGAGAGAAACATGACCTTGTGCAATGCCAAAATATAGGTATCCACAGATTGTAGTACCGTGAAAGTGCATATGCATATAACAATAATATATTTAGTATGGTTTTAATTTACTGATAACAAAATCAATATTTATACCAATAAAAACAATATTCAAAGATCTAACTACAGTGCTGAATTGGTAAACTTTTAGAATAAGTTTATTTAAAGGATTGATAAGTTTACCCGGATCGTATCTAAATTCCCGTGCTCAGTAAACAACATCACCGTAAAAGTTAGAATGTGTTATTCCGTGTGAAAAAAGTTTTCTACAGGTACACGGCCAAACTTGAAAACCAAATCTATGGAATAATTCAGTAAATGTTTTAAGTAATTTGTGGTAACTAAATCCCTGACTTAATAATTTACCAGTAATACATAGATTATGTTCATTGAAATCCAAAGCATCACTACAGACACGGGCATATCAATTGTGAATTGATGCCATGAAATTTGGTGACGTTATCCAATCAAAATGAACGTTACAAACGATGTTGCATTAGAATGGCCTGTCAACACTGAGGTTAGTCGAGTTTGACTCCAATCTTAATTGACTAGGATTGTTATTTTGACTACAGAAGGTCGATGATTCTTTTTGTCTTCCTCTACAAATAAAAACAGACCGCCACGAAATAGCGTATTATAGTGCTGAGAGTGGCGTTTAACATCAATCAATCAATCAACCAATCAATCAATATGATGTAAGTTGAATTTTACTTGATATCGAAAAGAAGAGATGTGTTATTTGTTTTATTTTAAATGTTATTCAGTGTGTTGCTTCCTCTTGAAATGTGATCACTATATGGACATTTGTGGTAAAAAAATCAAATCTGGTTTATCGAAATGATAAGGGAAGATTAACATCCGTGAGATTTTACAGTTTCAGTTCTTAGATCTAAATCAATTGTGCATTTCCATATTTTTACCAACTATTGAGTAGTTATGTAATGTAGATTTCTTAAGGTGGTACATAACACTACATGGAGATAACTCTGTAAAAATCAGCTGAACGTTTTAATCACGTTCTATTGTTAAGGAGATATTATTTATAAGCTTCTCAATGATCAAAATTAACGTTTGTCAAACTGCTATATAGCCAATGAAATTTTTCCGATAAAGTGTGCGGTTCAAGTCTTTTTTTATATTTTTGTCAATGAAAGGGTCAAAGTAAATATTTTGTCAAAATTAAACGAGCCAAATTAATTTTAGTCAAGGTTTTTGGTACCATCTTAACTTATACCCATTAATATTCAATATGCTAGGAGAAACGGGTAAATCATTTACCCGTTTCTCCTAGCATATTGAATAACGATCGTCAACGATTAAAAAGGGCTTATCGATATAAAGTATTTTATGCAACAGTTAAGTCATAAAATTTTGTTTTCAACAATTTTCAAAATGAACAAAGTTAAATAATTTCATGATTGATTTTCATGAAATATATTAATATGTTAATCCTAACCGTGACCTTGTCACCTGATCATTATTGCCATTAAAAGTTTCTCTCTATTTATTATTGTTTTCAAGATTATAGACAAATTAAAAACCCACAAAACAGTTGTTCAAAATTGTCATTTAAGGGCAATAAATCCTTTAAGGAGTCTACTGACAATTTTGGTCTTGTTGGCCTATTTATAGATCGTCCTTAAACATCGTCATTTAAGGACAATAACTACTATAAGGAGTTCACTGAAGAATTCTTCCACCTTGCATTATTTGTAGATCTTGTCTTGCTGATATTTATTTTATTATAATTTTAAAGGATTATAAGCACGAACGAAAAAAAAGAGAAAAATCCTCATTTTAGGGCAATAACTTTTATAAAGTTTTGGTTTAAATGGACGTTTGGTCCTGTCAGATTTTTAACCGAATTTCCAAATGAAAATATCGGTTATTAATTTGGTGATGTACGGCGGGCAGCTGCCTAACTGTGTCCGTGTAATTACTTGAAAACGCTTAGCGGAAATCTTTTCAAATTTAAATACTTTGTTTCCTGTCACTAAATGATGGTCAAATTCGATTTTCAAGGTTTTAGCTTTAATTGTTATTGGGTTGTAGACTTTTAAGTAGCGAAAAGTGATACTTAGAGCGTTGTCCGTGCAATACTTAAAAAAAAAACACTTTAAAAAAGTCTTTTCAAATTTAAATATGTTGTTTCCTGTGACAAGATAAAGATCAAGTTCGATTTTCACGATTTTAGCTTCCATCATTGTTGAGTTGTAGACCTTTAAGTAGAGAACAGTGATGCTTAGAGCGTTGTCCGTGCAATAACTTGAAAACGCTTTGACGAAACCTTTTCAAAGTTAGATATGTTGTTTCCTGTGACGTTATGAAGGTCAAGTTTGATTGTCATGATATTGGCTTTTATCGTTGTTGAGTTGTAGACCTTTAAGTAGCGAAAAGTGAAAAAAACAAAAATACCGAACTTCAAGGAAAATTCAAAACGGAAAGTCCCTTATCAAATGGCAAAATCAAAAGCTCAAACACATCAAACGAATGGAAAACAACTGTCATATTCCTGACTTGGTACAGGCATTTCCTTATGTAGAAAAATGGTTGATTAAACCTGGTTTTATAGCTAGCTTAACCTCTCAATTGTATGACAGTCGCATAAAATTCCATTATATTGACAACAATGTGTGATACTTAAGATTGATTTTGGCCTTACCATTTCCAAAACCTACAACAATTCATTAATTTTTTTTTACTTGATCCTGTTTTGGGGTCCAGATTTGCAAATATCATTTTCATGCAGGAAAATCCGGTTTGCTGTCAATCTGACAGACTCTCGTCTGTATGTATAACGGTTTACATAATATTTATAACATACAGTAACTGATTAAAATGATAAAACTGAATTATAAATACTTACATCCATTTCCAACCCCTGGTTTACCAATATGACAAGGAAAATGAACTTTCTGTGAAATGTTAGTTTCGAGTACCAATTTCCACGTCTTTGTTAAACATCTTAAACAGTAACCGGATATATATTACACATTTTATGCATCTCATTTGTTTTGTAAATAACCTGTTTAACGGTCAGGATCAATGATCCTTTAATACCTGTGTAAAAATTCTTTTAAACATTTGTACGTCAATTATTCGTCAAACTATTTCTTTATTTAAGACTGCAATTTAAATACCGATCAACACTGTTTTAGCATTTACCACATTTTACATCTTGTCAGCTGACCTGGTACAAAGTCGGTAATGTTGGCCGTCACGTACGTTATTTTTTAAAGTCATTCATCAAAATTTTTCCTTGAAAATCTAACTTAAAATAATATTCGATACATATTATACGGAAAAAGTTAAGATAAAATAAGGCACTTCAAAAGAAAGATGGGACATGTTATATTAAGATTTATCTAGTAATTATGTGTAAATACTGAATAAAGTTTAATATTTTGTATTATTGGTTACATGAGGGTCTGGCTGGGGGTCCTTCATTTCTGTATTTAATAAAAAAAAAGTTATTTTTCTCAATTTGTTATGTCAATCATTTCTATTCCTTATTTTAATGCCCTGTCTTTCTCTATTCTTTATTTTTTTGGGTCCATTTTCTGTAGATTTGGCCGATTATTCTTTGTTCTAAAATACGATCCAGACCCTCTTACATGTAAAAGAATGTCGAATAACACATGCACTTAACGTTCAAGTTGTTACAAAATATACACCTGGTCTTTCGGGTAGAGGATTGACAGGGTCTCTTCAGTAATTATCATGGGAACAATTTGATATCCTTTGTCTTAGTTATGGTTAAAAAGGGCTGACATAAGCATATATAAACATTTCTGGTAACTGTTTAATATCACATTATCGTGGATTTACAAACAATAACATAAATAAAACATTAACAAGGTATGACAAGAATCGACAATAATACAGCACAGTACGACATACCACATCATGCAACCACCAACATCCGACTCCTACAAAAAACAGGCATGCAAAACAAATTATTATGTCATTTGGTCTCTGGTGGAGATTTGTCTCATTGGCAATCATACCACATCTTCTCATTTTTATAAGACAAATAACAACGTTCAACACAATGCCTATAGATAGCCTAACTTGGTACAGACACAAAATTATGTGGAGTTAAACCACTGTTACGTGTGTAACCCCCTTTTTTGCTCGTCTATACTATTTTTTGTAACACACACACATACAAACAATCTAAACAGTTCAGTTATCGACACGGTGACCGCTTACTTAAACAGAGAAATAAATTCCGGTACATAAGTTGGAAAGCAGGATCACAATGTGCTTGCTACTACAGGAAGCTCCCTAAGGTATCTATACTGCCGGAAAATAAACCCAACGGAAACAAAACCCTTAACAGGTTACTTGAAGTCTCTTGTCATTAATACTACACTTCAATACTGTAAATATATACCTTTGTTGTAACATTTTGGAAAGGACAACGTTTAAAAACACAAATGCACTAAATATATATATAATTTATTTACCTGTGATTGGTGTTGACGGATTTAGTTTAATTTAAAACACCATTCTTTTTTCAGCAGAATTTTTTTTTATCTTTTGTTTACAAACATCCAAACAAACATAGCAAGCAAGTTGATCAAAGGTTTGCTTTGCATGCTTTCATAGAAGAGCTGTAATAAAGGTCACTAATTCTTAGTTTTGTTATTAATTTTCTATATGTAAAGTTTGGTGTATTTAAATAATGTTCAAAATATAAACTTTTTTCAATAATTATACAAATGAATTTTACCTTTTTCATCAATTTTTTTGCGTCTTATTATGAATTTATAGTGATATGTTTATTGATATTTTATGTAATTTTAGATGTTTTCGAATATTGGTACTAGATTGTGAGTATTGGATTTTTTCATGAAAATGACATTGAAAACTTTGAAACGGTTGGCTAAAAGAAAACATATTCTTGGAAACATTATTTTTTCAATACATTATCCAACACATCCAGTTCCTAATAAAAACAAATCCATTGCATATTAACCGATCATTCTGGGCCGATACATGCAATGGTTTTGAAAGAATTGTTTCTCTTGCTGTTTGTCCATTGTCTCCATTCTGTTGTAGATAGTGCAGATTGTCCTACTCAGGCTTGTTTAACTCGATTGTACAATTCAAAAGTACTAAGTGCTGAATATTATACAAGGTATGTTTTTTTTTATTATTTGATTGTAAAATTTAGAAATGCTTAAGAAAACAAATAATATTTTTACTTGGTCATTAATTACTGAACAACTTCATATAAAATCTAAACTTAATTTCGTTACAGACTAATCAACTGGAAATTGTTTCTGTTTTAGGATAAATTGGAAAATGTTTCAGTCTAAATATGTGCTATGTTGCTTTTTTATAACCATAGTCCAATTAAGATTTTTTTGTTTACAAGTCTGACATTTCGTATTAAACTCAAATATTACTAATATTTTGATTTTTCTTAAACAACACTTTTTTTGTGATATCTATAAGATCTCGTCACAAAAGAGAGGCGAAAGATACCAATTTGGACATTCAAACTCGTAATTCGAAAATAAACTGAAAACATCATGGCTAAAAAATAAAAAAGACAAACAGACAAAACAACAGTACACAAACCACAATATAGAAAACTAAAGACTTAACATCACGAACACCACCAAAACTGTAAAAGGGGGGGGGGGGGGGGGGTCTCAGGTGCTCCGGGAGGGTAAGCAGATCCTGCTCCACATGTAACACCAGTATATAATATATAGGATTTAGGCGACATAAAGCAAATCAAATAATCACTTATCTGAATTCAATAATTTATGTAATTCAGTGCAGTTATAGCTTATTTCTGTGTTTACTGTAGACCACTTGGTTCCAGTTCTTCGGGTTTGTCTAAAAAGCCATCTGGTTCTTCTAGTGGAGGGTGGTTCTGGCGACGACGGTCTTCGTCCAGATCTAGCAGGTGGTTTGGGAAGAGAGACTTGGATTACCATCTCCATCATGCAGGTGTGGTTGTCACTATCGATCGGTATGTTGTTGGAAGAAATCGTTGGCTAATACATAAAGGAAGTGACTATGGCGATAAATGGGACACCGTTATCACAGACGCACAAAATATGGACAACAGGTGAGTGTTATTTATAACATATTTTTAACGCAAATGTGGTGTTAATCAGACGCTTAACTTTTTTAGTAGAAGAATGATGCTTTATCTTGCATGCTTATTCATAGCCAAATTAAACGTGAAAACAAAAATTGCACAACACCAGTACTTCGGTACTGACATGATTTATAGCAAACCTTTCTAAAAAGAATTGTCCGTTGATAAATTTTGAAATTATTAGAAACCAATGTTTCAACTCCCTCAGGCAAAGTTGACCTTAGATGGATTTGGCTATTTTTTATGTCTTTTTTGGTAATATAGCTCTTCAACTGTTTACTAGGTTCTTATACATCCTTGGTTTTCAAATATTCGCCTTTGAGCGTTCCTAATGAAGGTATATCCAGAAAAGCGCTTCGCACGCATGAAACATAAACGTGTCATTTTATTAGTACTGAATACTGTACGAATAACTGACTCCAAAACAAAAATGTTTACACGTTAATAAAAAGAGACGTTGTATGGACGTCAGTGAGAAAGCATCTCATCAACTCAGTAAAACCAGAACAGAATAACATTGAGAATGGAAACTGGGGATGTGTCAAAGAGACAACAACCCGACCAAAGAGGAAAAACGACCCGATGCCACAAATGGGTCTTCTACACATCAAGAAAATCCCGAACCCGGAGGCAAGAAGCACATTATACTTAAGGCATTATCATCATTTATAAATTTTCAAATTGTATCGATTTTCGATTAAGAAAAAAAAAAAGAGGATAACTCTTCAATGTGATCTACCAGTATTTACATTTTTGAGGGGCATGCGAATTCTTGGAAGTGTTTTGCGTTTCAAAATGATTTAGAAGCTATGACAGTCTTTTTGTATTTTTGTTAATTCATAATTTATGTTTAAACAGAACATGGACTCGAACAAAATCAAGAGGTGTTGGCGCTTGTAAAAAATCAGTGAATGACTTCCTCAGGGCAGCAAGGATACATTATGATTATAGGTTGTTAGGCCCAAACTGTCAAACAGCAGCTAACGGAATGTGGAACATGATTGAAAGATACTGTTAAAAGCTGAAATAAACAACCAAAAATAAATCAGTACTGCAAGATAACTGTCAGAGTATTTTATTTTTATTGAATACTCTTGTATTTTAAAAAACCATGAATTGTGAATTTTACATTTTTTTCACTTCGTATATTTTGGTTCATGTATAGTTGGTATTTTCAACACCAGCAAAACAAAAAGTCATATTGGGGCAAATATCATTAAATGGTTAATATAAAGAACATAAAATGAAAATGTATTGAATTGAGGGCGATGGGGCACAAATGCGAACTTTTACAGTCTGAATTTGTTAAGGGTGAGTTTTGAAGTAAGGCTAACTGTACGCTTGTTTTTCACAATTTTATACTGAATATCTATACCTACAATATTTTTTATTAGATATCTCAGTCAAGCGTACATTTGTTTATAGTTTTAATTAACTAGCAAAACTTTTCCTTATATGCCCAGTGGAGGACTATGATTCAGCAATTTCATAAAGTTTATAAACCCTCGGTTTTAAATGGTGTTGAGATTTACAATACGTAGGTAAAAAGTAAAATAGCAAACATACCGAACTTCAAGGAAAATTCAAAACAGAAAGGCCTTTGTCAAATGGCAAAATTGAAAGCTCAAACGCATCAAACGAATGGAAAACAACTGTCATATTCCCGACTTGGTACAGGCATTTCCTCATGTAGAAAGTTGTGGATAAAGCCTGGTTTTATAGCTAACTAAACCTCTATGGTTATTGGAATGGTATCTAACCTTCGACGAAGGTCAATTATGTTCAACATTTACATCTGGTAAACTTATTACGAATTTTAATTGTTTCTATTCTCGCCATGCGTACACTATGTTCTATATATTATCAATATAAGTAGGTATAAGGTTTTGTATGTTATGGTCATTGAATAAACAAGATTTGTTGCAAATCAATGTCTCTGTTTATGTATTTCTGACAATTAGCAAAATACTCATAATTTTGTCGTATGTGATAATGTTTTTTTTTTTTTTACATTTACCAACAACCTATGATACTAAAGAAACGAGTTTTTGATTTTGTTCAGAAAAACGCGTGACTCATAAGGAAATAGACGTAGTTTAGAGGGTACATCTTGTTTACGTATAAGGAATGCACTCTTAAAAGCCTCGCTGTGACTTTGAGATGAAGAACAGCAATAAAAGCGCGATTCCTTTGCTGCTAGTTGTTTTTTTTTCTCCTCCAGCTCTGCTACATTTTTATGTACATGTCACAAGCCAGGAAATTCATCACTGGTTATCTATTGTTATAATGTAATGTTTTTTTTATCATTTAGAAAGTGTGATGTTAATGACTGATCTTTGATTTAATTTATTCGCCATTCTTATTAAATTCGGAGTGATTCAGTCTGAGAGCTATTGTTTAGACACGTCTATTGGTAAATATAAATAAGAATATGTGGTTTGAGTGCCAATGAGACAACTCTCCATCCAAGTCACAATGTATAAAAAGTTAACAATTATAGGTCAAAGTACGGTCTTCAACACGGCGCCCGTTATTGACTTCTTGATGTATTTATTTGGGATTGTTTGCGTATTTAGGTTGCTGTCTCATTCACGTATCCTCCTAATATTTTTTTTCACATATTTTCCGGTTGAAACATCAAAAATGTTTTCTTAGTGTGTATTATCATCAGACCTCGTCACTTTTTTTTTTATAGAAATCACCAAGAATTATTCATAAAAAAGGAAATATATTCTGACTATGATACACCGAAATTAAATGAAATACATTCCGGGGGAAATGGCCATACCTCCCTATCATTGAACTTTGAGAACAATCAAAATACTGATAATTTCCCGTTAAGTAAACTGTCACATAGGTAGGCCAAATCTGCTGCTGATACAATGTGACTCAGGAGATATATATATGTTTGTGTAGCTTTGACCTTTATATATATTGATTAAAACAGAATGCCGCTTAGCCGCTTAGGTCGATGAAAATATCGACAAATATCACTAAAAACGTATTTTACTCAAAGACCGACAAGGTACCTCTTGTTGATAGGAAGTCAAGTTTAACAGTGTGTAAATTTTATTCTCTGCATGTTTCTTTACAATATTTACAAACAATTTAAAACATTTAATGAAATCTCAAATCGACAGCTGGAATCTATTTATTTAATATATACTTTAGAATGTTTTACTGGTTAACGACATGCTCGCCTCTTTTTGCGACCCGACTTGTACATTATGTTGTTGGAAGACTGCCAGCATATTTTCCTGTTTGGTCCTACTCCATATTTTTGGTTGACATAACCATCCTTCATGAGATCAGATATTGTTTTTCCACTTGTATATTTTTCTCCAGTCTTTGACCATCTGAAAAAAGATTCCGTTACAATATTGAAATCGAAAGATTTAAATACAGCCAATGTCCTCAGAGCATATCTGATTTGAATTATTTCGGATATGATGTGGAATCTAGGGATTTCCCCCCGAATAACAGCAAACTTCCAACAAAACACATGGAAAAGATACAAAAAATGTTGATCATTTTTTTGTATGGTTGTTTCATGCAGTTTCATTTAGGTTTTCCTCAAATTTCCTTTTTATTCACATATAATGTGCAACTTAATTATAAAATTACTGTTAGAATAATCGGTAATGATGCTTTATAAGATAAGTGTTCTGATTCCAACACGTAAAAGTGAAAGAGATCACCGAGACGGTTACTAGAATTTGCTTTCGACAATCCTTTTTAACAAAGCGATAAACAACAACTTGACAGAGAATCATAACTACGAGTTAACAAAAGAAATAAAGAGTTCAGTATATGTTTATATATATATTAACAAAACTATGTGATAATAAATAAACAGCTGCGCCATGAGCGCATGATACGCCCGTCGTCTTGTGTGTGAACTTTTATGCAATAATCATAAATAGTTTCTGACATACGGCGCGACATACGAAACCCCCCCTCCCTTTTTTTTTACAAAAAACTCAATATCTCTTAAATAAATTTTTGAATCAAAACCAAAAAGTATACAGATCTTAAGATTAATATATCTAAGAAGTGTGTAAAATTTTAAGCAATAATCATAAATCGTTTTTGAGATACGGCGCGACATGTGAAAACCCCCCTTTTTAAAAAAAAAAATCAATATCTCTAAAATAAAATTTTAATCAAAACCAAAAAGTATACAGATCTTTGGATTAATATAACTAAGAAGAGTGTAAAATTTTAAGCAATAATCATAAATCGTTTTTGAGATACGGCGCGACATGTGAAAAACCCCTCCCCCTTTTTTTTTTACAAAATATTCAATAACTCAAAAATAAAATTCTGAATCATCACCAAAAAGTATACAGATCTTAAGATTAATATAACTAAGAAGTGTGTAAAGTTTTAAGCAATAATCATAAATTGTTCTTGAGATACGGCGCGACATGTGAAAAAACACACACCTGTTTTAGTTACTCAGTCCTGTAACTCAAAATGTTTTAATCTTATTTTCACCAAAAAGTATACAGATCGTTTGACTATTATAAGAAACAACTGTAATAAGTTTCATGAAATTTGGATAAGTCGTTGTCAAGTTATGGTGCGACATGTTTACGCCGGACAGACAGACGTACAGACGGATAGACGACATTTGTATACCATAATACGTCCAGTCAAAATTTTGACGGGCGTATAAAAAGATATTTGATTAATTTTCCGAATGAGTAAGTACTGAGAGTTTGTAAAATTTCCAATATACAGATCCTATGCCATGTTTGCCCACTGAGTGATGATAGTATTCCTTACTTGTTAGACATATGCTTAGCATCAACTACGACTGTACTGGAAGATTTCCCATAACCACTTCCTTTGTGTACCAGATATCTGCCGCCATCTTTAGTTGTAGCTACAACTCCAGTATGGTCTAGTCCAGCTTTCCCAAGGAATCCTCCAAGTGGTCTGAAAATTGAAAAAAAATACTTCATTATTAAACTGCAATATTTAAAAGCGGTAGATCTAAGGTAACTTATCAATAATCAATATTTTGAGTTTAGATTGAACAAGAATTAGCTTTCAGTGCTTTATCAGCTTTGCGCCATTTTCTAGGAAAGAAGTTGTAATGTTGTAAGATTTACCTGGAGTAACTTTCAACTTTCGTAACTGGACTGTTGTAAAGTCTCCTCAAACCTTTTTTGTTCATGTCATAGGAAAACTGAAATGTTATATAAAAACAAATTATACCGAAACCGCAAAATTAATGCTGTTCCAAGAATGTGTAATATTTATATTTTTATCGCCTTAACCTTTCTACAAAACATAAACTATGCTACATGTACGTATTACATGAGTCGCTTGTCGTGATTACTGTCATGTCGACCACCTTGTTTTTTAATATTTTTTAAATAACTTCTTTTAGTTGAAGATAACAACCGTTATCTCCATTAACAACAACTTAAACTTCTTCCTTGCAAAATGTTGTTAAATCCTCACCATTCATCAAAGACATCCCCCCAAAAATATGAAAAATCAAGAAAACGATTGTTTTCAACCTAATTCTTGAATGATTTTATCGCTAGAATGCTTAGTAATCATGCTGAATGACTTATTCAGGCTTACTCTTGCTATGACAAGTCTTTTTTTAACATAACTGCGACACCCCTCCCCTTTTTCATTCTTTTCTTTTATTCTAGTCAAAACTCATTATATATATTGTACTACCTACCGATCCTGACCTTGAGCTTGATGAGCCCTGAAATAAAATAGTATCATATGTAAGTAATATGTTCCAATTATCGTAGCCACAATCACATCCTTTTTTCTCGATTGTGAAATCAGAAAATTTCACTGCTCAACTTTTTTTCGCCAACCATGAATTACATGACTTGTGCCCCAGATGGAACAGGATCTGTTTACCGTTCCTGTACACCTGTGATCACTTTAGTTTACTATACCATTTTTAGTCGTAAGTCTTTTGGTCGTTTTTTTCAATTTTGTCGTTTCTCTTTGACTTATTGATTATGATTGTCCCTTTCGTATCTCTAGCCTCACTTTATAATTTCCAATTAAAAGTATATATGAATTTATTGTTTCTCATTGATTTCCGGGAAAGTGGTCAACCTCCCCATATAGCACAAGGCTTCAATAAAACAAAATTGAGAATGGAAATGGGGAATGTGTCAAAGAGACAACAACCCGACCACAGGAGAGAAGACAGCTGAAGGCCATCAATGGGTCTTCAACACAGCGAGAAAATCCTTCACCCGGAGTCGGGCTTCAGCTGGCCCCTAAACAAAATTACGATACGAATCGATAACGAACATGCACAACAGGATATGAATTTTCAGAATGTTAACCTCCAACATATCATCTCATTTTTTTTACTCATCTGTTTAATAAATTATGTGACGTGATTACTTTCCTTCAGATTAGAATTAGACACTTAGCCAGCTGTAAGCGGTTGGGTTGAGATAAGGAAGTATTTCTTTAGCTCATTTGCATAGAGCGTTGCCTTGAAACACAGATGTCCCTGCCAGATTCGTTTCCCGGTGGAGACAATGTGATTCTCCAATAAAAATCATGCTCTCCAGTAACATTTGACGCCCAACTTGAACACCCATGGTTGATAGAGAGGATTTCTAGCCAGGGTATGTGTTATTAAAGTTACAATGGTATGACTATGATGACTCATGAGGTGGTGGTCACTGGAAGTGTGAAAGAATTGTCTCCCTTCAGTGGTAAATACTTAGCCAGCCGTAAGCGGTTGAGCTAAGAAAGTACTTTGAGGAGAGGTCCCGGAAATTCGAGTCCCGTGGAGACAAAGGGTCGGTTCGTTTTTTACCTATTCGGTGTACACCGACCACGTGGTCGATCTACACCGAATCAACTGTAAAAAGAACGAACCGACCGATTGTAGCGCTATTTGTGCGGCAACTTGTGTTTCAGTGGTTTTGCCTTATTTTTAAAAAGAAATATAGTACCTCGAGTTACATAAGTATAACATATTTTCTATATGTATATGCAAACCAGGGGTGGGTGTGTTACCTCGAAAGTACATGTATACCCAACCTATTCATTTCTATTGTAGATTACAAAGGTAATATCCATTCATATTTATCTCATTAAGCCGGCTAGCTAGTTTAGTGTGGATTTTATTTCGTTACATATAATCGCAGTACTGATTCTGTGAAAATGATTGTGTGTGTTAAAATTGTAGGTTTTTGATATATACGTCATTTGTGAGTTTTTTTTTATAAGAATATTAAAATCTTGTATCCCAAAAATCAGAAAATTTTAGTTTTCTTAGTCAAATTTAACCATTCGTACAACATTTCCGCCATCTTGAAAATGAACCGTCGGTCAAATTAAAACGGTGCAATCCGCTATATTCCGGTGTTAATTTTTTTAGAAACGAACGAAAAACCTGTTGCTCCGAAGCATGGGGTATACACCGGATGCCAGAAACTAACCGGCTTTTATGATTTTGTAGTAACATGCTCTCTGGTTACATTTAATCGGTTAATTATAAATTTGAGTTTTTATTGTCAAAACTCATTATATATATTGTACTACCTACCGATCCTGACCTTGAACTTGATGACCGCAGAAATAAAATGGTAGCATATGTAAGGAATATATTTCAATTATCGTAGCCACAATCACATCCTTTTTTTCTCGATTGTGAAATCACAAAATTTCACTGCTCAACTTTTTTTTGCCAACCATGAATTACATGACATTTGCCCCAGATGCAACAGGATCTGTTTACCCTTCCGGTACACCTGAGATCACTTTAGTTTCCTATACCATTTTGTAGACTGTCTTTAGTCTTTTGGTCGTTTTTTTCAATTTTGTTGTTTCTCTTTGACTTATTTATTGTAATTGCCTTTTCGTATATCTAGCCGCACTTTATAATTTCCAATTAAAAGTATATATGAATTTATTGTTTCTCATTGATTTCCGGGAAAGTTGTCAACCTCCTCATATAGCACAAGGCTTCAATAAAACAAAATTGAGAATGGAAATGGGGAATGTGTCAAAGAGACAACAACCCGAACAAAGGACAGAAAACAGACGAAGTCCACCAATGGGTCTTCAACACAGCGAGAAAATCCCTCACCGGAGTCGGGCTTAAGCTGGCCCCTAAACAAAATTACGATACGAATCGATAACGAACATGCAAAACTGGATATGAATTTTCAGAATGTTAACCCTCAACATATCATCTCATTTTTTTACTCATCTGTTTAATAAATTATGTGACGTGATTACTTTCCTTCAAATCATAATTAGATACTTAGCCAGCTGTAAGCGGTTGGGCTGAGATAAGGAAGTATTTCTTTAGCTCATTCGCCTAAAGCGCTGACTTGAAACACAGATGTCCCTGCCGGATTCGAGTCCCGGTGGCAACAATGTGATTCTTCAATAAAAATGATGCTCTCCAAGTACAATTGACGCCGAACTTGAACACCCATGGTTGATAGAGAGAATTCTTAGCCAGGGTATGTGGTGTTAGAGTTACAATGGTATGACTATGATGACTCTTGAGGTAGTGGACGTGTGAATGAATTGCCTCCCTTCAGTGGTAAATACTTAGCCAGCCGTAAGCGGTTGAGCTAAGGAAGTACTTTTTAACATCAGTAGGTAAGAACGCTGCCTTGTATCGCAGAGGTCCCGGAAATTGGAGTCCCGTGGAGACAAAGGGTCGGTTCGTTTTTTACCTATTCGGTGTACACTGACCACGTGGTCGATCTACACCGAATCAACTGTAAAAAGAACGAACCGACCGATTGTAGCGCTATTTGTGCGGCAACTTGTGTTTCAGTGGATTTGCCGTATTTTTTAAAAGAAATATAGTACCTCGAGTTACTTTATTGCATATTTTATATATGTATATGCAAACCAGGGGTGGGTGTGTTACCTCGAAAGTACATGTATACCTAACCTATTCATTTCTATTGTAGATTACAAAGGTAATACCCATTCATATTTATCTCATGTAGCCGGCTAGCTAGATTAGTGAGGATTTTATTTCGTTACATATATTCGCAGTACTGATTCTGTGAAAGTGATTGTGTGTGTTAAAATTGTAGGTTTTTGATATATACGTTATTAGTGAGCTTTTTTATCAGAATATTAAAATCCCGTATCCCAAAATTCAGAAAATTTTAGTTTTGTCAGTCAAATTTAACCACACGTACAACATTTCCACCCATCTTGGAAATGAATCGTCGGTCAAATTAAAACGATGCATTCTTCTATATTCCGGTGTTATATTTTCAGAAACAAACGAAAAACCTGTTGCTCCGGATGCATCGGGTATACACCGTATGCCAGAAACGAACCGGCTCTTATGATTTTGTAGTAACATACTCTCCGGTTACAGTTAAATCGGTTAATTATAAATTTGAGTTTTTATTGTCAAAACTCATTATATATATTGTACTACCTACCGATCCTGACCATGAGCTTGATGACCCCTGAAATAAAATGGTAGCATATGTAAGTAATGTGTTCCAATTATCGTAGCTACAATCACATCCTTTTTTCTCGATTGTGAAATTACAAAATTTCACTGCTCAACTTTTTTTCACCAACCATGAATTACATGACTTGTGCCCCAGATGGAACAGGATCTGTTTACCCTTCCGGTACACCTGAGATCACTTTAGTTTCCTATACCGTTTTGTACACTGTCGTTAGTCTTTTGATCGTTTTTTCAATTTTGTAGTTTCTCTTTGACTTATTTATTGTGATTGTCCCTTTCGTATCTCTAGCCTCTCTTTAGAATTTTCAATTAAAAGTATATATGAATTTATTGTTTCTCGTTGATTTCCGGGAAAGTGGTCAACCTCCTCATATAGCACAAGGCTTCAATAAAACAAAATTGAGAATGGAAATGGGGAATGTGTCAAAGAGACAACAACCCGACCAAAGGACAGAAAACAGCTGAAGGCCATCAATGGGTCTTCAACACAGCGAGCAAATCCTTCACCCGGAGTCGGGCTTCAGCTGGCCCCTAAACAAAATTACGATACGAATCGATAACGAACATGCACAACATGATATGAATTTTCAGAATGTTAACCTTCAACATATCATCTCATTTTTTTTACTCATCTGTTTAATAAATTATGTGACGTGATTACTTTCCTTCAAATCAGAATTAAATACTTAGCCAGATGTAAGCCGTTGGGCTGAGATAAGGAAGTATTTCTTTAGCTCATTCGCCTAAAGCGCTGACTTGAAACACAGATGTCCCTGCCGGATTCGAGTCCCGGTCGACACAATGTGATTCTCCAATAAAAATCATGCTCTCCAGTTACATTTGACGCCCAACTTGAACACCCATGGTTGATAGAGAGGATTTCTAGCCAGGGTATGTGTTGTTAGAGTTACAAAGGTATGACTATGAAGACTCTTGAGTTGGTGGACGTGTGAAAGAATTGCCTCCCTTCAGTGGTAAATACTTAACAGGTCGTAAGCGGTTGAGCTAAGGAAGTACTTTTTAAACTCAGTCGGTTAGGGCGCTGCCTTGTATTGCAGAGGTCCCGGAAATTCGAGTCCCGTAGAAACAAAGGGTAGGTCCGTTTTTTTACCTATTCGGTGTAAACCGACCACGTGGTCGATCTACACCGGATCAACTGTAAAAAGAACGAACCGACCGATTGTAGCGCTATTTGTGCGGCAACTTGTGTTTCAGTGGATTTGCCGTTTTTTTTTAAAGAAATATAGTACCTCGAGTTACATAAGTATAACATATTTTCTATATGTATATGCAAACCAGGGGTGGGGGTGTTACCCCGAAAGTACATGTATACCCAACCTATTCATTTCTATTGCAGATTAAAAAGGTAAAACCCATTCATATTTATTTCATGTAGCCGGCTAGCTAGTTTTATGTGGATTTTATTTCGTTACATATAATCGCAGTACTGATTCTGTGAAAATGATTGTGTGTGTTAAAATTGTAGGTCTTTGATATATATGTCATTTATGAGCTTTTTTATCAAAATATTAAAATCCCGTATCCCAAAAATCAGAAAATTTTAGTTTTCTCAGTCATATTTAACCACACGTACAACTTTTCCGCTATCTTGGAAACGAATCGTCGGTCAAATTAAAACGGTGCATTCCCCTATAATCCGGTGTTATTTTTTTTTTTGAAACAAACGAAAAACCTGTTGCTCCGGATGCATCGGGTATACACCGGATGCCAGAAAAGAACCAGCTCTTATGATATTTTAGTAACATGCTGTTAAATCGGTTAATTATAAATTTGAGTTTTTATTGTCAAAACTTATGATATATTGTACTACCTACCGATCCTGACCTTGAGCTTGATGACCCCTGAAATGAAATGTTAGCATATGTAAGTAATATGTTCCAATTATCGTAGCCACAAACACATCCTATTTTTCTCGATTATGAAATCACACAATTTCACTGCTCAACTTTTTTCGCCAACCATGAATAACATGACTTGTGCCCCAGATGGAACAGGATCTGTTTACCGTTCCGATACACCTGAGATCACTTTAGTTTCCTATACCGTTTTGTAGACTGTCGTTAGTCTTTTTGTCGTTTCTCTTCGACTTATTTATTGTGATTGTCCCTTTCGTATCTCTAGCCTCACTCTATAATTTCCAATTAAAAGTATATATGAATTTAAACGAAAAACCTGTTGCTCCGGGTGCATCGGGTATACAGGTGTCAGACCACCAATTCAAAATCCCTATATCTATTCAACCAAATTTTGCAATTTTCACAACTTTCTTTTTGTTTTACCTTAAGTTTAACTTCATAGAAACCAGGTACATGTATATCCTAAATTATACATATATCACCTATCTACATGCCAATTTTCAACCCGTGTTCGAAGACTTCTTAGAAAAAACTGCCTTTCGGAAGACAAGTACTACTAAAAATAACCCCTGGTTTTCTGGAAATCTTAAATAAGTATACTATGGAGCGCATTAATCCTCAATTTTTAATGAAAACTCACAGACAAGTACATTTTGGCTCAAAATGGTCTAAATATATTTCTCTTTCTCCAAAAGTTTCATTTCTGCAAGTTTGTTGGTTAGTTTAAGTAAACAATGACATCAAAAGCACTATTTTGTGTCAGAGTAGGGCTACATTTACATACGTTCTAAATTGAAGGGAGTGAATTGGTGGTCTGACGCCTAAAGAGACATAAAAGTTATCAGAAATCTTTTTTTTGCTTTATTCTTAATCCTCGGTCAATTTGTAGTAAAATAAAATCCTATCTGATCATAATACGACTTATATTGCAAAATTCACAGCTCAATTTAAACTGACTGTAATGTATGACTTTGATAGAAAATACTTGAAATTTAATTTCAGACTTCAGGAATATAAATTTTCAATATCAGGATCAATTTTGGTGGATTTTTCCTTGTTTGTGCTACAGCTTTAAAGACTTTCCACAACTTTCACAATGAGTTTAGTTGCAAATCAAAGGTAGTGTCAAGGAATATTGCCCCCCCTTTTTTTCACCAAGTGTCAGTAATGGACTATTGATTGATCAATAGTTCAGTTATGGTCATGAAACAATTTTTATTTACTATCATACAATAAAATTTAAGGTGGAAAACGTTCATTTGAGACAATTAATGGGATTATGATGAGTTCATGCAGTGTTTACATTAGGCTATTCTATCTGCCAAATACCTGGAATGACGCAATGATATAACGGGTAAAAATCAAATAATTTTTATAAAATCTTCATGCCGACAATTTTTTTTGGTAGTAAACAACCTATGTTTTAATGTTTTTAAATACCACAGAAAGAACTTACTGTGCATTCATAACAATTTAGGACATTTTTTTATATGAATGCATATTGTAAGGATGGGAAAAGCTCAAAATAGCACATATTTAGGTTTAAGGTTCTAATTTTGCAATATGTGACTTTTTTGCCAAAAAAAGGTTGAAATTTGGCTACTTGCATTTCAAATGATCAGTTAAGACAAAAAATCAATTGTTTTCTGATTTTTTGGTTCATCGCTTTTCACTTTAAAGGTGCCAGACCACCAATTCAAAATCCCATCTATTCAACCAAATTATGCAATTTTCACAGCTTTCGTAATATTTTACCTTAAGTTTAACTTCATAAAAACCAGTTATATCCTAAATTTTACATGTATCACTTTTCTGCATGCCAATTTTCAACCCATGTATAAGTCTTCTAAGAAAGAACTGCCTTTCGGAAGACAAGTACTACTAAAAATAATCCCTGGTTTTCAGGAAATCTTAAATTGGTATACTATGGAGCGCATTAATCCTCAATTGTTAATGCAAACTCATAGACAAGGAAATTTTGCTCAAAATGGTCTAAATATATTTCTCTTTCCCCAAAAGTTTCTTTTCTGAAAATTTGTTGGTTAGTTTAGTTAACAATGACATGAAAAGCACTATTTTGTGTCAGAGTAGGGCTACTTTTACATACGTTCTAAATTGGAGGGAGTGAATTGGTGTTCTGACGCCTAAAGAGACATAAAAGTTTATCAGAATTTTTTTGTTTTGCTTTATTCTTAATCCTTGGTCAATTTGTAGTCAAATAAAATCCTATCTGAGCATAATACGACTTATATTGCAAAATCCACAGCTCAATTTAAACTGACTGTAATGTATGACTTTAATAGAAAATACTTGAAAATTTAATTTCAGACTACAGGAACATAAATTTTCAATATCAAGCTCAATTTTGGTTGATTTTTCCTTGTTTGTGCTACAGCTTTAAAGACTTCCCACAACTGTTACAATGAGTTTAGTAGAAAATCAAAGGTATTGGAAGTGTCAAGGAATTTTGATCTGTCTTTTTTTACCAGGTGTCAGTAATGGACGGTTAATTGACAATAATGCAGTTATGGTCATGAAACAATTTTTATTTACTATCAGTCAATAAAATTTAAGGTAGAAACCATTCATTTGAGACAATCAATTGGATTGTGATGAGTTCATGCAGTGTTTACATTAGGTTATTCTATCTGTCAAATACCTGGAATGACGCAATGATTTAACGGGTAAAAATCAAATAAATTCATAAGATCTTCATGCCGACAAAATTTTTTTGGTTGTAAACAACATATGTTTAATGTTTAATACCACAGAAACAACTTACTGTGCATTCATGACAATTTAGGACATTTTTTATATGAATACATATTGTCAGGATGGGAAAAGCTTAAAATAGCACAGATTCAGGTTTAAGGCTCTAATTTTGCAGTATGTGATTTTTTGACAACAAAAAGGTTGAAATGTAGCTACTTGCATTTCAAATGATCAGTTAAGACAAAAAAAAAATCAATTGTTCTCTGATTTTTTGGGTTCACCGCTTTTCTCTTTAAGGGTGTCAGACCATTATTTCAAAATCCTGTCTATTCAACCAAATTTTGCAATTTTCACAGCTTTCTTAATATTTTACCTAAAGTTTAACTTCATAAAAACCAGGTATGTTCTGAATTGTAAATGTATCACCTTTCTACGTGCCAATTTTCAACCCATGTTTAAAGTCTTCTAAGAAAGAACTGCCTTTCGGAAGACAAGCACTACTAAAAATAATCCCTGGTATTCTGGAAATCTTAAATTAGTTTACTATTGAGCGCATCAATCCTCAATTTTAATGCAAACTCATAAACAAGTAATTTTTGACACAAAATGGTTTAAATATGTTTCTCTTTCACCAAAAGTTTCATTTCTGCAAATTTGTTGGTTAGTTAAGTAAACAATGACATCAAAAGCACTATTTTGTGTCAGAGTAGGACTTCTTTTACATACGTTCTAAATTGAAGGGAGTGAATTGGTGGTCTGACACCTACACCGGATGCCAGAAACAAACCGGCTCTTAGTATTTTGTAGTAACATGCTCTCCGGTTACAGTTGAATCTGTAAAATTATAAATTTGAGTTTTGTTCCAAACCACAAGAATATCAAGAATTAAATCTTTTTTCGTCTTAACGAATAAGATTACAAGGGTGCACTGTCAGTATTTGATTATCTTCACTTCACCCCCAGTTTTTGGTGGGGTTCGTGTTGCTTAGTCTTTAGTTTTCTATGTTGTATCATCTGTACTATTATTTGTCTGTTTGTCTTTTTATTTTTGGCCATGGCATTGTCAGTTTGTTTTCGATCTATGAGTTTGACTGTCCCTCTGGTATCTTTCGTCCCTCTTTTATTCACACTTAATTTCTATTTGTTGTTTAATTTTTTTTGTTGTAGATGGGGGCGTCACCTCTGATTAATATGATGAGATATATTTTCTGCTTCAGTAAGTTCACAATTAAAGATAAATTGAAATGTTTTGGACATTTTTTGACCGTTTACTTTTTCTGCTATCTTAATAAACCCAAGGCCAATAGTGCCTTTGGCATGTTTAGGTCTTTTATCATGCAGTGAATACAAAACTTAAAAAAGACCTCAAAAATTCATTTTCACCTGCATGTAAAATTATTACATATTTGTCTTGATTCATCCCTCAGCTTGAGAAATTGTGTTCAGTAAATACTGTATTTTTTGTCCAATCACAGTGTCAGACACATTGTCCTTGGTACAAAAAAGAGCAACCTAAATCCTGGAATTTAAATACTACTTTGTCAGCTATATTCCAATTGTCTTGTGTTTACAGCACTTCTATGGTAATATGTTATGTTTTACTTATTGCTAATATAAGAGGTCGTGTTGTTTTTCATATAGGGAGAAAGGAACCCACTTTTTACTTACAAAAATAGCAATGCATCAAGTTGAACGTTCTCTCGTTTTCAAGAACTGCCATTAATAATGGCAAATTTCTTTTAGAATTCAACTAGCAAATCGCAATATAAATATAAGAAATTAAAGTTAGGGCGTGTACGACCTCCTTCCCAAAAAGAAGAATTTCTTTTATTTGATTAATTGAATTTGGTCAATCATCATGTTGTGGCTATCATGTATATCAGATCCGTCAAGCAATGACGACAGATGGCAATGGTAAAAAAATAGATGCTAATATTCATTATTATTTATTGCTGTTGTTTTGAGACTAAAAAAATCTTCCGATAACCGCGAATCCTCCACCATACGCTTGTCATTAATCAATTTAAAAATGCTTAATCAATCTGTAGCTTTCCTAACTTATGGACATTTTCAATAGAAGTTTATAGTGCTGCTACACAAAAGTTTTTTTTTTCCAGAATATGCAATGGTACCACAATTGCGTATCTTTATATGCAAACACGTTTGGAAATTTGTCTCCGACAGCTGTACACAAAAGCCTAAAAAAGTTGATTGAACAATGCAATCGTTTATAATACAGTAGTTAAATAAAATAAAGGGGTTTTCCTTCACAAGAAGGTCATACTGGTTCTACATATATTTCACTATACCTTGCACATTGTAGTTTTTAAGAAATTTGTAAGTATTGACAATTTTTATGGAAAACACCTTGAAAACACGACTTGATTTATTGATATTTTTGTAAATAAGTGAAGTTCCATTTAATTTTTGACAGTAACGTGACCTATTACATGGCCAAAACGTGAAATAAAAAAGTCTTACAATAAAGCCTTTGCAAACAGTAGAAAATGCGAATATATTTATCTATCTGCCATGCCGAAAAACAGTCCCTTGAAGATCTGTGTTACCGATTGCATTTGTCGTACTGATTGCTGGTTATAAGGTGTGATAGTAGACTATCCGGGTGCGGGAGTTTCTCGCTGCATTGAAGACCGATTGGTGGCATTCGGCTGTTGTCTGCTCTATGGTCGGGTTGTTGTCTCTTTGACACATTCCCCATTTCCATTCTCAATTTTATTTTATAAGTCAATTGTGTCATACATTAAAATATACATACGCCGCTTCTTCCACAGGCATCAGTTTTACAAACCATCACAAGTAAAATTAAAAGGAACGTGCACCACATAACTTTTTGCTTTGTTTGAACTGCTTGTTTCTAAAAATCAAAATAATCTAATTTAACTTGTTTTGTATTATAGTTAATAAATATCAAACAAAACGGTGTATAAGAATTAGGCATTTGCATGTATTGATTGAGAGCGATGCTTTAAATATAATAGTTGGACGTGAGACCTCGATCGAAAGGATAACAAAACTGGAAAAAAAAATTTTCTTCGATTGTAAAACTTAACGACATATTTATTCAACCTAACAAATTACTTCGCCACCATCGTTTGTTTGCTCTAAACATGATATTATCCCCACCCCCTTAAGTTGTCTTGAGCCAAAAAAAAACTTCTTTAAGTTTCTATCTATCCTTCATTTATTGAAGATTGACTGTAAAATTTATATATAATTTACAAGGTAAGCAGAAAAAAATAGAAACAAAATGACAAATCACAAATCAAAATAGTGTATGTACATTTGAAAAGTTACATTTAGATAAAACTATATACATTTGATAACAGGTAGAAAATAGGGATTAGAGCAGATTCTGAGATCATACTCTTGAATCCCTGTACTGTACTGCATGAAACTATTTGTTGTTGCAAATTATTCCAATCTATAACTGTACGTGGATAAAAAGAATATTTTTAACTGTCTTTAGATGTTTGTATTTGCTTAAATGAACGTGGATTGCTATGTCTGGTTCTATTGTCTAGTAGGATGAAAAGGTTAAATGTAGGGACTGCACCAATTTCGTGTATAATTTTGTAGAAGAAAACAATTCTGTATCTTAAACGCCTAATTTCAAGTGGGTACCAAATTAAGTCTGTCATCATTTCAGTAACTGAGCTGGTGTTATTGGAGCGGTTGCATGTGAAGCGGGCTGCTCTTCACTGAACTTTTTCAATTTGTGAAATTTGCTGTTTTTTATGTGGATCCCAAATGGTTGAGCAGTACTTTAATTTTTGTCAGACAAGAGCTTTAAATGCATGAGCTTTAACTTTGACTTATTGGTCCCTACAAACTCCATACAACGTTATCGTTCGGGTCATATTTCCCTTTCTCTTCATTGGTTTGTGACTGTCTTTACTAAAAACAATTATAAGAAATTAAGTAAAAACTGATCAAAAGTTGTAAGGTTGCGAAAACAGTCGACGAACTTAATGTGCTGTAATTATTACAAAAACAAACAAAAACTGCAAAAAACAGGAAAAAATAAACAAATAAAGCAACCACGACCAAATACATAAAAATAAAACCAAACAATACACACAAATATGTATATATGTATATAATTCATATTCATGCACTTACCTTCAACTCATATATGATGTGTCGGTTTTTGAAGCGTCTTTGAAAAACTTATCTTTATATATACACCAGGGGAAAAACCACTTCAAATACAAGTGCCAATATGATTTTAGAAACCATTTATGGTAAATTGTTCAACTTTGGGAGGGAATTCGACGTTTACAATGAGGAAGTTCAGTAAAACGGACATTATTTCAATACCAGTGTACTCATTAAGATTTAGCTATTTGATTAGGGACTTGCCGTTTTGAATTTTACTCGGAGTTCGGTATTTTTGTAATTTTACTTTTTTTTGTATAATTTGTCGTTTGTTCAGATCTTTTACGAGAAACAATATTTTTTTAATCTACCATATGCATCTGCTCTTCTTATCTATAATTTTGTTATTTATAGAATGGATTGTAATTTTTATCAATTTGAGTTATCAGTAGTTTCCTGATGTCCATTTCTCACAAATTCATTTAGAAAATACAAATCATGGTAAAAAAAAATAAAAAATAAAAATGAGCGAACTTTTTATCCGGTATTATTCCATAGGAAAATGTTTTGTTTTAATATCTATATAGATTCCGCCACCAAAGAAAAAAGTTGAAAAATGCATTCGCTGATCATTGCAGTGAAGTGAAGTTTCCAAACATGTTCACTTCTAGAGAGTTTAGAAATACGATAGTTTAAAAGTAAGCAAGTTGTTTACAGATTTCTGAACAACATAGTACATTTGCTGCAATTACTGATATAACTTCTGAGTGTACTACTTTTCATTCCTATATTTATGGAAATAGTTACATGTATGCAGTTCATCCGAATTATTCACACGATACGAAGATGGATATGGTTACCTAGAAACAATTACCAACCAGAGACCAAACGACGTAGATGTCAGCAGTGCAGCCTTTAATCACGAGGAAAATGTACAAGACAAAATATAAACAATTCAAACAAGAAAAACCAACCATCTGATTTATGTACAAAACAATAACCTAAACACAAATATGATATATGCAGTGAGTTGTGAGATTATGTTCCGTGTTGAAACACTGCTTTTTTTAAAGGAAAAACAGGGATCAAAATAACATTAACGATACCAATTTTGCTGTACTAGATGCGCGTTTCGACAAATAATGTCTCTTGCGTAATGCTTGAGTCAAAGATATTTAAAAATTCAAATCCTGATAGAAACGCTGAAGAGCATTTGAAGCAAAAAAAAAAAACCATTAACAAAAGTATAATAATTCCAGAGACGGGAATCAGAGCTATACACGAGGAATGTTCATTCCTTAATTCATAATATTTTACAAAATTTCATAACAGCAAGCTTAAGTATCCCTGTATTCGTGCCAGGACAAAAAAAAAACAGCCACTGGGCTGGTGATATGGACTGGTGATACGCCCGGGGACCTATAGCAGAAGTCCTCTATACTCTTCAAATTCGTACTTTACTTGACATTTTTTACTTTTTTGATTCGAGCGTCATTGGTGAGTCTTTAATTAAAAATACGCATGTCTGGCGTACACACTTTTAATATTGGTATCTATGATGAGTTTACTGTAAATGGAAGCAACAAAATCATAAATTACAATCCAAAATGCTTTTATTTTGTTTTATATTTCAGGATCCTTTGAGCCTCTAGTTTATATCATTTTACGGTTTTTGAATTTCTGCTTTGAAAGCCAGAACAAAGTTAACAATAAATGAATTGTGAAAAGTGCAATTTGTGCATATTAATCCGACCTTCAGAGGTCCAATGTTATTTCAAGATGACCCTGCACTAATTTAATAAGTACATAAGAAACCAGGATGTTTGTACCATTCTGTAAATTTGTTTCTATCTACATTATCCTCAACTTCAAGATAAGATACTTGATTAAAGTGGTTAGTTGAGAACCTTAAGTAGTGGAATATTGCTTATCTTAAAAACATTTTCAAATACTTAAATTCTCTCTTTTTGCATGTTATACTTGTAAAGAAATCTCAATAACTTTAAAGTATACATATCAAGTAACATCATGATTTGTAATTGATTTAAAGATGTTTATTTGAAAAATCAATAAGGATGTAGAAAACTATAGGTCACCGTAAGTCCTTGAAGAAAAAGAAAAATTATACCGTATAGTTATTCATTAATAGAACCAGGATAACGAATGATAGAAACAACAGTCTGATTTGAGCGGATAATATTGCACGAGAATTTTTTGTAGAAGGCAACTAACGACAACCACCGGACAAGAAGCTCCTTTAAACTGACATTCACACAAAGAACATGAATGTGGCATGGTGAAACGTGATTATGATCATGAGCACTGAACCCTCCCTTAACCTGTGGTTCTGGTCTCGCAGCACACAACTTTTTAAACGAACTGAAATTTCAGTTGAAAAGAGCTTGGCTCATCATCTTTGTAATAAGCAGAAAAATAACTTACAAACATGACAAAATCTTTAAGTACAACTCACTGACTACTCGCAGATACTGAAAGGTCATTCCGATCCAAAAGAACCATGTTTACCTAAATGTGACTGCAAACAAAATCAGATGAAAAATTACAAATAATCTTGTCTTCTAAGAGTTTAAACAAAAGAGTGACAAAATCTGTGAAAAAATTAAATACGACTGCTGGTGACAAATTACAACCTAATCTACCTAGACACGTGATTCAGATTACTGGCTACTAATAAAATATGTACAATTGCAAATGTATCTAGTAACTGAGAAGTATTACTTAACATGTATTTAGCAAAACGCACACATTACAGTTACAAGTAAGAAGGAACAGTAGTATACCGATATTCAAAACTCGTGAATCCATTTTTAATATACAAATCAAGATTTCAAACATATGGAATCTTATGACCACCGAGCAGTGCAGTACCGGGCGCGTCGATAGGTCAAGCGTCTATTGCTTCACATGAACTATAAATGCGAATCCAAAATCTATCATACTGTATCGAAAGGGAATAATAAAACTTCGGACAAATCGAAGATAAGATGACTGCTCTAGTACTTTAAAGATTCAAGACCGGAAAAAATGGGTTCTGTGAGTTTCGGCACAGACACTCTATTAATCTGCTTTAAAACAGTACATCAGTTCATTATAAGTAAATATTTCGCTCAATCAATTTCTCGGTAGCCTGTACATATGACTTTATAGGTATAGAACCACTATTTCGGGCCCGATCTGGAAGAACATACAAGAAAGTAGAACACAATTGTTCCTACGCATACCTATGGGGGTGTCAAACGTTGCAATATTCACGAAAAATAAAATATATGTTCATGAAAATAAACAATTGTTCATATTATTAAATATATATTCATAAAAAAAAACATCTATTTAAAAATTCAAAATATGTGTTCATAAAATACAATATATATATGCATAAAAATACATAAAAATACATAAATTTTCATTAAATGAAATATATATGCGTAGCAGATAAATATAATATAATGTTCACAAACAAAATATTGTTTAAAAAAATAATTGTTCATAAAAATTAAATATGTATTAATAAAAACAAAATATGTATTCAAAAAACGAAATATGTATTCAAAAAATAAAATATTTGTACATAAAATAAAAATATATGTTTATGAAAAAATATATATGTTGATTATATAAACAAAAGTATGCGTTCAATAATTTGAATCATGGGGTGCCTTGTAGGTTGCACTTTGTAAATACAGCTGTTTCTCAAACCACGCCTCTTTTGGGGAGATATAGTATATTCATAGATAATTAATTTTGTTTACATACTGGTTCCCAGTTATGATCTCTATGTTTCATCTCATAGAGACATAACTTGGGAATGTTACCAATAAATATACATATGCATATTGTTTATACTGAAATCTGTGGTAATCCTACAGTCAAGGTAGGGATAGTTAAGAAATTTAGTGTTAGTTTAAACTCTTAGAAGTTCGGGGCATATAAACGTTGAAAATATGCCGCACAGCCCTATATTTTGACCTTTGAAAAAAATTGTAGTGCATATGAACTTTCCATTCTAGGATATGATTTTTTTCAAAACTTCATAGTAAAAGTGGTACAGTTTTAACCGTAACAGGAGTTCCTATGGGAAATTGCATTGTCAATATTTACAAAAATGCAACCTGTATGTATATATAATGTATGAACGTAAATTCCTCCGTTCGGCGAATCGCCCCTCGAGAACTGCTAGTGTACAGAGGATTAATGGAGATGTGTCACTAACTTATATACGACCAACCACCATAGACAATCCCTAACGCAACACCAAGGCAATGTTTGGAAGTGTGTTATTATGGTGAAGGAAGCAAAGTACACTGGGCAAGTAAGTAATATCAATACATAAGGAATAAACTCATCATAGATACCAGGATTTAAATTGTGTACGCTAGACGCCAGAAAGGGGCAAAAGAACAAATGGAACATATAGGTGATTATTCAATAAAACATTAGTTTTCTAGGGGTAAATCTAGTCGTAACGGCGTCTAGTAGAACCAGTGTATTTTCACAATTAAGTACAACAGAGTACAACAAATCAGTTATTGAGACGGAATAGCTAGATGTTGACGAAAGCGCAGTGATATCGATCATACTTTATTTTGTTTTTACATTTCAGTCTAAAAATGTTTACCATTATATAAAGTTGTGTCATCATGATTCGAACGACCATCATTAGTAATTATGTAGCCCAGAGATATGAAAAGAGATGCGGATGTACGAAAATGAGACATCAACCAAATTACACTGTTTCGTTTTCCTTGTTTAGAACTATATGTTTCACTGGAAGTAGTTGTTTTTATTACTTGTGCTGTTAGCATCACATTAATTAATAAAATGTCCAGACATGTGGATTAACACAGCTTTACCTAGTCAAATATAGGAATTGCATTGTCATTTTAAAATTTTTAGAAAATTGTATCTAGCTGTTTTTTAATGGTGTGTGTGTGTTTTGTTCCTTTGTTTTGTTATTGTTTTCCTATTTTGTTCGCAATACGAAACGTTCTTCATGATTTATCTTGTAAAGATAATTATGTTAAGGCAGCTTGAGACTGCTGGAGACGACGAAAAATTAAAAATTGTCAGAATATCAATTCTCCATTAGTTTTTATCGGACCAAGCGGCATATCTCAGAAACAAAACTGTTTGTTTTACTTCTATCGTGCGTGTGCTATCTAATATAGGTATAAATTAGAAAAGCAATGAAACAAAATTTCAAAAAGTAAAATAACAAAAATACCAAACTCCAAAGAAAATTCAAAATGTAAAGTTCCTTATAAAATGGCAAAATCAAAAGCTCAAACACGTCACACGAATGGCAAACAACTGTCATATTCCTGACTTTGTGCAGGCATTTCCTGATGTAGAAAATGGTGGAATAAACCTGGTTTTATAGCTAGCTTAACCTCTCACTTGTATGACAGTCGCATAGATTTCCATTATATTGACAACAATGTGTGAACAAAACAAAAGTGAATGCTTTTAAATTATTCAAAACATCTTCGGTGTAGTGCATTCTAACTACATTGACGGGACATTTTTATGAACAGCGTTTCACTAACTTTTTCAATTTGACATTTAAGTTAAGAATGAGAATACCTGATGTAGCGTCATATGTTTGGACAATGTTGCATGCTGATCGAAACTTTGACAGTTGTGACATTTGGGTATCGAGTTAAAATTTTCAGGTAAACGTCAATCTAACAGATTCTTTATAAGAAACCATTTATTTAAGACAATGAAGTGCAGGTAATGTGTAATCATGACATTCGCCCTGGGTCAGAATAGCAAATATTCATTAAATTAACCTAGCTACAGGAAGGGATTAGATTGCATAATAAATTATACAATTAATTTTGTTAATACTAAACTTAGGTGATAAGGTTTTCAGTCTATTATCCAATAGACTACGTTGTCTTCAGAGACGTTTTGCGAGGTGGGGATTGATAGGTCTTTGAAGCATTTTGCCGATAACGTGAAATCAATTAGAAGTAAGAAAGTATTGATAAGAATAGATAAGATAACATCAGATAAGATACAAGAGTTTTATTTTGATTTGGCACTCTTTTTAGAAAATTATGCAAAACAAGCTCTAATGAGACACGAATGAAAATATAAACACAACATAACAATTATTACAATAACTGCATGGTTTGCATGCACAATTTGCACACAGCAAAAAAATAACGGCAATGTACTGCAAAAAGAAATAAGACCATTAGGGACCAAGGGATGGATTTCGAAATGCTGACTTTTTGTCGATAAACTTTGGAAAAACAAAATAGCTCGCATAATACATGTACGATATTAAGTTTGCTCAAATATCTTGCTTTAAAGTCAAAGTAATGTTAAATATTCAATAAATTCATCATATATACTACGATTAAAATGATGAACGCCAGAAACGCACTTTCGTCTACTAAAGATTCTAGAATCAAAAGAGTTAAAAGCTCAAATAAAGTATGCATAAAGTATTGAGGACCCAAAATTCCCTATATTTTGCAAAATACAAGATCATATTCTATAACTGTCACTATTGTTTGCATAGCTCGTTCAGATCAGTTTGTTAGAAAACGGTTACAAAGAGAAAAGTCTTCAAGATATAAGAATGTTTTGGCATGGAAATAAAAATATTTAGTAGTTTGAATATCGACGTGTTTATGATAATACAATAACATTACATCTGACGTTTTTGTACTGTTTTTCAAACGTGTACTTTAATTCACCATCTTCAGATATTGTAATACTCTTATGTGACCTGACCTGGTATTTAAAAAAATAGTTTTTGGCAAAACTGTATATGACCATTGAATTTACCTCAACAGATATTTTAGTTACTTCTACATCTTTCTTTAAAACATATTTTAGGCAAAAAATATTTTTGAGTACATATCTAAAAATCAAGTACAAGATAATCATATTTTGGCAGTTTTTAACATTCATAAATAGATTTTAATATAAAATATTTAGCATGCATACAAAAAAGAAACAACTCAGAGTATATTCTAACAACTTCGCTTGTGCCGATCCGCATTTTTCATTATATTCTTAGAGGCACCCCAGCATATTTTTTGGTTTAGACCAAAGCCATACTTTTTGTTGACATAGCCATCCTTCATGACATCAGAAATTGTTTTTCGACCAGATGCTGTTTTTTCTCCTGTTTTTGTCCATCTGAAATACAAAACATTATTTTTCAAAGTGATGCAGTAAACTTGATGCATTAGCAGATGAAACTCTCCCCCATAAACTTTAAAGATATCACGATTAACAAAAATAGTTGGTATCAAATCGGGAACAACAACATATCATTTTCATCATAACCAGTCAACGAGTGTACAATATTGCAAGAGATTGAGCGGGTAATAATATTTTAAGAGGTGTAATCTTTCATTCATGCTTAAGCATTTTCCCTTTGATTCTGTTGAGTGAGAGGACAATGTTGAACCAGCATTCAGGACGCTATATTTACAATATCTGTAAATACTTAAATGAAGGGAATAGCATATTTCTTTACGATACTTCGCTTTATCATGCATTTAGTTCAGACATATTCTGCTTATGCAAACTCTAAACTGATATTCATATCATAACTTATAAAATAGACAACATCACGATCAAGAAGAAAAACGACAATTAACATCAATAAAAAATCATTATACAAAAGAACCCACGGCGCGAAATAGACGTTTGTGCTAAGGCAATCAATCAAACACTAAAGATTGAGCAACAAGACCTTTACCAAAAAACCATGTTTCACTCAAGTGTTTCGAATGGGGTAAGTAGGTCCTGATCTACTAATGACAACCGTCGTGTTACTCATTGCATGAGGGTCTGGATGTGTTTACAGAAGAGAGAATAGTGGACAAAATGTGCAGAATAAAGGGCCAAAAATATAGGCCAAAAAATAATGACTAGAGAAAATGGGGTGCTGAAATATAAAAAATAGAGAAAAAAATGCTTAAAAAAATAAAGTTTATAGATTTAAGGGACTCCTCCATCAAGACCCTTTTGCATGCAAACGAACGGTGATAAGTCAAATTGCTAAATGACAATTGCATGGACAGATATCCAGAAACACAAATTGATAATGTAATAAAAACAAACTACGGTGATAGCAAAGCACGTTCCTTGAAAATCTCTTAAATGATATAAGATAATTAATAAAAACGATTTATAAATTTTAAGTGTTAAGATTTTAGTTCACTTTAATAAGCATGTTAATCTTAATGGTACTGTATATTTCTTACTTGTTAGACATATGTTTGGCATTGACAACGACTGTACTGGAAGACTTCCCATAACCAGGGCCTTTGTGGACTAGAAACTTGCCACCATTTTTAGTAGTAGCTACAACTCCAGTATGTTTTATTCCAATTTTCCCTAGAAATCCGTTAAGTGGTCTGGAAAAAAATGATTCCATTAGTTTATCTGTAAATATATATAAGTCGTATAACTTAGTTAACGAATAGTCAATAAATGGAACTTATATTGAACAAAGAATCAGTTTTCAGTGTTATCTCTGTAACGATTCAACTTTCAGCAAAGGGGGTTACACATTCTAGGGTTCAGATAATCAGTTATGCTTCAAACACATGGCGTTCATAAAACGAAAAAAATTCTGAATTTGTCCTTTGTCTCACCCATTTATTTTTTTTTAACAAAACTCTGAATCGTTGATATTATTTTTTTATTGTGGCTACATGGAAGATGGTTGCTGTAACCGATCAAAACGTTGTTTTGTGAACAATGTTATCGTTATCTTAGCATATTTATTATGAGCAAAATAAAAAAAAACCACATAAATGGACATGGGGAATATGTCAAAGAGACAACCCGACCAAAGAGCAGAAAACAGCCGAAGGCCACCAATGGGTCTTCAACACAGAGAGAAAATCATTAGTTTCGATCAAGACGACCGGTTATAAATTTGGTATGCAACTGAAAAATGGATGCCCGATAGGAAGAAAAATGAATGATCTCATTGTTGAAGGCCGTACGGTTGCCTATAAATGCTTACATCCATTTTATTTTCCTTGGCCGCCATATCGGAGGTCAAAGAGGTTTATTTTCTTATTGATTACACATGTGATATAAGCAAGACAGATTCAAGATCCATTCCATACCGTAGTAATGTCCATAGAAAGCAAATTTTGCCTGCATTGCAAATAAAAACAAATAGACCTGTCAGGGTTTTTCTCACTGTCGAAGTTCGCACGGTTGCCTATAATTGCTTACATCCACTTCATTCGACCTTTGATGGATAGTTGTTGTCTCATTGGCAATCATACTACATCTCCTTATTATTATATTGGCTGAAGGTAGATTCGAAGTAATCTAGCAGCACAGGCCAAGGGGTTCGGTAATGACGTAGGTACTTATTCATACATCCTGTACAGTCAAAAAGCCCAACCCCTCAATATAAGGCTTTTAGGCAGACGTTAGACGTAAGAAAGGGTTGTTTCAAAACAATCTGACTTATTAGTTTCATTCCGTTCTTTGGTATAGTTGAGAGTGAGGTTTATAATTTTTCATGGACTTCCAACTTTCTGAATTTACAATCTGTTCGTCGGTAATTTTGTTATTACATTTGTCTATTCTTATATCAATCCATTACTACGATCTGGAATGGATCTTAAATTTGACTTGCTTGTATCACATGTTTAGTCAAATAAGAAAATCAACCTGTTTGACCTCCAATATGGCGGCCAAGGAAAATAACTCTATCTAAATTTACATCAATGGAAAACTATTTATTACACTTCACAACCAGAACACTAAGTGACAATTACAGCAAAAGGTATTACATGTATAAGGATATCTCTTTTTCCCAAGTTGGTACATATCATATCCTTTTCTTTGTCTTAGTAGATGACATACCTTGAATAACTTTCAACTTTCGTGACTTTGCTGTTGTACAGTTTTGTAAGACCTTTCTTGTTCATATCATGGGGAAGCTGTACAAAAAAATTTAATTTGCATGAAAAGTATTATATGAAATTGATATATAAAACAATACCGGCATGCAAAATGATAAACAAACAGTTCCATATCGTGGTACTGAAAACTGGGGTTCAAGATGTTTAACGTGCTGTTTAACTTTGGTTCGCCTTTATATGGCCTTTGAAGTTTTACATGTATTTGCGCGGAGCAGAAAGAAACAGATTTTCGTGCGCACGAAAATTGTCTCTGAAATAATTCTAATCAGGCACTCCAGATACCAAAAATTCAGAGAGTTACAAAAATACATCGTTCGAGAGCATTTAACCAAAATTGCCTTAACAGAACGACATAAACTGTTCAAGGTCAACCTGATTGAGGTTTTAGCAATGAAGAACAATTACTGGACTGAAAATTTACAGACATAGTTCATCTATTAAAGAAAGCTAGCACTGAGACTACTGTGTGGACATTCCCCTTGGGAACAGACTTTGCACCATAAAAAAGTACGAAAGCGAAATTCGTGTTATCAAAACGTATATTAATAGACGTATTTACTAATTTAAATGTGGGTATTTGCATATCAGTTCATATATAAACATATAAAATATGTGAACTACCTGTAGTCAGTTTTAGACCCCGTGAGAGTCAGTTTAATTTGGGAGTATCAGTTCAACTCTTGTGGTTAAGTCTTGCCTTGTCGATTGATTTCGAAATTGGCTTAAAGGGTGATCACAACAAATAATCTTTTCATAAGAAACAGACAAAATTCTGAGTTTATATGTTTCAGAAATTAATGAAACCGAGGCCGTAAATCAATACCGTACTGGTAAAGTTAAGGCACTGGCTACGGTTACCCGCAAAAAGTAACAATAAGAAATAATTATTGTTACTTCCGAGACTAATTGCCGAAATATGTTTCCGGAGTGAGACCCAATTTCATACGGAAATTGCAGGTAACAATAATATTATTTTTATTGTTACCCGCAATTATTATTACCCGCAAAATCTTATATTTGCAAACACGTCTTTTTTGTGTGTAGCATCGGGAAATTTTGCACTGTCTTCGTGTCATTGTACTTCGGTTTACATATTTAAAAAAAATGTTTATGAACAGAAAATTATTTAATGGACATAGCAATGAAAACTTAAACATTTATATATAATAAGAAGTATTATAGCTATTAATTTCGGTGGCACTTCCTGCACATCCAGTATGTAGCCTTATGTGACATTTTGGGGCCAACACACTTTAGGTGGTATACACTCCAGACATTCGTCGCAAACTATAAATTCATATGTATGAACGTCAATACCACACACTAAGCAGTTCCACTCTGCTATGTCCTTCTTCTGCGACATTTGGTTTTTTAGCATTTCCCATGACTCATTGGAAAAATATTTTATGATTCAATTAAGATTAATGTTCTCGTCAAGCAATTTCATAGGGAATTTCTCAAATGAAAGAAATTGTTCCTATGAGGTAATGATAAGCAAACCATCCAGCACAGTATTCAACCTAGCATGGTTGAAATAGAATAAAGAAAAATATTTGCTATGAATTCAGGAATAGAAAACTTACAAACGATTGCAAAATATTGTATACATTAAATGAATGCACACGTTTCTGCGGAGTAAAATATGGAGGACAAATTTCTGCCACCATGAATGCATGAATATTTTAATTCAGAATAAATTAAATCTGTATTTCTGATCTCTTTTTTTTTTATTTTGGACTGTGCTTCTATTTCACAAGAACTTCTTCTATACAATTGAATAAAATTTGCATCTTGGAATTGTTGAAGTTTAGCATTAAAATTTTGAAAAGATATAAACTTTTCACCGACCACAAATTGGACATCTTGCTCATTTGAATCCATACTTAAGAATAGTTAGTTGTTTTAATCGACCCCCTATAGCAAAATCGAACGTCATATTGGTCAATATATCTGGAAGTTTAACCATGTTAATGTGTTTACATCATAATTTAATTGTTTAAATCTATTTCACAGATTTCTCGCAAATCAAACATTTTTGATATATTTTGCGGGCAACAATAACTACAGGTAACAATAAAAGATTATATTATTGTTACCTGCAATTTCCGTATGAAATTGGGTCCCTCTCCGGAAATACATTTCGGCAATTAGTCTCGGAAGAACCAATAATGATCTCTTATTTTGACTTTTTGCAGGTAACCGTAGCCAGTGCCTAAAGTTAAATACTCTTAGCGATAACAGGTCATTAACGTTGGATACTTTGTACCCTCATTACATATAGATTGTATTTAGCTTCCATTATTTGAAAATTTATCTTGTAACATTATTGGCATTTACTTACCCTTCTATTAATCGATCCTCCTGATCCACTAGATTTCTAAAAATAAGATTGTATGAATTGTTATAACAGAAATTAATATAATTTCTTAAAAGAGAGGCGAAAGATACCAAAGGGACATTCAAACTCATAAGTCGAAAATAAACTGACAACGCTATGAATAGAAAAAAAAACAAAACCAGACAAACAACAGTACACAAAACACAACATACAAAACTAAAGACCGAGCAACAAGAACCCCACCAAGATGTCCCATTAAGTATATTTTTGTAATTTTTTTTAATGAAAAAAAGAATAACAACGTCTGCTCCAGATATTGTTACATCCAGATTTACCTAAATAGGAAATATTCTCTTTGACAAGATTGTCTGCATGGTATTGTAGTATACAGAGTAACTATCAACTGCCAAAACGAAAATATATATTATAAAAAAAGGCGTTAATTATTTCGTCAAGTAGGCCACAAAAGACACTCCAGATGCCTTTCACGTAGTCTTTCTTTTATTGTGGTGCTGTTTAATCTTAAAGTGACTACTGCATACATTCTTTAATTAGATATAAGAAGATGTGGTATGAGTGCCAATGACACAACCCTCCATCCAAGTCAAAATTTATAAAAGTAAACCATCATAGGTCAAAGTACGGTCTTCAACACCAAACAGCAAGATATAAAGGGCCCCAAAAATTACTAGTGTAAAACACTTTTACAGTTTAAATGTTTAACCCTTTTACAGTTTAATTATTACATACACTTTTACTACGACGGAAAAACCATGCATCGCTGATAGAAACCAGTGTCAGAATAACTAAAATAATACTGCAGCGCATGATAAGTTCTTATGGCAAAATTTCTGAATTCTGAAAAATAAATAAAAAACATGATGAGAACAGAAAACTAGACTCGTATGTTTTACCTCGTTCAATCAATGTTGCTACTTTTCTGAAGTATGATTTTAGATTTTTTTACTAATTTAAAATCTGTCTTTATTGTTATCAAACTGCAGTCATTCTAAATCATTAAATAGAAGCAAAAAAAAAAAAAAATTAAATAATGTGAATAATCATACATTACAAGTTCTGGTAACAATTTTTAAGCAAAACATTGAAAATTAATGCTAATTTGATTCTAGAATTATATGCATGTTGTATGTATATACTATATTAACATGTTTCTATAAATATCTACATATAATCATATAATAATGCATGATATATATAAATAAAACTTACATTTAGGTAAATACTCCTTATTCGATGTAATATGCATAATACTAAAAATGACAATTTCCTTGTATATATACCTCTCTCTCTCAAAAAAAAAAAGATACATGTACTACAAAAGATCACTCAACTTCACCTCCCAAGTGACATAATTAAGTTATGTTGATTTTGTATTCGAAATAATGACGTAAACATTTTTTTTTTTTAAATATGACGATTGATATCACATGACTGGAACACCCTATGTATGAAATGTGTGTGACCAAAAAGACATTTCGCGTCGAATATTAACAATATTGACTGTCTTTTAGACAAGGTAAAATTCCACACGTTTAGTTTACAACGAAGTTATACATGTTAACGTTATATATTTTATCTTTTCTGTTTAAATCATGTAAACTGACTATATCAGACAAGTTTGATAGTGTATTATCTGAAATTCATATCTGCAAATAAGCGTTAGCAAGTTTTTGTTCTTCCCTTAGCGGGATTCAAATCCCTGCTTCTGTGGCATCGTGGCAACACCGCCTATATTGTCCCAGTGCCATATACCATTCGGTTTATTACAAAAAAATGTAGCCGAAAATATAGCCTACGTTAATAGTCAAGTTATGCATTTTCTCGTCGGCTTTATCTAGGGCTGTAACACAGTACATGATGTATTGTAGCAAGCAGGTGGTATGCCTTGCAGATCGGCTGTTTTTGCAGTATGTAGTTAAGGATGGCAGTACCAATCATCCAGTCACACCAATATTGTTTTATTATTGAAGACTAAATATGTGACAACTTTACGACATATATTCCCATGCTTCTGTGACATCGTGGCAACACTACTTGAACTATGCCCAGTGCCCTAGCCCAAACTATCGCATTAGGCAAAATTGCTGTTCAAAATTGAAAATGAATATTATTAATTACATTACAAAATGGTCATTTTAACTAAATACGTATCAACTAATTTTAATAATTGATAGTTGGTGTTTAATGCCACTTCTAGCACACTTGGCTTTATCGTGGTGGCCAGGTTTAATTGGCGTAGGAAGAAGGAGCGCCTGGAGAGAAACATCGACTTTCGACAGGAAAACTGAAAATCCTATACTATCAAAATGTGAGTCGAACGCAAATGCCACATTCGGGGTACGAAATCACAATCTCAGAGCTGATACTGTAGATGAACTACTTAGACGAATCGGCAACAGAATTTTCCAATTACTTTGGTGCAAAGATCTTTATCATTTATATGATGAAGGATACAATTATGAGCCAGCTAATATAAGGCTTTGATCACACTAAAACATTTGTAATAGAATTGAAATAAGTTTTATATTCAATAGATATGTTACAAAGGTATATCTGTTATTTGAGTTCGCTTCACATGAATGTGGCGGGGTTAATAGATATAGGAAGATGTGGTATGAGTGCTAATGAGACAACTCTCCATCAAAGTAACAATTTATAAAAGTAAACCATTATAGGTCAAGGTACGGCCTTCAACACGGAGCATTGGCTCACACCGAACAGCAAGCTATAAAGGGCCCCAAATATTACTAGTATAAACCCATTCAAACGGGTAAACCAACGGTCTAATCTATATAAAAACAAGAAACGAGAAACACGTATGAACTACATAAACAGACGACAATTACTGTACATCAGATTCCTGACTTCGGACAGGTGCAAACATTTGCAGCGGGATTAAACGTTTTAATGGTACCAAACCTTCTCCCTTTTTCTGAAACAATAGTATAACATCACAACATAGAAAGACACACAAACATGTTTGTGAGCGCTCAACCCTCCCCTAACTTGGGACAGTGGTGTAACAGCACAACATAAGAACAAACTTTAAAAATCAATTGAAAAAGGCTCAACTCATCAGATCGATACATAGAAAAACTTCAAACAAAAACACAGAGAGGACGTGGCAGGTTATATATCCATCCATCATGCCTAACAACAAAAAAGACACTTAGTACTGATCTGAGAGTACTCACAGTTACTGACAGCCAGTTCATAGCTAATAACAACTTATAAAAAAATCATGTATCTCATTCTAAATTATCAATCAGTACACATCCAACATCCAATGGATTTAGTGAAAAGACGTCCAAATGCCAAAATATAGGTATCAACAGATTGTAGAACCGTGAGAGTACATGTGCGTAATATTTAGTATGGTTTTAAATCGCTGATAACAAAATCAATATTTATGCTAATAAAAAACAATATTCAAAGATTTAATAACTGCGTTGAATAGGTAACCTTTTAGAATAATTTTACTTAAAGGATTGATAAGTTTACCCGGATCGTATTTAAATTTCCGTGGCGGTTAACAACATCACAAAGTTTAACAGGTACAGCCAAACTTGCAAACCAAATCTTTGTATCTATGGAATAATTTAGTAAAAGTTTTAATTAATTTGTGGTAACGAAATCCCTGACTTAATAATTTACTATCAATACATAGATTACGCTCATTGAAATCCAAAACGTCACTACGAGCATAGCGAATAAGTTGGGATATATATAAACACCGTAAGACGGTGCATATCACCGTCCAAAAAAGCCTAGTATTTATTTTATTTATTTAATTGTTCCCGATTTATGTGGTCTCTAACAAGTTTTCTCTAGAAATCCTATGTCACATTGAAAAAATTCAGCAAAATTTTAATGTTAACGTCTAGGTGTCTTTTGTTTTGATTTTTGTGTCATTGGGTAAATTGTTTTCTCATGAGCGTACATGTATATTATATATCTATAATTCTTAGTAAACGAATCAAATTCCAAGTAATTTGTTTATATAAATATATCTAAAAGAAAGGACCTTCCTTGTCAAAATAATGAGTGTTACAATAAAGGATGATCCAATCATTGTTACATGTACATTCTACGTTCTACAAATAGGTAAATACCAAAGGATGCAGAGGACCACCACATTTGTTTAATTATGTGGTAGCCAAGCAAAACATTATCATTGTCATGAGGAAGTGATTGATGGATATTACATGTTATTATAATATGATTTATTATATGTCTTGATTTGTTTTTGTTACTTGTTACCTCAAACAAAATTCCAGTGAACGTTCGTGTTGCATAACATAATTACGCATGTTTATATGTTTATATGTCATTGTGCAGGTTTAATCCCGAATTGACTTTTGGATTTCCCCGACATTGATTTTGAAAAAATGTGTAGTAAGGAGGCAGACATTTTTTATCCGAACCTTCTCCTGTACCACTAACTGGAATTCAATTGAATTTTCACAGATGCAATCGTATCAGTCAGCATATTTTGTTTAGCTATTTTAATTCTAATGACTTTTGGGATTTTCCTTTGCAAAATATTGACTTATTAACTTTTAATTAGAACCAGGGTACTCACATATGATTATTTCCTTCTAAAAAACATTTAGGTATTGGTTGTTTTCATTTCATTTCATTTCATCTCCCGTTAAATAGACTGAATTCAAAATTAATTCCCAGTATTTTTTATACGATGTTTGTAACAATAATTGTTACAGACATGCACGGAAACACCCCTGTTGAAGCTTCGTGTTCCAATTGTTAGAACTGAACCAAAAGACCCTATTTTTTGGCACACTGAAGTCATATTTGACTTTTAATCGTAACCAAAGTATAAACACTTGGTAAAACATTCTTTAAATTATATCTGCATAATCCAAATGCAGTTAATCTTTTGCTTATAGTATCTGTGGAACAAACATAACAAGGACAATTATATGTTGACCAATGAACCATGAAAATATGGTCAAGGGTAGATGGACCCTGACAGACGAACATGTACACCATACAATCATGCAATACAAAAAACCTACTGCTTATAATATCTGAAAACTGACTTTACCATAAAAACGTAACATTTGCCAATGAACAATGAAAATGAATTCACGGTCAGTTGAAACCTGCCAGAGGGATATGTTCACTTTACAGTCTTTCCATATACCAAATCTTGTTGACCTATTGACTATAGTGTCTTAGACACAGATCTAACAAGGATAACTAAACAGTGACCAATAAACCCTGAAAATGGGGTCAAGGTCATTTGAACCTTGCCAGAAGGACATGTTCATTTTACAGTCTTTCCATATACCAAATCTAGTTGAACTATTGACTATAATATCATAGAAACAAACCTGACCAGGATAACTAACAGTGACCAATAAACCCTGAAAATGGGGTCAAGTTCAGTTGAACCTTGCAAGACGGACATGTTCACTTTACAGTCTTTCCTTAAATCAAATCTAGTTGACCTATTGACTATAGCATCTTAGAAACAGACCTAATCACGATAACTGAACAGTGACCAATAAACCCTGAAAATGGGGTCAAGGTCAGATAAAACCTGCCAGACAAACTTGTACACTTTACAATCTGACATTCCACATACCATATATAGTTGAACTGTTGATTATAGTATCTGTGAAATGTACCAAAGCACTAAAAATCAACATTGACCAATAAACTATGAAAATGATGTCAATGTCAGATAAAATCAGCAAGTCAAACATGTACACCTTACAATCGTTCTTTACACAAAAATTTAGTTGACCTATTGCTTATAGTATCTGAGATACAGACAACCATGAAAGCTGAAACTTGGTCAATCATCTTTGAAATGAGGTCAAGGTCAGGTAAACCCTGTATGAAATACATGTAGAACTTGCAAGGATCCCATATATACCAAATATAGTTATCATATTTCTCACAACAAGAGGCTCATGAGAGCCTCATATTGCTCACATGTAATTTCAGTTTCAGTCATTTGACTTATTTGTAGATCTTACTTTGCTGAACAATTTTGTCATTTACACTTTCTCTCTTTCTATAATAATATTGAAAGATAATAAATAACCCAAAACTGTAAAATTTTAAGTATCTGGCCTAGTAGTTTCAGAGAAGAAGATTTTTGAAAAAGTAAATAAACTTTCACAAAAAATGTTAAAAAAAAGTTTTAAGGGCAATAACTCCTTAAGGGGTCAATTGACTATTTTGATCATGTTGACTTATTTGTAGATCTTATTTAGCTGAACATTTAATGCCATTTATACTTTCTTTCTATCTATTATAATATTAAAGAAAATAACCAAAAGCAGTAAAATTTAATAAAAATAAATTATTTCCAACAGTAACCCAACAATGGGTTGTTGAACTTGTCTGAAAATTTCGTAACAGATAGATCATGACCCATATATCACTTTGACTTCCTTTCACTTTTGGTCTAACTGCTGTAGTTTTTGAGATATAAGCCAAAAACTGCATTCGACCCCTATGTTCTATTTTTAACCATGGCAGCCATATTTGTTGATGGATCAAAACTTCGGATACATTTTATAAACTAGATACCCTAAGGAACATTTCAGAGGAGAAGATTCATGAGATTTTTGAAATAGTTTAATACGACTACGACGACAGACGACAATGGACGCCAAGTGATCGCATCAGCTCACATGGAGCCCTTAGGGCAAGGTGAGCTAAAAAGTGAGAAATTAACGTGACAAAAAACTATACAGTTTTCTTATGAGCACTCATTGAACCAAGAATTACATTTTTATATTCAACATTCATATATATCTACAAGTATTTCAATATGCAATAATCAGTTGATATTTGTCATAAGAAAGCAATGACTGATCTAAACTGGATGATTAACATCATCAAAAGATTTGTCACTCTTTACTCAAATCTAGAGCATCAACAGTATGTATTGGTCTGATAATGTGCATTTTTAAAAACAGTTTTTACTTTTTAGATAAAGTGCCAATGATATGAAACAGTATCCTTCCATCTTTAAAAGAAATGATGTTTGAAATTGCATTTAATGATTTTATTATTTGGTTTGACTTTGATTGATGATGCATATATTTCAGGGGGAAAGAGTTTGGAAGTGCAATTCAAATTCTTTTTTCTCTGGTGGATAAAACCATTTTGCCATCTGTAATGTTGCTTCAATATCCTCTAATTTGTCCTTTGTCAATTTTGAGAGGAAGCCACAACTTCCAGACAAAATCACAGTGTCCTCTTTTCTAAGCTGCATTTGCATCGATAAATAATTAATGGTCATCCAAAGTTGTAGAACTGACGATAGGTTTAATTTTGCAGGAATTTTTCTTATTGTTTCATCCTCCCACAATGGAATAGGTGGTCCATTATTACGCAAAAGAATATCATACTTGGAATCGTACAAATAAATGTCAAAATGTCTTGCATTGGCAGCAATTATTGGAACCATGGAAGTTGATTGAGTCTGTTCAAGATTTAATATTGGTTTTGAAATTTTTTGAAACATAGAAAATGTAATGGCCATAGATATTATCCTTTCTACAGTATTTTCTCCACGAAGAGATGAAGTGTCTCTGTACTCTACAAATGTTTTCAGATTTGTTTCAAGATTGGAACTTAATTCATTGTCCTCGCTACTTGAATCTTCTGGTACTACAATACCACATACTCCACCATAGGGAAGCATCATTATGTCTGGACATCCATACCATAAATACTCACTTCCTGAAAATAAAATAGAATATTTCTTCATAAAGGATGTAGTTATGTCATTTTTAGGAATTTTTGTCAGATGTTTGGACTTTTTGTGTTTTCCTACGATACAGTTTGCCCCATATCACCCACTTTTCTTTTCATAGAAGACTTTGATAGCTCATAAAAGGTTGTTTACCAAAATTTAAGCAGATTCTAGATTTCTTTTCTTATGATTTGAGACCAAAATAATACCAATGCCAATTATAAGGTAAAAGTCCCAGTCAGCTTTTTCCCACCATTTTCAAACAAGAGTGCACACGCTGAAATGTCTCGCCTTCTTTACTAATCATTGATATTATGTTGATAGTCCTAAATATAAAGCTTTATTACAACTGTCACATAAACTTAACATTAACCAAGTAAACTAAACATTGACCAATGAACCATGAAAATGAGGTCAAGGTCAGATGAACCATGCTAGGCAGGCATGTACAGCTAACAATTCTTCCATACAACAAATATAGTTGACCTATTGCTTATAGTTTAAGAAAAACAGACGAAAACACAAAAACTTAACACTGAGCAATGAACCTTGAAAATGAGGTCAAGGTCAAATAAAACCTGCGTGACTGACATATAGATCATAAAATATTTCCATACACCAAATATAGTTGAACTATTGCATATAGTATTAGAAAAAAAGACCAAAACTCAAAAACTTAACTTTGACCACTGAACCATGAAAATGAGGTCAAGGTAAGATGACACCTGCCAGCTAGACATGTACACCTTACAATCATTCCATACACCAAATATAGCTGACCTATTGCATGCAGTATTAGAAAGAAAGACCAAAACTCAAAAACTTAACTTTGACCACTGAACCATGAAAATGAGGTCAAGGTCAGATGACACCTGCCAGCTAGACATGTACACCTTACAATCATTCCATACACCAAATATAGTAGACCTATTGCATACAATATAAGAAAAACAGACCAAAACACAAAAACTTAACTATAACCACTGAACCATGAAAATGAGGTCAAGGTCAGATGACACCTGCCAGTTGGACATGTACACCTTACAGTCCTTCCATACACCGAATATACTAGACCTATTGCTTATAGTATCTGAGATATGGACTTGACCACGAAAACTTAACCTTGTTCACTGATCCATGAAATGAGGTCGAGGTCAAGTGAAAACTGTCTGACGGGCATGAGGACCTTGCAAGGTACGCACATACCAAATACAGTTATCCTATTACTTATAATAAGAGAGAATTTAACATTACAAAAAATCTGAACTTTTTTTTCAAGTAGTCACTGAACCATGAAAATGAGGTCAAGGACATTGGACATGTGACTGACGGAAACTTCGTAACATGAGGCATCCATATACAAAGTATGAAGCATCCAGGTCTTCCATCTTCTAAAATATAAAGCTTTTAAGAAGTTAGCTAACGCCGCCGCCGCCGCCGTAGCCGCCGCCGCCGCCGGATCGCTATCCCTATGTCGAGCTTTCTGCGACAAAAGTCGCAGGCTCGACAAAAATCAAATATTTCGATAAGGAGTTCCATTATATCAGTTATATTAGTTAGCTCTAGACAATTATAGTGTGCATTATTTTAAAGAGAATTTCTCAGAAAATCAGCAAAAGTCTCCAATAAATCTTCATTTGCCACCATCATATCTACAATCAATGTTGATGCTTCTTAATAACACAGTTGTCATTATTATTTAAAATTAATTAAAGTTACTGAAATACATGTACCGGTAACTCCCTAATTTCCAACAAAAGTTTTAGTCTCTGTTAAGTTCATTCACAGCATTTTTAGACTGAAGAAAATTTGGACCTGGACAAATTGTATTGACACCTGTCTATTGTCGAAGACCATATGCTTACTTCCCAATGTCTTCTTTGTTTTTTGTGTTACTGGGTCAATGTCCTATCATAATCTACATCTCCTTTTCTTCATATAAATTATATATCACACATCTTTTATTTATTGTGTTTCTTTATTATCAAATTCTTTAAAACTGACAATTTTCCCTTTTTTCTTGAATTTCTATTTTTCAGTAAAACTTTTTACAGTGGTATGATAATGATTTAAGGAGATCATCATTCTTCATCACTGTTGAAAAAAGAGACTATTTTTACAGTGGTTTGAATTGAAAAGATCACTATTCTTCAGCAATGTTGAAAAAAACCAAGACTACTATCTATGTTGTATTCTTCGCCTGTACAAAAGAGTATCATGTGGTAATTGGTAATCTAAAAATAAACTGTTGCAACAGATATGTTTGATCTCTTTGTAATGTCCATAGATAATGATGCTATTGTTTTATTTTAAATGGCAATGCAACAAACATCATGGACTAACCATTTGTGGTTATCACAAATTTTAGCATGTAAACTATATAAAAAGTTTCAAATTCAATGGACCATGTCAGAGAAGACTAATCCAATTCATCACTTTGACAATGGAAATGAGATGCGCCAATGGTTATACAACTGCTAACCAATTATTATTATTAATTTTACTTTTCTTACTAGTTCCTCTTTATCAGCTCTAATCACAAAATTCATATTCAAACCAGGGATAAGTTTCAAAATCAATTTTCTATAAATGAGAAGGCAGGTAAAGAACTAATATAATCTCCACAGAAATCAGAGGTGCTAATGCAAATACAAATCCCTTTTAACATGTTTAACAAATACTAGTAGTTCGCTGCAATACATTGTTAAACTGCAGCATGCTTTTGTAATGCATGCCTTGTCAAAATGTCATCAAATTTTCTTATTTTGATACAAAAGTATGTATCCTACTACCAGTAAATAAACCAAAGATTTGTTAAAAAACAAAGATCCAATAAAACTATTATAAATGATAATGTCTTCACAGGATTTCAACTGTTACTGTGGATTCCTTATTATTTGTGAGATACCAGTTTACATGGATTTTGGTTGGAAGAGTCTAACCACAAATCAAATGTACAACGAAGTACAAATTTTCTATAAACTTGTATTCAGACAAAATAACAAAATCAAATATCCATGAAAATATATGAATCAACAATACTTAAAAGTAAAATTAGCAAATTGATGACTTTTGTTTGCTTTATGTCCCGCGGCAAATATTTCATGCATGTTCAAAACAATAAAAAATTTAATAGACAATTTTTTCATTATGCCTTTTATCATGTTTATCATGTTTATAGTGAGACGTCTTGGACAATATTACTTTCTAAAAAATTTCTTTTACCATGATTTTTTTTTTATATAATGCAAGAAAATCATCTTGGCATTTTATACTAGTATTAGATCAAATGTAGAAGTTTCTCAATTTTACAGAGTGTTCATGCAAGTAAAATTTAAAGTCAACACTGACAAGACATTGTTATCAGAAGTAGAACTTGTTAAAAGTTTATGAATTAACCATATATGTAGCTCTATGAGAAGGGGGGGGGGGGGGGGGGGGGGGGGGGGTCCAGGTCCCCTCCTTCTCCTAAGTCTGCCTCTAAAATTGAATTGATGCCTTTCTTAATGTTAGAAATTTCTGAATTTACAGTAAGCTATTTTATTGCGTGCATTTATTATTGACTATTGTGTTTTTCAAGAATGGATAAAAATGAGAGTTTAAATACAAAATGTATTGTGATTTCGAAAAAATCTGCAAACAGATCTATGTTTCAGTTATCAGAGAATGCAAGTTCTTATTACTGTGATACTCACCCAGTTGCATTTTTTGCATTAATAAAAATCCTCACAATCGCTTCTGAATTTACAGTATCAGAAAATATAAGTTTACCTATTCCAATATTATCATAAACTATTTCCTCTCCACAGTTCCTAGAACAAGGACAAGTAACAAGATCCCATTTGCTCAGTTTTTTATTTGTCACAAAATGATTTCTTCCAAAGTTTGCAGTCAATCTTGAGAACAAGTGATTCGACATAATAACACTAATATGGCCTTCATTCTGTAATCGTAAAACAGCTTGAAGACAGCTTTCATGATAGTCTGAAATAGAAATAATTGGTTGTCTCATACTTTGTTACTTGTTTAAGTCTATACATATTAAGATTACATAAAGGAGTATGAGCAGTAAGCACTATTATGGTCTATATTTTGGATTTGTTGTTTGTATGATTTCATAGGTATAATAAATTATAAATATCGTTAAATGTAGGATTTGTCAAAACCCTGAAATATTTTTTTTCCCTCAATACTAGGGAAGTGGTACCTGTACATGTTTGCAAAAAAAAAAAAAAGTACCTGTATATGTTTGCAAAAAAAAAAAGTACCTGTACATGTTTGCAAAAAAAAAAAAGTACCTGCACATGTTTGCAAAAAAAAAAAAAATCAACCATGACCACTGAACAATCTTTAATTTCATATGATACTAAAATGGAGTATTTAGAATCAAGGGTACCCCAAATCTGAGCCTCTACTTGCGATCAAACACTTTTAAAATTGCTGTTTTTTTTTATAATTAATACTACTAAGTTATGAGAGTTCAAATGTAATTGAAGGGCTCCCTATTGTGCATATGTTGTGAGTTGGCTGTTTGATAATCAAAATTCATTGATGGTATGAAAAGGTGATCTGTTGAAATAGTTTGAAAGATTACAATGAACAAAACTGCATTATATATTCTAACATTCTGACATAATCCAGTTTAAATCTTGGAAGACTTATGGCGCCAATTAGAATTGAAACAGGCAGATATGAAGGGGTTTCATGTGAAAATAGATTTTGTTTTAATGATTTATGTATGCAACAGAAACTCATTGAAGATGAGAACCATGTTTTACTAAAATGCCCTTTATATTCACATGCAAGACAAGAGCTTTTTACTAGAGCAGTTTCTTTTAAAAGTGTTTTTTTAGACTTAATTGATAATGAATAAATTGCTTCGCCGAGTGCAACTGATACAACCGCAGAAGTCAAACCCTGAACAGTTGGGGCAAAAATGGACACAATATTCGCGCTTGATACAGGCCTGAATTTGGATTGTAATTCAATATTTGACACATAATAGGTTTCTGACACAGAATAACTGTAGTCAAAGAACTTAGAATTGGTTATATGATTTGAATTTATATTCAATTTTTTGCTTTTGTGCCAAACAGTATGTTGTTGAGAATTGACCTCCCCCCCCCCCTTTTTTTCAAAAAAAAAAAATTTGAAGGATTTTCTTTTTGATTTCTGTAATCTTGAGAAAAAATTATCCCCCCGCCAACCCCCACCACCAATTTTTTTACCCCCCCCCCCCCAATTTTTTTTAACCCCCTCCTCTTTTCAAAAAAAAAAATCTTTCCCTCAGTCATGGACATAATTTCAATTCAAATTTCCAATGGAGTTTGCAACCATAATAACCCATTTAAATACATCATAAAAGTCTTAAAATAGAAAATGACATACATAATCTTAGCTAAAATTAATTTACCTTAATCAGCATTTTTAAAATTATTAAAATAGTAACTTCTAAAAATGAATTGACAGCTAATCACCTCAAGACAATAAAAAAATTCTTTATACATAATTTAAAAGCAGTGTAAGGGAGGTAATTCAAAGTTGTGTTTGAATTACCTCCCTTACACTGTAATTTGTACTTAAGTAATTGTCCATTAACCAGGACACCCTTGTTTTTTCTCAATTTCTTGCCCCTAATTCCTAAACGTTTTGAGCCATAACCCCCAAAGCCAATCCTAACCATCCCTTTGTGGTATGGAAACTTGTGGTATAATTTCAGAGAGATCCATACACAGTTCCACAAGTTATTGTAATGAAACTAGAAAAATGCTTATTTTGGCCCCTAATTCCTAAACTGTTGGGACATAACCCCCAAAATCAATCCCAACCTTCCTTTTGTGATTATAAACCTTATGTTTAAATTTCATAGATTTCTATTTACTAATACTAAAGTTATTGTCCGGAAACCAAATGTCTTCACACGACAACAACAACAACGATGTGATACCAATATACGACAGTCGTATAAAAATTTATATTCTTATTTACAAATGAAAATTTGTGCTTTTATTCTGCCAAAATCTGCCATGATATTTTAATTCAAAGGAAGAATGTTTTATATAGATAAAAAAAAAAGTGTTTTTTATTTTTATCGATTTGGACATTTTTATGTAAAAGTCTCTCATAACTCTTTTGAGAGTGGCTCTCGAATGTTTTTAAGATTGTTTTGTACTTTTAATCAAAACATGCTGTAGATATTGTATTCATGTTTGTATTGTACATGTAGAGAGGTGAGACTATAATAAAATATTTGATTTGATTTGCATTACTAGTAGTCAGATTATGCCTTTTTACATAGAGTTAATAGTATTTTCAGACTTACTAATAATATAAAATCAGAATAAGCTGGACTTGTATAGATCATATTTTGTTCAAATGGATCTTGAAATTTTCATTTTTTTAAGATTTGTTAACCTACATGCATATATGTATTCAATAAATAACCATGAATATTTGCAGGGCTGTCAAGTTTCATGAAGCAAATATGTGAGATTTGGCAAAAATTGTTATGATCAAAGAGAAAAAACAATAGATCAAAGGAAAACGCTGTCAAATAAGCATGAAAGTGCGTGAGTCTCATGCACATTGTATGACATTGCTTGAGATTTGACAGCTCTGATATTTGTATGATGTTTAGCAATCTAAAAATCCATCTTTACATGCTTATTTTAATGTAAATCTACATGCATGAATCATTTTTCACAATTGATCCCAAATACACAATTGCATAAACATGATCATGATAAATAGGTAAACTATGCATGACTGTTTTTTTAAGCTTTTGTTCATATTTTTGGGAGATAAAATGAAGTTGTGATGTCATGTGCATGTAGACATTCAGCTTTTAAATATGAACATGGTTGTTGTCTGTTTCTGTTGATCAAATGTGTTGTTTGTTTACTGTTTTGTACAGTTCTTGCATTGTTCTGTTGCACCACTGTCCCAGGATTAGGGCCCGGGAGGGTTGGGCGCCCACTAACATGTTTATCCCCGCCACATTCTGTATTTATGTGCCTGTCCCAAGTCAGGAGCCTGTAACTAAGTGGTTGTCGTTTGTTGCTATGTTACATAATTTGTTTTTCGTTCATTATTTTGTACATAAATTAGGCCGTTAGTTTTCTCGTTTGAATTGTTTTACATTAGTCATTTCGGGGCCTTTTATAGCTGTGCGGTATGGGCTTTGCTCATTGTTGAAAGCCATACGGTGACCTATAGTTGTTAATTTCTGTGTCATTTAGTCTCTTGTTAGTCAGGGGTACTACTTGTACAAGTTAGTTTTTTTTTATTATATATTATAAGTTATTTTTATTTACTTGAAGAAGTAAATGATAATATACTTAATTATATAAGAAAATTTGTTATATTTGTATTTTCTTATAAGGTATGAATAATCTCCTCTTAATTTTCTCCAAAAATTTACTTGTATAAGTAATTTTTTTACACTCCCTAAAATTCTCAAGTTTTGGGATGTAAAAACATGCCTTAAACAATTTTTCTCTGGTTAGCTCATAATTTTTTACAAGAGTTCAACGTTTCATCTCATTAATTCAACAAAGAAACTAATTGCGCAAATATCTTAAGCAATTGCACAAGGCCTTCAAAAATTGCCCCTTGGGGGCTTGTAAATCAGCAGTGTTTTGAAGATAACAGACAACTGAGATTTTCATTGTCCATGAAATTACACTTAAATGATTAGTAAAGACATCTGCAAAGGACCGCCAATTAAAAATTCTATTAGAGCAAAGAAGTCCTTAGAAATTCAAGAAAAGAAGATAGAATGACTTTTTTACTTGTATAAATAAAAAATGTGCTTCGCCGGGCGCAGCTGGATACGACCACAGAGGTCCAACCCTGAACAGTTGGGGCAAAAATGGACACAATATTCAAGCTTGATACAGGTCTGAATTTGGATTGTAATTAAATATATGACACATTATAGGTTTCTGACACAGAATAAATGTAGTCAAAAAACTTGAAATTGGTTATATGATTTGAATTTATATTCAATTGAAGATTTCGTGCTGTTGTGCAATACACTGTGCTGTTGCGCAATACTTAGTAAATCTGTTTTCAGACTATATACAAAGTATTAGCAAAATAAAATAAAAGGAAAAAAAATTGACCCCCCCAACAAAATTTTTTTTACCCCCCCCCTCCAAAAAAAAACAATATTGAAGAAATTTTCTTTTTGTAAAATGTGGTACAATTTTAGAGACATCCATACACTTAAACACAAGTTATTGTCTGAAAACTAGAAAAATGCTTGTTTTTGCCCCTCATTCCTTTTTCGGTTGGGCAATTACCCCCAAAATAAATCCCAACCTTCTACTTGTGGTATTGAACCGTGTGGTACAATTTCAGAGCAATCAAAATACTTATACACAAGTTATTGTCCTGAAACTAGAAAAATGTTTGTTTTGGGCCCCTTAAAAGGCCCCTAATTCCTCAACAGTTGGGACCATCACCCCGAAAAACAATCCCAACCTTCCTTTTGTGGTATTGAACCTTTTGTTTAAATTTCATAGAGATCCATACTCTTAAAACTAAAATTAATGTCCGGAGAGCAAATGTTTTCGGACGACGAGGACGACGTGATAGCAATATACGAACACAAATTTTTGCTGGTCTTATAAAAAATCTGTATGTCAAAGGGACATAACTAAGCCATTAATATAATTGACCTATACAAGTAAATAAAATACACTTGTATAATTATATAAGTATCTTACAAATTTACTTATGCAAGTATATTAATATTTACTTCTTCATGTAAACAAAAATAACTTGTACAAGTAGTACCCCTGACTGCTTAATTGTGAAGAGTTGTCTCATTGGCAATCATACCACATCTCCTTTTTTATATGGACCAAAAAAATAGACATTATAGACTATCTTTTGACTTTAATTTCTCATCTGAAGTCAGTTTTTCTCTAAAATGAAGGGAGGTAACTCATGACATCAAATATTCTAAATCATGTAAATTCCATAATAAAAAATTCTGACTCATTTATGTCAGAGCTCTGACTGATTGAAGAGTTTTGTATGAAAATCATTTTTTTGGGTGAAAAAAAAAACCAAACTTACAGAGTTTTCATATCAAAATCCAACTTTATCAATTCAGACAGCTACATGTATAAGTTTCTTGAATGAAAGGGAAAATATGAAGTAAAATTAATATGTGTTTATAAATTATCAAAATATTCAAACTAAACATTCTGGAAAGTGAGTAATTTTTTAAATCAGTTCCACAGTGTGTTTTTAATCAAAAATATCCCTAGTTTCTAATGAAATGTGAAATCAAATTTCAGAAATCTACATTTAATTATGCATAATTTCCCTCAGTTTGTTAATCAATTTACAGAACCAAATTTGATATAGAAAGATCAGTTATAAAGTCTATGAAACTTTTAATTTTCGACTTAAAAAATATATTGTTACATGTACGTATATTGTTGTATTGATAAGTAATAATTATTGTGCAAATTGGTTTATATATAACATCAAAAATTAGGTTGGAATTATCCTCTATATTTTAGTTGAACTTCAATTGAAGCATGTTTTATAGTTGTGCTTAACAATTCCAGTAATTCTTTGAATGTAATTCAATTTGACTCCATATACATGTATCTATGCATTTTTATATATGCATGATATGCAGCTACTTAAACCCGGCCTTTATCTTCATGCTCTCTGTTTTGAGGTATGTATTTTGATTCAGTATGTTTGTGTTGTTATATGTATAAGCTAGGTAGAATACAAAACAAGTATTTGTTTATTTGATGTTAGAATGATGCATTGTGGGATAGCACCATTTCTTGTCACATGGCGGGAAATATTTATCATGTTTATATTGCCACAAATATTGAAAATAATTTTTCAATTCATAAAAAATGCAACTTTCAGAAAAATATAGCAATTAAAATCCAATCATTATTGATTTACATCATGAATCAACAGTTAATTAACAATCTGATTGATATATTCTTTGTTTATAGAAAACGCACATACATGTATGCAGTAATTCAGTCCTGTTCAGCGCTAAAAAGGGGTCATACCTGTCAACTGACCCGGATCCTGCAGGTGTGACCCGAGATTTTCACAAATTCGTAATTCTTCCTGGACAAGAAGTTCAACTAGCTGTGTAAACTCAGCTCAAGTGACCCATTTCAGTGCATGGATTCACTTTACAGCTTTGGTGTCAAACACACTGTTAATTAACACCAATTACCTTAGCTTTAGGTCGTAAATAATTTGTGTATTTAAAAGTTCTTTTAAAAACAATTTGAGTTACTTCCCCTTTTTTGTCAATTCACAATATACTCCTTTAACTTTTTGTAAAAAGAATAAATCTAATATGAATTGAATGCAAATACATATCAGAATAATACTTTTACTTATTGTTCTACCTTAGAACAATTAAAAAATAAATTTTTTTTGAAAATTACTTTTTTCATCTATACCTCCTTTAATTGTTTAACTTTACTTTATTATACTCTAATATCAACCTCTGATATGTTTTACTGTTTAAGAGCTGCACAACTGTATGCAAAGAAAACACAAATCGGCACATTGTATGTCATAGACTGAATATAAACAGAAACACAAATCTATCAATGGCCTCTACATGTAAGTGCAATGAAATAATAAAATGTACAATTTTAAATTACTTAACCATGTGGACATGTTTTCGAACTTTGATATAAATTATAAGAAAAATGTCCCCTAAATACTAAAATTCTGCTCAAAAAAGTTTGTACGCGTTATGACCTGAGGTTTCATTCTTCTATGCAGGTCATCACCGGGTGGGTCTTTTCACCACCGAACACCACGGCACACCACCGAACACTGCCGAACACCCAAAAAAAACCATCAACCACTAAGAAAATCAGTGATTTTATACAATAAGACGGTAAAATCAATTAAATTACATCTAATTTAACAAATTTTTAGATGTTTATGTGCATCATTTTTCTGTTAAAGACGATTATCAATATAATCAATATAAAGAAAAACGTCTCCGGATTCATGACTATTTTTCCGGATTACATTGTGTGTGTATGAGAATCATTTGACATCAATTACTGATGAAGGATATTAGTTATCCGAAATATTTAATATTTGTTCATGTCTCTTTTCTTATTATTGGTACAACTATTTAATAATAGAAGAAAAAAAATGAAGAAAAACATTATTTGAGGTGTCCAGTGGTGGTTTGCAGAGTTGTGGTGTTATAGACTCTCCTTTTCTGTTCGATGTAGATACATGTATTTGTTCTCTTAAAGGCCGGATCTGACCTATAAAATTTACCAGGTGGTTGAATTAATAACTTAAAAATTATATTTAGGTCACATTTATAACAATAAGAGATAAAAAAAAATAATTTTTGGGGTGTGCGGTGGTGTTCGGCGGTGTTCGTTGGTGAAAAGACCTACCAGTCATCACCTGCATTTTCATTGTCATAGGTTGACAGGTATGAGGGGTTCATGGATTGAATTACTGATGCAAAGAGGAGGTTTGGCCAGGATGAATGAAATTACCAGGTGATACTTACCTTTTCTATATAAAAACCCAGAAACAAGTGTTTCAGTTGCATATGAGAGCAAGGATGAATCAATGTGACTTTTATCAATTTTCTTTTGTAAAGCATCAAATCCGCTATGAAACAATGATTTGAATGGAATTAGGTATGGTTTCACAATTCTTGGATGTGTGTCATTGTTTGTTACTGTTTGTGGATCTCGAAAATCTTCGATACATAAATCTCTAAAATACTGATCAACATCCAAAGATGCATGTAAAAAATTCGCCCCTAACATGAAATCTTGCAGGCGAAGAGGCATAAACCAAATATCTCTGTATCCATCCAAAGAATTCTTCATAATTTCCCATATTTGTTTATCTTGACAGGTCGAATACTTTCTCTGATATCCTAGAAAGACTTTATGTAGTATAGAAATTCTCATTCTTGAAAAGGTATGTTTTATGAGAGGGAAAGAAACGGGTATTGTTGTTCTTATTCGTGTATAGTATTTCCACCGCATCGAACTGGTGCACCTCCAATATTTATATGCATCACAAAACTAAATTGAAACATTCCTGACTATTTCAGACACGACAAATATACTAAAATATCTCAATACACATATTATATGTCCCTGGGTTGGGTAAATCTTATTATATCATCATTTTAATAAGAACAATAAAAACACTAAGTACGTCGGAAACCTGAGACTACTATGTAGTACGAAGTTTCAGTAGAAAATGTCTAGTTCAAAATCAAGATTTAACAGTTTCGATTCATCAATACTCCTCTGCAATCCCAAATTAAGGAACTGCCTATCATTTGTTAACATTCGCGATCAATAATTTCGAATTCATAAGCCAAAAATGATAAAAAATAAATCAAAGCAAATCGGTAGTCAGCACATTTTCTTCTTTACTTTGAACTTTGAATATTTAAAAGGAATAACAACGACTTATTAGCATGTATTAATGGCATGCAGAGCTCTGTACTAAAGTCATATGATTTTATCCAATTATAGTCTGAGCGGCAAGACCCCTTTGGTTACTATCTGTGATACCGCGTTTGTAAAATGGCATCTGGAATTTCTTATCAGTCATGTGATTTTATCGAGTACGGTAATTATAAAGCACCTGTGGGAAATCCTAGTTTATTAATTAACAAGGTGGCGCTGTATCATATAAAACTTCTACCTTCAAAAAGAAATCGAATGATGTAAAAATCTTGAGAAACGGACGAGAATTGTTTACACTACAGCAATTAAACATGGAAAATTGTATTTATTTTTGCATATTTTTGCTTTTTACCTTTCGTTTTAAACTGATCTAAAAGCATTTTCCGATTGAAAGCGGATCCCGAGTAAAACAGGTAATAACGATGATGCGATCAGGTTTCACATGATGTATAACAAAATAATGAAGACAAATGAAGACATAGATTTTTTTACTGTTGAAATATTAATGTGCAAAGTTTATCGAGATTTAAAAAAGGATATTTACCTTCAAATATTTTAAATTTATGTATATGTAATAAATGTCATTGATTACATTATTGCAACTGGACAACTAAAATCGGGATAATAAGTTCATAAATTAATATCTATTTTAAAAAAGTGTTTTAATACAGTTAATATAACACGCTACAACAAAAAAAACAAAAAAAAACAGACAAAATGAGCTGGACCCTATCTGCCTAACCGCAAATTCATTTATACGAGTTAGTTTAAAGAATAGAAACGTTTGTGAATATTTTAATTGACTGGTATACACGCATGACTTGGATTATTCATATTTGATAAAAGGGGGACATATTTTTTGTACACTCATATTCTTAAATATTTAACTGTCTGTAAATATTAAAATTGAAAACGATCCACCCATGTTCTCCAATTTCATATGTGCTAGCTGTCGGCTTAAACTATTTTAAAAGATCGAAATAAACAGAAATAGGAAAATTAGACTAAAATCAACATTGAACGAATTACTCTATTCGTCAGCGTACATCAGCGGAATGTAACGAGTGGACTATTCGGGTTACTTCGCACGTATATACGACAACAACTTGTCTGTTCGTAATTTTCCGTGAACACGAAAACAACCGAAAAGTGTCAGTGATTTGATCGATCACATGCGGAGAAGCAACTACCATTCCATATCGTAAACTGATTAACGAGTAATCGAAAGATAGGCGGTAACGCAGATGAAACCTTTGAACTGGCGTTGTTGTTATTCCTTTCAATATTACTTCCATGCTTTGAAGAAGGAATAAAATAGGGACAGACTGGCATGTATATAGATTTCTAGATTGCTATTACAAAGAAACGCGAAGACACACATAGGTGTACATATACAATCATCAATATAAAAATATGTTAAAAAATCAGTTACAAAATAATACAAAAATCATATACAGCACTGTAAGTTATTAAAGTTTCTTATAAATTATGGATCTTTCAATATAAATAAGCATTGCATTAAGATAACATGCCGGCTGCTGACTTCGTTTTGTTTTTTGATACTTCGTATACTATCTAGGAATCGAAGTTTTCTCTAATGTTTAGCAGTTGAGGAGACTTGCGAATATTACATTGAGTGAAATTCGTGAAGACAAGACACAAGGTAATGCAAATACATTTTGACTTGGTTTTTGTTTTTTATTCACACTGTGACAGAATTTAAGTTCCACCATAATATTTGTTCCAAAGAACTTTTGTTACATAACAAAAGTTCCAATCGGAACTTTCACCATATAATATCTTATACATTGCCATAAGAAAATTTCTTACAGTCTGGATAAAATATTCTATAATGATAGTTCCTATTGGAACTTTTGTTATATAATAAAAGTTCTTTGGAACACACAGATATATATATATATATATATAGAAGTCTATAAAAAGGACCAACCAGCAAATTTACTATGTACCGGATCGTCTAGAATAGACGATACTGTGCAGATAAGAAAAAAAATTATATAAGTCTAGAGATTTGCACAACGAAACTAATATAAGATGGTATTATACGAAGATGTTGTTATTAAATCGTGTTGACAAATATTTCGGCTTAACAAATAGCCTTCTTCAGTGTCAATAATTTTAACAATACTGATTATATGTATAAAAATAGCTCAGTAATACAGGTAAGTTTTGGTCTAGTGATTTAATCCAAAATCCTGAACATCATAATATAAAACAAAACTCAATACTCAAATATACATGACTGTGTATATTTACATCCCAAAATGAGTGAAAAATAAAACTTAGTATTTTTTATTGATGCCGTTTGCAAAAAATGGTTTGGATGATGTACATTTAGTTCCTTTATCCAAAAGCTTTCCCGAACTTGTCGCTGGGCATCACTCCAGTGAATGTTCTGTTCAATCACTAGGATCTTCATGCGGTTAAAGTCATCAAGTTTGTGACCAGACTGTCTGAAATTCTGAGAAACTGGGAGAAGTGGCTTCTTAGAGATATCACTCCTATGGCCATTGAGGCGTTTGTGGAAAGGCTGCTTTGACTCACCAACATATTGGAGGCCACAAACCGAACATTCTAGAATGTAAATTACATTCATACTTTTGCAGTTAACATTGCAAAATATCCTATAGTTATTTTTGGTTGCCTTACTGTGAAAAGTTGATGAGTGATGCATCTGTAGGCAGCATTTGCAGCGTTTTTCATCACACGAACGACATTCTCCAGAAGTACTTCTATTATCAGACACTTCAGCCCGCACCAGCAGGTTCCGCAGACTATTGGGTTGCCTAAAAGCTATCATGGGAGGCTCGGGAAAAATCTTGGATAGTTTGGAATTCTTTTCAACTGTTTTCCAATGCTCACGAATGACACCGGAGCTGTTTTTGAGAGATGGGTGGTAAGTAAGAACACATTGAGTCCTTTTATTTTTCTTTTTATATTTGTATTCTAACAGTTTACTCCTTGGAATAGTTTCCGCTTTCTGAAAACCTTTTTGGATAGTTCTGTGTTTGTAGCCCCTTCTCTTCAAGCGGGTTTCGAGTTGACGTAGTTGTTTTTTAGTTGTTTCTGTGTTGGAACATATTCGCTTGACTCTGAGTGCCTGACTGTACGGGATGCTCTTAGTACAATGAGCAGGATGGCAACTTTTAGGGGACAGATATTGGTGAGTGTCAGTAGGCTTAGAATATAGATCAGTGGTTATGATGCCATCTGTGAGCGAGCTGGAGGTATCGAGGAAGGTGATTTTGGATTTAGATTTCTCATGAGTAAATTTGATACTTGGATGTATGTTGTTGGCATGAGTGATGAATGTATCTAAATCCTCGTCCCTTTTATTCCATTTCATATCCACATCATCTATAAATCTAAACCAGGAAAGCGGTTTTTCGATGGAAGATTCAAGGAGTTGTTGTTCTAATTTGCCCATAAATATGTTGGCATATGATGGAGCCATTTTGGTGCCCATAGCAGTTCCATTAACTTGCAGATAATGATCTCCATCAAAAGTGAAGTTGTTGTTTTTTAGTACCAGCGTGAGCATTTTGACCAGGCATTCAGTAGGTGGATATTTCACTGGTCGGGAATTCCAAACTTCTTTACATGCATCAATGCCATCTGCATGTGGAATATTTGTGTAGAGGGAGGTGACGTCCATAGAAACAAGTGTCGTGTCGGAGGGGAGTGGATTTAAGGCCTGCAATTTTCTAAGATAATCGGTAGTATCTTTGATGTGAGATGGTAAGTCTTCAACATGTTGACGAAGATGGAAGTCAACGAATTCCGATATTTTTTCCGTCGGATGACCGTTCGCTGAAACTATAGGTCTTCCTGGGTTATTAACCTTATGAATTTTAGGTAAAAGATAAAATCTGCCCGGTTTTGGATTTTCTGGTTTCAAATATTCAAGAGTCTTTTCATCGATGAAACCATCGTTGTGCATTTCTACCAAACTATCAGTTATTTCTCTGCTAAAAGATGTTGTAGGATCAGAGTCTAGTTTTTGGTAGAACCTTGCATCGCCAAGTTGTCGTTAAAAATTTGAGTGAAAGGCAGAAAAGAAAATTCCGTAGGGATGGCATCGAACATATCCATCCTTCTTTACCGTCTGAAAAAAGAGAAAACGAGTAAGACGCTTTAAACGTAGGTCACTAGAGACTGATTCGCCCTCCAACATTGTGGTCAATCTTTCCAAACACCAGTTAACGGAAGCTGAAACATCTCTTCTCTCGAGAGGCTTACATTTCTGTCCTCTACCTGCCCCTGTCAATGAAACTAAATTGTCGGAAGACCTTGACAATTTTGCCAGAAGTCTACGCATTAAGGAATATTTCGCGTCGAAGGAGAATAACAACAGAAGCTCGGATAGCGACTCAGAAATTTCAGAAGACGAGAACAACTACAAATTTATAAAAAAGAGTACTTGGATCCCTAAACCGACCAAAAAATGCCACCTTGGAATCATTTATTGACAATTTTAAGTCGGACATTATTAGAAATACTAGAAATAACATTAAACCTTTTGACAATCTTACCAATGAAGAACTAACTGCACCGAAAAACTTACGATCTAACGACAATATCGTCATTAAACCTGCAGACAAAGGCAGTGCAGTGGTTGTCATGGATAAATCTGCCTATATTCAAGAGGCTGAACGACGACTTGGCGATGCAAGGTTCTACCAAAAACTAGACTCTGATCCTACAACATCTTTTAGCAGAGAAATAACTGATAGTTTGGTAGAATTGCACAACGATGGTTTCATCGATGAAAAGACTCTTGAATATTTGAAACCAGAAAATCCAAAACCGGGCAGATTTTATCTTTTACCTAAAATTCATAAGGCCAATAACCTAGGAAGACCTATAGTTTCAGCGAACGGTCATCCGACGGAAACAATATCGGAATTTGTTGACTTCCATCTTCGTCAACATGTTGAAGACTTACCATCTCACATCAAAGATACTACCGATCATCTTAGAAATTTGCAGGCCTTAAATCCACTCCCCTCCGACACGACACTTGTTTCTATGGACGTCACCTCCCTCTACACGAATATTCCACATGCAGATGGCATTGATGCATGTAAAGAAGTTTGGAATTCCCGACCAGTGAAATATCCACCTACTGAATGCCTGGTCAAAATGCTCACGCTGGTACTAAAAAACAACAACTTCACTTTTGATGGAGATCAATATCTGCAAGTTAATGGCACCAATATGGCTCCATCATATGCCAACATATTTATAGGCACATTAGAAAAACAATTCCTTGAATCTTCCATCGAAAAACCGCTTTCCTGGTTTAGATTGATAGATGATGTGGATATGAAATGGAATAAAAGTGACGAGGATTTAGAAACATTCATCACTCATGCTTACAACATACATCCAAGTATCAAATTTATTCATGAGAAATCTAAATCCAAAATCACCTTCCTCGATACCTCCAGCTCGCTCACAGATGGCACCATATCCACTGATCTATATTCTAAGCCTACTGACACTCACCAATATCTGTCCCCTAAAAGTTGCCATCCTGCTCATTGTACTAAGAGCATCCTGTACAGTCAGGCAATCAGAGTCAAGCGAATATGTTCCAACACAGAAACAACTAAAAAACAACTACGTCAACTCGAAACCCGCTTGAAGAGAAGGGGCTACAAACACAGAACTATCCAAAAAGGTTTTCAGAAAGCGGAAACTATTCCAAGGAGTAAACTGTTAGAATACAAATATAAAAAGAAAGATAAAAGGACTCCATGTGTTCTTACTTACCACCCATCTCTCAAAAACAGCTCCGGTGTCATTCGTGAGCATTGGAAAACATTTGAAAAGAATTCCAAACTATCCAAGATTTTTCCCGAGCCTCCCATGATAGATTTTAGGCAACCCAATGGTCTGCGGAACCTGCTGGTGCGGGCTGAAGTGTCTGATAATAGAAGTACTTCTGGAGAATGTCGTTCGTGTGATGAAAAACGCTGCAAATGCTGCCTACAGATGCATCACTCATCAACTTTTCACAGTAAGGCAACCGAAAATAACTATAGGATATTTTGCAATGCTGGAATAATAATTATGTAATAGAAATTCCAGGAATAATCTCTGTGTAAGAGAAGTTCCTGAAATAATAATTATGTAATAGAACTTCCAGGTGTGATTTTTATATAAGAGAAGTTCCTTGAATAATGATTATCACGATTATATATGTAACCGAATGTCCAGGAATAATAATTATGTTATTATAATAATTTTTATTATGTCACAGAATTGCAAGAATATTTATTTTAACTGATACACAAAAATACACATATTAATAAAAAAAATAGGATAAGTTATCAGAATCATTAATGTTTAAAGGTTAATTACTTTTTAATGCACTCAGGTGTAAACAATCACATGATATACATGCATCTTTTATTATGACCTTTAAACAACGCTCTATTGTATTATGTTCAGTCATTCTAGGAACAAATTTTATAGGGCTTTATGTTCCGGCAGGAATTTATTTTATGAAGAAGGAATAAACATCATGTAATTTTAGTTGTCAGGAACTTTTGTAAAATATACTATTTTGTTCCATGTGGAACTATATTATGCGGAACAAATATACAGTCACAACACCAGTCATGATTGCTGAAAACTGCATGACAATGTACATGTTGCCCTCTAGATGTATTTGGTGTTTGTGTCGTTTGTTAACTTGCTCATCGGGCTATCACACATATACTTTTTAACTTGATATACATAATAGTGCCTGATTTTTTGATTTTTTGATTTTAAAGTTTTGCATTGTTTCTTGTAAAGACTGATATTTAAATACAATGAAAAAAAAATGTATGTTTAGATTATTTAGATACTTTAATTCATTACTTCATAAAATTTCGAAATCTTGATTTACTTGTAGTATAGGATAACATTTTGCCTCTATGAAAAGATGTATTTATTTCCAATACTTTTTTGTTTGACCTAAACGTTATCGTTTTTTCCCCTCTATTTGAAAGTCTATTTTTCAATCGGTAGTTGATTATCATAGTCTTTCTAAATTATTTAATAAATTTTAAATGTCATTACGTGTAACTGTTTATAAAACATGCACTAAATTGTAAAGGCGACAATGTCCGCTTCCATTACTTTTTCAAGATCTCTTCGTAAAAAAATCTAGATTCTACGGAAAATCCGGACATTTACTTAGTAAAAAATCATTTTCATGCAGGGCCCTATACATACAGTGGTTATGAACGCCTATTTAAATCAGATATCAATTGACATGTAAAAACACGTAAGCAGGAAGGATAAAGTCTATAATTTTTAAAATGTCGACATCCACAAAAGATATGGACCATTTTGACGATTTATTAACGTGTACAATCTGTCTGGAAACTTTCAAAATTCCGAAGTATTTGCCATGTCTCCATACTTTTTGTGAATCGTGTATTAAAACTTACATTATATTATCTACTGAAAAGGTAAATGAGTCCGAGGGATTCAAGTGTCCAATTTGTCGACAATTTGTATCATACGACAATAGACCAAGTAAACCAGAAGCATTGGCTTCCTCATTACCGATGAACCATTTTGTGATGTCGATGTTGGATAAGCGATCAATTCAAAGGTCTGAAAAATTGTGCAACTCATGCCAGTTTAACGATAAGACCAACAAGGCAATATCTTGGTGTACGTCTTGTGAAGAGGCATTTTGTGAACAGTGCGATGAATGTCATAAATCTTTCAAAGTTTCAGCAAAACACAAGCTTATTTCAATCAATGAAATTCAGTCAGGAAATTCCGATTTGAAAATATCTGAAGTCTTGAGTTGTGAAGAACATCCTGAGAAGATTGTGGAGGTTTATTGTGTGGACCATTCGAAGCCATGTTGTACCCTTTGTGCAACACTTTCACATCGCAAATGTGAAAACGTGACATCAATCGTAAATGCCGCTAAAGGTATAAAGCAATCCAAACTTACGACTACTTTGGTTAAAAAACTTGACGAAAGGAATAAGGAACTTAATAAAATAATTGAGAATCGGAAAGATAGTATGACTAAATTTGAAACCACCTCTGAGAACATTATTCAAGAAGTGTCAACACTGAAAAGGGAAGTAATAGATCATTTAGACAAATTAGAAGAGAAAATAAAGGTCGAAGTGGCCTCATCAAAGAAGCGTGTTTTCATGAAATGTACCGATGAGGTTAACGCTTTTTCGAGTTATAAAAGTACATCGACTAACTGGCAGTCAGTCCTTAATCGATCTATAGAACAAGGATCAGACCAACAGTGTTTAATGGAAGTCAACAAGATTGGTCCAAAAATCACTATACTGGAGAAGGAGATGAAAGAAGAAATGAAAATGATGAAGAACCTGAATATTGATTTTGTTCCTTCTGAACTCATTGAGAAGTTTAAAACGAGCACAGAATCGTTTGGTTGCCTAAATATAGTAGAAGAAGAGTTTCCAAGTGCGCTGTCTGTTGAAAGTCTTAGGGAAAAGGTTAATTTTCGAAGTGGTGGCATTAAAATTTTACAGAGAATTAATGCTGCTAATAATAGTCAAACTAGTGCAATATTCATTGCTAAATACCTTGTTATAACGAGCTATAACAAAAGTAATGTTGCAAAATACAGCCTCGATGGAAAATTTCTAGAAGCTTTATCTGTACAAAAGTATCCACTGGATATAACACAAGTTGACGGGACTCAAGTCGCTATTTCTATTTATAATAGAAACAAAATTTCGTTTGTTGACATTGCGGAAATGAAGTTATTACGAACATTGGATTTATCAGGTATACCAGTACATGGATTATGCTGTGTGGAAGGGAGCACATTTATTTTACCATATGGATCCACACTGACATGGGTTGACTCATCAGGGAAGAAAGTGAAACAGAAATCAACAGGTGGCCATTCGTTTTATGTTTCAACATCAGATCTGAAGGATTATATATATGGAGTTGGGGAAAATTCCGTATCACGTGAAGTAGGGGATACAACTACGTTTACATATACAAATGCACAGTTGAACGGCCCTAGAGGAATCGGAATAGACTTTGATGGCAATATATACATTGCTGGATGTCATTCTAAGAACATTCACCAAATTACAAATGATGGAAAATTAATACGTGTAATTCCGATCGAAACATTTGGAATTCAATATCCATGGACAATGCGTTTTGCTCCTAACAGTAATAAATTTGTCGTTACATGTGGTGGCTCAGGACAAGTTGTAATGTGCGAGATCGATTGAAGTTCAGTATAATATCTTCTGGAAAAAAATCTAATTAGATAATAATTAATTAATTTATACATAACTGCTGCTTGCAGCATCATGTACACATATTTTTTTGTAAATAAGCATAAATATATTTTGAATAACCCAGTACTATATTTTTAATTCAATAAATACGCACAATCGAAACTTGTTTTTCTTAATATGAACTTGAGTTAAAAAAAAGTGCATTGCTGTTTCTTGTGACATTCAATTGTAGGACGATCCTTTTCCTATAACAGTTTATTGACAGACAATCGTTTGATATATCTATAATGCTTGAAACGTTTGAAAATAGAAAGATTTCAGAATAAATATATAAAGCTAAGAATCAGAATAGTCATACTATCTTAGTATGAAAATACAATTGTGTTTTCGTTTTTTGAATAATAAAACAGTACCCCTTAGGTTTTAGAATGAATATCTACATCTGTTTATTATTTATACTAATTTAGCAAAACTGGTGTGTATTTTAATGAGTTTCTATTTAATTGATATATCTATTTGATGCCTCAAATGTAGAAATGTTGATTCACCTGTACGTGAGATCTATTATCTTAGATAAACGTAGGATAACACAAACAGCGATCAAATTTAATACCGAATACAAAAATATCAAATACAATTTTACTATTCTATATTTTCATTTATTGTTTTGTTCTTATTTATCTATATTTATATTAACGGTACTAATTGTATTGCATCAGATGTGCATTTCGACAACAAATGTCTATTCAGTGATGTTCGAGGCCAAAATATTTGAAAAACCGAAATTCATACAAACGTTGAAGTTAGAGCTGATCAAACACAAAAAACTGTCTTAAAGTGTAGACAAATCCGCACAATAAAATAGAGCTTTGCATGAGTAAATTTCTTTAAAAATCAAATTATTTTCAAAATAATCGTATAATCGGTAGGTGATGCTCCAGGTCTCTGCATATACTTTTTGGCAAATTTAAATATATTTTTTTTTATAACAAATTCATAACCTAGATCATGGTTAAGTTTTGTCATAAATATGAATTTAAAAGAAAGGCGAAGGATACCAAAGGGACATTCAAAATTTATAATATTAAGATTTCAATTTGTGCTGCTCTCATGTGGCTACATTTTACTGTTGTTAAATTGATTTCAATGTGGATAGTGAAAAAAGCATCAGTGATTTGAAGACGTAAATATTGCGTCCGATATACGTTCATATTCTAATAATTTGTCTAGAAAATTTCGAAAATGCCTCTCACAACAATAAAGTTCGCGATAAACTTTTTTAAGATCCCGTTGAAGAACATCATGGTGTAGGGAAAAGAATCTGGTCATTTCATCGAGAGAAAAAAATCATGTTCACACAGCACACAATGTCTACAGTGGTTATAAAACGGGTTCAACATGTTTAAAGTGGTAAATTTGATCTATTACTAGATACGACTTGTGTTAACTCATGAGGGAAGCAACTTAAACAAAAATCAACACGTGGCGAATCGTGTTATGTTTCAACATCAGACCTGAAAGGTTATATATATCGAGATGGAGATAATTCCGTATCACGTGAAGTAGGGAACAAAACCATATTTACGTATACAAATGCAAAGTTTAACGGCCCTCGAGGAATTGGAACAGACTTGAAGGGCAATATATACATTGATGGATGCTATTCTAAGAAGATTCACCAAATTAGGTATGATGGAAAATATATACGAATAATTCCGGTTGAAATTTTAGGGTTTCAAAGTCCATGGACAATTCGTTTTGATCCTAACAGCAATGCATTACATGTAGTAGTTCAGGAAAAGTTGTACTTTGTGAAATAGATTGAAACACTTTAGTATTTATATACATTGCTTTACTTCCAATTATACCCTTTTCTGGTTACAAATAAAATCAAATCCAAAATTTGTTTTTTAAAGTTGCAATGAAAAGAAATCGCTGACTCTCCCTCCTTGCCCCTAAAACAAACAATTAAGAAAAATGAATCAAAACTGTTCTTTACAATTACTTTTATTTAATGTTTCGTTGATACTGATATATCGGAAAATTGCATCAAAATGAATAATTGAAAATTTGTAAGTTGTAAAATACTGTAGTTGCAAGAGCATGTATATATTACTTTTTTGTGTCCTCTTTGTGTCAATTTATTATGTTTATTCATTATTAACAGACTCAATTTAATTGTTTCACATTTTTCATGTCGGTTTTTTGTACAGCCGACTATAATGTATGGGTTTTTCGCATTGTTCAAGGCCGTACGGTTGCCTATAATTGCTTACATCCACTTTATTTGACCTTTGGTGGATAGTTGTCTCATTGGCAATCATACCAAATCTCCTTATTTGTATATTATTGTAAATCAAATTAAGTTCAGTATCAGAAATTTTTTTCAGGTTATCAAAGCAAAATATAAAAGTTATGGTAAATAACATTATGTATTTAGGGATTGATGAATTGACTTGAATGTAAAAGTAAAAAATATCTTTGAACCTTTGAACTAGATTGGATTTTTATGACATGCATATTTGCATGTTTATGCTCTCGCAATTAAGTGACCGGGGTATACTGTGTTATCCACTTACCTTTTCCCTATAATGGCTGCAGGTATTGATTTTTTGATATATATGTGACTACGTGATAGTTTGGCGAAGCAACGTCACCACTGTTTCGGAGTTTGCTATTGGAGTTCATTCGATACCTTCAGTTTGTGTTTGTTACATTGATTTTTCCCTTCTTTTAATCATCACGAAGTTTTAACATCGGTTAACTACTACCGCCTTAATTTGTTCTGGTTGTTATACTTTTGGAGGAATTACGTCCGTTAGGCACAGAAATGTCATAAAAATCGCAATCATCTGGACGTTTTATAATTCTTGCATATCTGGAACAGAGTTTTGATACTTATGAATATAATGGGGATTACAGGTCGAGTTTACATTTTGATTCGTTTGATCGATTTTCGGTGTCTAAATTGAACTGAGAAATGAAAAGTCGGAAGCGAGATATTTTCACAAAAGAATGTCACTAGCTATTATTCGTTACACATTACAGAACTCGCATATATCATTGATTTTCAGCTATTATCATCCTAATGCAAAAGTGACCTTAAACAATTTTGGTTGTTCTTTTAAACCTTTAGTCCTTCAAAAATCTGAAATGTTAGCTAAAGTTTTGCAGATGATTTAGTAGTATTGTCAACTTCACATACAAGACTACAAAATGCCATAAATAAACTCTAAAAGTACTGCTATGACTGGCAATTAACGATTAATACTAACCAAAGAAATTCACCAAGTACCTTAATTGAAGCTAAATGGACGAAATTTTAATAAAAATAAAAGTTTTCTTTTGTGCTTAAATTGTTAAAATACATCGTTATCAGATCTTATTAGCTGTCATGATGCATATAATCACGTAGGTCTCCATTTACAATTTCCGACAACAATTTTACATTCTCAAAAACCATATTCTTTCAGGAACAATGATATGATTGATACTTCATATCCACTCTCTTCTCCAGCTAAAACCCCCTCAAGGGTGACTTGGGAATAGAAATATCGTTACTCTTGGTGTTCTTCCGACCGGCAGTTAAACCCTGGCCAAAGTTGGGCGTGCGTTTGGCTGTACAAGAACGCATCCACGTCTGGTCAGAATAGGGATGTTAAATCCGATGCCTCGTGTAGAGAGAGTGCCACGCTCTCTGCACGTTAAGAATCTTGAAACAACTCTTTGAGGAGTCGGTAGGTGGCCTGTTGTACGGCAAAATTTCTGTCCCTATGGAATATACCCACATCTTCCAATGTCAGTCCAAATTTCCCTGACCTTCATCCCGGACGGCCTCTATTACAGGACCTACCTGTATTCAATGTCAATTTGTTCTCGTCCTGAACGTGCATGAAATATTTGCATCGCAGATCACCCCCGGTTTTTGGTGGGGTTAGTGTTGCTCAGTCTTTAGTTATCTATGTTGTGTTTTGTATACTGTTGTTTGTCTTTTTGGTCTTTTTCTTTTTTGCCATGGCGTTGTCAGTTTATTTTCGACTTATGAGTTTGAATGTCCCTCTAGTATTGTTTGCCTTTATTTTGCCACTGGACGTTAAGCAACCAACAATCACTAAATCATTCAATCTGTGTACTTTGATCTACAGTAATATATGTATGGAAGAATATACATTTACAATAGCTGCCTGATATATAATGTGTATGTATTGAGCAAAGGAAAATAAATATTCTTATAGTTTATTTAGCACTAAAGAGTATAGTAAGTGGATACAAATGAGAAAAATACCTAATGAACGTGAAGGCAAAAGCCAATTCATGATAAAAAAAAACATCGCTTTTATCGCCGTTCTTCATCATGGTGTTTGATGTATGGTTTTCAAAGATGAACCAGTGAAAGTACATTTGATAATTTGCAATACATTACAAAATCATAAATGAATGAACACCAATATTGCTGTAAAATTTAAATTTTATTAATCAATACATTTAAGGAATACCAGGAGATTATAAAAACCAGACCCTACCAATTACACACACCCAAAAAGATAGCGATACAAACAAAGGCTCATAATAATAATTAACAAATGGTACAAACAGCCTGACTTGGTATAGGCACACATACTGATGGATTATATCAGTTTTGAGTGCTAAAGATGTGGTATGATTGCCAATAAGACAACTATCCACCAAAGTTAAAATGCGGTGGATGCAAGCAATTCTAGGCAACAAAAAAATCTTCAACAATGAAAAAAAAACCATACCATAAAGTCGCCAAAAAGGCCCCTACATGAGAAATATGAAAGAATTCATTTGAGAAAACTAAACGCCAAATTTATAACAAAACAATTTACGAAAAACAAATATGACAGAAATGAACCAACACCAAGTACTCAATTACAGGCTACTGACTTGGAACAGGCATAGAATGTGGCGGGGTTAAACATGTTTGAAAGCGCCGACCCTTCCCTTACATAGGACAATGGTGCAACTGCATGCACAGCACAAGAACAAACTCTTAAAATCAATTGAAAAAAATGCTTAACTCATTAGATCGATACAAAGCAGAAAAAACATCATACAAAAAAATACAGATAGGACACGTCAGGGTATTTATACATCCCTGAAAACAGGAAGGACACAAAGGACAGATCTGAGTTTACTCGATAACAACCAAAAATCATGTATTTCAGACTAAAATATCAATCAGTACACATCCAACATTACAAGGATTTAGTGTAAAGACGTCATTTACAGTAAGAAAAAAAAACATGACCTCGAGCAATGCCAAAATATAGGTATCGACAGATCGTAGTACCGTGAATGTGCATATGTGTATAAAAATAATATAAAGTATGGTTTAGATTTACTGATAACAAAATCAATAACTATATCTATACCAATAAAAACAATATTTATAAATCTAATTACAGTGTTGAATTGGTAACCTTTTAGAATAAGTTTATTTAAAGGATTAATAAGTTTACCCAGATCGTATCTAAATTTCCGAGCTAGGTAAACAACATCACCGTAAAAATTAGGATGTCCTATTCCGTTTTAAATAAGTTCTCTACAGATACAGGCAAACTTGCAAACCAAATCTGTGTATCTATGAAAGAGTTTAGTAAAAGTTTTAAGTAATTTTTTGCAACAAAATTCCTGACTTAATAATTTACCAGTAGTATTTGCCTATCTAAATGATATGAACAAATAAAACTGATATAAAAACAATAAGTCCATTTCACTTTAGTTCTATTCTTCTATTCCTTTTTTTACAAAATCTCTTCTTATGCTTTTCTATTTGTACCGTCAAAATATCTATATTTAGTATGCTCTATTTTATGAACCCTCCATTGAAACCTCCAGGTATTTTGTAAATAATATTAAAAAATAATTTGAAAAAATATATGGGTAGTGTCGATTTCAATTAACAAATGATTATTTTTTAAGAACTATATTACCAAGGGGGCCTACAAAAGATCCAAAATCTTCGAATCTAGCACCGCATGATTCATATCAGCAAGCTAAGTACTTTGAGCTTGCTTACAGATACTGCAAACATTCTGTGGAATGGTCATGTTTCTAATTTGTTTACTGGTAATTGCGTTTTAATATATAAAATTGTACCTTTTTATTGTTTATTTTTGTCCTTTTTGATATTTCGCTGATAGAGAATAAGGAGGTTTGAGATAATAAGATTAGTTTTATACGTCTGTAAGCTACGGTTGCTTCTAATGTAAGATCGCGCAAGTTCAACGTGCCATCCTAGTAGTAGTTTGGTGGCTTTTGTTAAATGTTTTGTTATCTTGGGAAGTTTGTGTCGATGGAAAATCTTTGATGGTCAAATTTATATTAAACTCTGAGCGATTTAGATTTTGACATCTGTCAATTGTTGAGGGCCTTAAATGCACCTCTACATGTCATTTGATTTCGTGTTTTGTGTCTACTCTCTCAATAACATATTCTTCAAATCTCTCTTATGTCATAAGTAAACTTCGCCATCACCATATTCAGCAAACAGCTTTCATGAATCCGATTTTAACATTACATTGAAACATCATATACAACAGTTAGACTATTGTAAAAATATGAAAGGTTGATCCCTTGAAATTGAAATACACCGTACAATCGACTGTATCATTTCGCTAAAGCCAAACGGACCCTGTATACCTGAAGAACGCGTCAGGAATTCAGAATGTATTTCATCTAATTTCCTGATTTTATCTTAATGAATTGGAGTTCTGTTTTACCTTGTTTGAGACTAAATGGACTTATAATTGAAATCAATAGCTTAAAACAAGGGGAATTATACCTTATAATTAATTATAACATTCTGTTTAGTTATTTCGATGAAATTTAGTACACTGAAACAACTAACAGCCTTTTTCATTCAAGAAGTGAAGAAATAAAAAGAAAATACACAATGGCTTTTCTTATACTGTATGACAACAGATGTACATGATCGTTTCTGTTGGGTTTCAAACAAAATGATCAGATTTAGTTGTAAAAGAGGGGCGAATGATACCAGAGGGACCGTCAAAGTAAGTAAGTAGTAGTAAAAACTATAACAGAAGTTCATATTTTGATCTATATCTTTCCCCACTGTGAACACGCACCTAATTCTAGGACAGAACGATAATCAGTCTGTTTACCTACGTTTTTAGTTTTCATTAACCATGGTCAGGTTTCTAAATTGAATTTTAGGATCATTCTTATGAAGTCAATTTCTGGGTGGTAAAAACATTCTTAAATATCGTGAACCAGTTTATAACCTCGAATTCTTGACTTCAAATCATTGCAATCATTTTAATAAGAATAGATTTCAGATAATGATATCCTGATAGCCATGAACGAGTCCTTTAATTTGACATTGTATTAAACATGGGTAAAAAAATCTTTAACATATTAAAATGAATTCTAGAATTCGAGTTTTAACTCTTAATACTTCTCCGAAAGCTTGAATTATGGAGTTTGGTGTGATATTTTGTATTTGAGATTTCGGCCTTATTTTAAATTTACTGTAAATGAGCTAAAGAATAAATGTACACTTGAACCGTTTTTCGATACTTTAAAAACATAAAATATATATCTAGATATAGGAAGATGTGGTATGAGTGCCAATGAGACAACTCTCCATCCAAGTTACAAGTTATAAAAGTAAACCATTATAGGTCAAGGTCTACCATATATTACATCAGTGGCCACCCAGATAACAACACAGTGTAATGGAAAATTAAATAGAACGGAGCATTACGCACTTATCGTTTGACAATTTAAAAATACAATTTAAGTTATCGACACAATCTATAACCTATTTATACATGTATCTAATATAAAGATATCACAAGGAAGGATAAAAAGTTTAATGTTGAAAATGGCGACATCTACAAAGGACACGGAACATTTTGACGATTTATTAACGTGTACAATTTGTCTGGAAACTTTCAAAGTTCCGAAATACTTGCCATGTCTTCATACTTTTTGTGAATCTTGTTTACAAACTTACATTATAACATCTACGAAAAAAGAAAAGGAGTTCGAGGGATTCAAATGTCCGGTATGTCGAAAATTTATTTCATGCAGTAAAACACCAGAAAAACCGGAAACATGGGCATCCACACTACCAAAGAACCACTTTGTGATGTCAATGTTGGATAAGCGAGCAATTCAAAGGTCTGAAAAAGTGTGCAACTCCTGTCAGATAAACAATGAAATGAAAACGGCTATATCTTGGTGTACTATTTGTGAAGAGGCGTTTTGTGAGCAGTGTGATAAATGTCACAAATCTTTCAAATTTTTAGCAAAGCATAAACTTATTTCAATCAATGGAATTCAGTCAGGGAATTCCGATTTGAAAATTTCTGAAGTCCTCAGTTGCGAAGAACATCCTGCAAAGATTGTGGAGGTTTATTGTGTGGACCATTCAAAGCCATGTTGTACCTTATGTGCAACCCTTTCACATCGCAAATGTGAAAACGTGACCTCAATCGAAAATGCCGCTAAAGGTATAAAGAAATCCAAACTTACAACTACTTTGGTTAAAAAACTTTACGAAAGGAATAAGGAACTTAATGAAATAATTGAGAATCGGAAAGATAGTATGACTAAATTTGAAACCACATCAGAAAACATTATTCAAGAAGTGTCAACATTAAAAAGGGTGGTAATAGATCATTTAAACAAATTAGAAGAGAAAATTAAGGTCGAAGTGGCCTCATCAAAGAGGCATGTGCTCATGAAATTTACTGATGAAGTTAATACTTTTTCGAGTTATAAAAGTACATCGGCTAACTGGCAGTCAGTCCTTAATGGGTCTATAGAACAAGGATCAGACCAACAGTGTTTAATGGAAGTCAACAAGATTTGTCCTAAAATGACAATTCTTGAAAACGAAATGAAAGAAGAAACGAAAAAGATGAAGAAAATAGCTTTAAACTTCATCCCGTCTGAATTCATTGCGAATTTTAAAACGAGTGCAGAATCATTTGGTTGCCTTAATATAGCAGAAGACGAGGATACAGGGACGCTGTCTGTGAAGGGTTGTAGAGAAAATGTTAATTTTCGCAGCGGCGACATTAAAATTTTGCACAAAATTTATGCTTTCGAAAGTGGTGCCACAAGTGCAATATTCACCGGTGATTACTTAGTTATAGTGAGCTTTAGCAAAAGTAATGTTGAAAAATACAGTCTTGATGGTAAATTAGTACAATTATTAGCTGTAGAAAATTATCCACGGGATATAGCACAAGTTAATCAGACTCAAGTCGCTATTGCGATTGATAATAAAAACAAAATTTTGTTTGTTGACGTTGCGGAAATGAAGTTATTACGAACATTGAATCTATCAGGTATACCAGTATGTGGACTATGTTGTGTCGAAGGAAATACATTTATTGTATCTCATGGATCCACATTGACATGGGTAAACTCATCAGGAAAGAAATTGAAACAGAAAACAACAGATGGCCAATCGTTTTATGTTTCGACATCGGATATGAAAGATTATATATATGGAGATGGAGATAAGTCATTATCACGTGTAGTAGGGGACGCAACCAAGTTCACGTACACAAATACAGAGCTTGAACACCCTAGAGGAATTGGAATAGACTTTGAGGGTAATATATACATTGCTGGATACTGGTCACAAAATATTCACCAAATTACGAATGATGGGAAATTAATACGAGTAATTCCGATCGAAACTTTTGGAATTTTGAGTCCATGGACTATACGGTTTGCTCCCAACAGCAATAAATTTGTCGTTACATGTGGTGGTTCAGGACAAGTTGTACTGTGTGAAATTGATTGAAAACGCTATATTACTGTTATATTTATATACATTGCTTTACTACCAATTTTACCCTCTCCTGGCTTATAAATAAAATAAAAATCCTTGATTTGTTGTCCAAGTTGGAATGAAAAGAAATACATGCTAATAAATGAAACACAGATTGACTTTCCGTTTTATAACTGATCTGTTATTTTACCGATTATGTCCTTTCCCCGATTTAACATTTTGACTAAGTGTGGATTCGCATTGCAGGTGATGCAAGCTTAGCAGGAGACACTTAGCCTGAAGACGTATCCGTTCTCGCTCCTATTGGAGTTTATGAAATTCCCTCAGTTTTTGTTTGTTACATTGATTTATCTCTTCTTAATCATTACGAGATTTGAACATTGGTAAACTACTGCTGTCTTAATTTGTTTCGGTTGTTAGACTTTGGAAGGAATTACGTCCACTTGGACACAGAAATGTCCTAAAAAATCGCAAAATTTTGTAATTCCTACATATTTGAAGCTATGTTTGATACCTATGTGTATAATGGTGATTACAGATAGATATAAAAAAGAAGATGTGGTATGATTGCCAATGAGACAACTCTCCACAGGAGACCAAATGACACAGAAATTAACAAATATAGGTCACCGAACGGCCTTCAACAATGAGCAAAACCCATTCCTCATAGTCAGCTAAAAAAGGTCCCGAAATGACAATATAAAACAATTCAAACGAGAAAACTAACGGCCTAATTTATGTACAAAAAATAAACGAAAAACAAATATGTACTCATAAACAAACGACAACCACTGAATTACAGGCTCCTGACTTGGGACAGACACATACAAACAGAATGTGGCGGGGTTAAACATGTTAGCGGGATCCCAACCCTCCTCCTAACCTGGGACAGTGGTGAAACAGTACAACATAAGAACGAACTATAAAAATCAGTTGAAAGAGGCTTAACTCATCAGATGGATAAAAATACAAATAATACAAATACAAGTGGACGTGGCCGGGTACTTGTACATCCAAACAACAAAAGGACACTAAGTACAGATCTGCGAGTACTCGCAGTTACTGACAGCTAGTTCAAAGCCACTAACAACTAATAAAAAAATCATGCATCTAAGACTAAATTATCAAACCGTTCACATCCAACATCCAATGGTTTTAGTGTCAAAACGTCATAAACAGTCAGAGCAAAATATGACCTTGTGCAATGTCAAGATACAGGTATCGACAGATTGTAGATCCATGAATGTGTATATGTAAATAACAATAATATTTAGTTTGCTTTTAATTTACTGATAAAAAAATGAATATTAGTACCAATAAAAACAATATTTAATGATCTAAATACAGTGTTGAATTGGTAACCTTTTAGAATAAGTTTATTTAAAGGATCGATAAGTTTACCGGGGTCGTTTCTAAATTTCCGGGCACGGTTAACAATATTGCCGTGAAAATGAGGATGTGCAATCCCGTCTGAAATAAGTTTTCTACAGGAACAACCAAACTTCAAAACCAAATCTTTATATCTGTGGAAGAATTTAGTAAAGGTTTTAAGTAATTTGTGGTAACGAAATCCCTGGCTTAATAATTTACCAGTAATACATAGATTACGTTCGTTAAAATCAAAAACGTCACAACAGACACGGGCATAGCGAACGAGTTGTGAAATATAAATACCGTAAGATGGTGCCAAAGGAACATCACCATCCAAAAAGGGAAAATTAACAATAGGGAACGAAAAATCGTCCCTTTTGTCGTAAATTTTAGTGTGGAGTTTCCCGTGTAAAACCGAAATATCTAAATCTAGGAAAGGACAGTTGTTACCGTTTAAATTCGATTTATTTAAAGTAAGTTCATTTGATTAAATTTCGGCAGTTTATTGAGAAAATTCTTGATTATTTAACGAAAAAATATCATTAAGATAACGGTTAGTGTTGTTGAATTTATCAATTAAATGCAATTAAGACGGGTCTTTATTGAGTTTGGTCATAAACTGTGATTCATAACAGTACAAAAACAAGTCTGCTATTAAAGGGGCGCAATTAGTGCCAATAGGAATACCTACAACCTGTCGATAAACTTTGTACTGTTGCCGAAACGTACATACATATTATCAAGGAGAAAATTAACAGCTTCAATCATCTCATCACACCTCCAGTAAGTATATCTAGCATATTTACCTTTCTCATTAGAGAAGAAGGCTTTAAATGAGTTGCAGCAAATATATTTGCATTCAAATTTACCAAACGACCATTTAATTGAATAGTCAATTTTGTGTTTGATAAGATATTGTGTGGAAGTGTAGTGTATAGAGTGGAAAAGTCAAAACTGTCAACAGAATCAAAAGGACCATCAAAAGCACGTAATTTATCTAAAACATCCAAAGATTTTTTTACACTCCAAAAATAGTTAATTCCACTATTTTCATATATTTTATTACAATAGTTTATGATAAGCTCTTTGATAGTAGTTAAGGAACTTGTTAAAAGCACTTGTTAAGAGTTTTGTTTCGTTTGGTCGATTTTTGTTGATTAAATATAACTGATAAATGAAAGTTGGAAGCCAGATATTTTCACAAAAGAATGTCACTATCGGTTATTCGTAACGTACTACAGAGCTCTCGTGTATGATTGATTTTCACCTATTATCATCATAATGCAAAAGTGACCTAAAGGAATTTTGGCCATTCTGTTATACTTTTTCATGTTGGTACCAATAACAATATCTAAATGTTGGGCTTAATAATTCTTGATGAAGGCTATCTAGAAACATATTTCGAACGCTCAAATCAGTGTGAAACATTTATCATGTTTATAAGTAAAATTGTTTCCATGAAGCCGCCAAATTAAAGCGATTGGTGCAAAAAGTCGCTGGGAAGATAAGATTATGATCGAAACAGACGGAGTCACTCAACCACAGCGAAAGTATTGAAAAATAACTAAAGTCTGGACAATCTGACATAAAATATCAAGTGATATCAGATATTGGTATTTTTTTATGTGCAACGTGAACTGTAAGCATAGCAGGCGCTTTAAGCTGGATTTTGTTGTAGTTAAACTCTAAAAGAAGCTGATTTTTGGTTGTTTCAAAAGAGGTTAAGTTTTTATTCTGAGAAGTGGACTTCAAGTACCCATTACTATATAAAGTTCGCCTTTTAGATGATACGATGAGACAGGACATAGCAACTTTAAAATAAAAATAAAGATTTTTTTATGAATCGTGGTAGCTTGCTATCCTTGAGTAGGGGATGTCGTGGATCTGATACACGAACCGGTCAAAGACTTTATACTTGTCATTGATTGCTTCTTCACCAAGCTCAGTGAAATGAAGGAAGAATCATTTCATGAAAAAATAGCCTTATAACCACAGGGTAAGCAAACAAAAAATCAAATAGAAATGGTTTAACAAAAAAAACGAACTGCAAAGTAAATTAAAAAAAAGGAGAAGTCTATAAAACCTGACAAAATCAAAAGCTCTACTATAGCCCTTTCCAGAACCTCATTTCCGGCATCACAAAGTGTCTAAATTTATAATTTGAAGTTGGTTATACCTGGTACCTTTTCAGGTCGCGGCAATGAGGTTCATTGAAGAGTCAATGATTAGCGGTTTTAAATCCATGTTGATTTAAAGATGATATTCGGTTTATATAAGTATAAAAATTATTAATGGTATACTTATATACAGCATACTCGTAATCAAACTCGATTATAAAGATGATTATTCACCGTTGCTCTGCACTGCAGCGAACCAGTATTTAAACCTATAAATAAGAAGATGTGGTATGAGTGCCAATGAGATTTAGTTTAGTTTAAACATATTTTATTTACTCAAAGTAAAATGGATTGGACACAAGTAAACCATACTTATGAAGTCCGCTCCGAATAACAATAAATTACAATACAATATTAATGTTAGCATGCAATAATTCAGAATATACAATACTATAAGAGTCTATCTATTGAAAAAAAAGATAAAATAATAATAACGGAAACATTGGTAATGATGATGAGGATGATGACGTGAATGTACCGCAAATACACTATTAGTATCATATAACAAGAAATCTTTCAGACCTTTTAATAAACTCGAATACATGTTTAAATATATTGACGTTTTGTTCATACGAAAGGTTCGGATTACCAGATGTTAGTAACTTAACATTTAATATAAGGTCACCAGGGAGCCATCTTAGATTGTTCATCAGAATTTCTCTCTGGTGTGTATATAAAGAACAGTCGAAAAGGAAATGGTGTACAGTCTCAATGTTGCATTTACAAAAACAAGATGGGTCAGCAATTATATTGACTCTAAACAAGTCATAGTTCAAGAAAGATGAATAGCATCTGAATTGTGTTAGAATTATATTTAGTTTCCTCGGTCCATATAAATAGTGCTTCGGTACATCTTTATTTATAATACATGTATTTAGCCTTTTTAATTGGATTTTAAATTTTGAGATAGAGTCTGATTTTCGAAGGGACAAATCGGAATGATTCCATAGTCTAATAGTTGATTGTATAAAAGATTCTTTAGTAAGGGATAATCTACAAAAAGGAACAATGATATCATTGCGATTTCGCAAGGGATATACAGTTGTGCTCTGTACACTGGGTGGAACTAGATTACATAGATAATCCGGAGCATGTTTATATTGAATGTTATAAAACATTTGTAATTTTCGTCTTTTCCTCCTGTCAGCTAAAGTTTCCCACCCAACTTCCTCATACAGATTTTCAGATTTTGTAAATATAGGCAAACCAGTAACTATTCTAGCAGCTTCTAGCTGCAGACTTTCAAGTTTATTTGCATATCCTATCCCACAATTATCCCAAACCTCAGTTGCATATTCAAAAATTGGTCTTATAAATACTATATAGAGTTTTTCTAAGTTTTTCCTACAAAGTTGATACTTGAGTTTTCTCAGTATATTTAAATGTTTCGTTACACTAATAATGAGATTGTCTATATGGCTTTTCCACCGAGCATCAGAGCAAAACGTTACCCCAAGGTGTTTGTGACATTTTGTAATAGGAATTTCTTTGTTATTTAAGCAGAATTTTAGATCTGGAGCGTCATTATTTGAAAAATCATTATTTCTGTTTTGTCTGGGTTAAAAGACATAAGCCACCTTCTTGACCATTCGTTCAGCT